GCCGACGATTTTGCCACGCTGCGATAGGTTCTCCTAGGCATCAAAGCGCCGCATGCTGTTCCGCCCTGATTTGCTTGGCTGGGAAGGTGGCTGGATGAACACTTTGCTGTTTCTTGTCAGGGGATAAATCAGTGTCTCGGCGGTAATTCCAGCACATCCAGTTCCGAAATAGAAGTAAGACAGGGTGCCTCTGCAATGTCTAACTTTGAGCTGTCAAGCCCCTTTCGACGAGCAGAATAATTTAATTGTTGGCCACATATCCTAGTCCGTGCCGCCCTGCGAGTAGATCCAGGAACCCTTCCAATTCATCGTGCCTGCAGAAGTAGGTGTAATCGAATTCATCAGACACCGGTATAATCTATACTGGTGGTCCCCTGTCAACGATTAGTTTCGCAACTAGACGGCCTGATTTATGCTGTTGATGGGTCCGTGTTATAGTCGATTCTTCGACATGACAAGCTGAGGCGCCCCTCGGATTAAAGAACAATTGCTTTGGGAAATATCTTGCATTGACGGCAGTCGAGAAGGGACGTCGCATAAGGCTAGCCGAAGGACATTGAGATAGTAGGTCCGGTATTGTAATTCGTCGACGTTATATTTTTTTTTTGGAGAGGCTAGTAGTTAAACCGGTATTGAGCACGAGCGTTTAGCCGTTTAATAATAAACGGCATAGCGACGGGTTTTCGACAATAATTCTGGGTGTTCAGCCACAGGCAAGGCTCCAACCTAAAAGATCGGTAAGCAGGTGGTATTAATTAACGACTAATCCGTGTTCTTCAGGGATCACGGGACTGGCTAAACTCATTGCGTACTCTTTCTCTCATTATGGTTCATCTATCGTGTTTCTCCAAGGTACATGTTATCATAACCCATGCCCCGCAACGCTGCACGGTAACCGGGCAGTTCATAGTGGTAGGATATCGGATTCGAAGCGACCAAGCAATAAGCTTTAAAGGCCGGTTGCCTCTTCGTTCGTATCGAATACTCGCTCGCAAGTCCGTGATGGCATTCTCCAGCAGCTTGGTAGGTAAATCATGTATCTATCCCTGTCAGTTCATCATGGTGAATCCTGGTGGAACGGCCTGGCCTACCAGTCGCCCAGAGCTGCTGAGATGGAAAACTGCAGAGTCTTGGGACGGCAACCAAGTCCTTTCTGTACAGCCATTAGAGTGTACGGAAATCTCGAGAGCATGCCATATTTTAATGACAGATGAAGACATGCAGTGCTGGCAATCATGGCAGGTAGGTGGGAGCTGAGTCAGCTGGCAGTTGAGATTTTCTGTCCATGTGCAGTAACTTGTCTCCACAAGTCCACCCTACCCTATAGCCAGAGTGACCCATTACCAAAATCATTCAAGCCACACTTACACTTCCTCCTGCCTTAAATATGCAGTTCAAATAATAATACTCATCTATTTTTTGTTTAATTCAATCTATCCTTTCCTTGCTCGTTCTTTTCAAGAACTCAATGTGGTAGCACACAACAAAACGCGTGGATCTGGGCTTCAAAAAGGCACAGGTAAAATCAGAGCGGTAGCATCAACGCGAGCGGCCGAACAAAGAAAGAACCGAAGAGGAAGCTCTACGATTTGTTGCCCTAAAAATGACCACAAGCTTTGCTGGCTTCTGGTTAAGAGCATTCTGGCAAAATTATCCACAAGAGTGATGTATGCATCATCACCAAGCTTCAAGGCCCTCGAGACTTGGCGGCAGGGATGAATCAAGAGCGCGTATAGGCCAGGTGCATTCATTACCCTATTCGGAATGATAGGCGAGCGAGTCGCTCCTGGGCCATCTCAAGGCAGTACCTGGAAAGACACTCAGCCAGGAAGGATGAAGCACTATGTGTACTATTTAGCGACGTGACGTCTTTTAAGGCAATATTAGCTACATAGACCGACCATCATGAGGCTAGAGAGGCGGATGGAGGCTCTTGGGATGGGCGCAGCGCTCTGTATCAAGTGCTTTGGGAATGATGACCGGTGGGCCACTGTAACTGGAAGGGATCTCTAGTGGAGCAAACACCGAAGAACCAAGATGAGATCATAGGCCGAGCGTCTGCAAAAGCCCTGCTGGAATTGCTGACAGCCCGTCTGACAGGAACCTCAACTTGGGGATTCGTAACGTATCTCTTTGAAGCAGCTAGAGCAGCAGTTTGTATATAACAGGGGTGTGGCAGGGGTATGACAAGGGTCTGATTGGCTGAAAAACCTGCTGCTAACAGGTATATCTGTTCCTATACTAATTTAGCTTGTGATAGAAGTCCTAATAAGCCTGATGGCTATAAATCGCTATATCGTATATCTTACAGCCGGATCTCGTCTGTGTAGGCTGTTTATTATGACTTCGCGGTTATAAGGGCTGCCTTCGGCTGCTCTTGTTAATCTGGATACCTTGGCAGTCCTTGTACGGGCTGCTCTTATACCTTGAAATATATTTATACTGTAAAATAGGTATAGTTATATTTCCGGTACAGTCTCTTTACTATAGGCTTACTTTATAACTATATTCTCTTAGGAGATTATAAGAAATCTGCTCCTGCTACTTATATAAGGTCTGTAATAGCTTCTAATTTAGCTAGCTATACTTCTAAAGTAAGAAGCTGTTATAAAGAGTAAATTTGAGGAGAAATCCCTATACTAATACCCGCTAAGGACCCTTATAAATACAGTATTCTAATCCCTCTTAGCTTTAAAGCTAATTACCTTAATCTACTATACCTATATAATTATTATAATTAGCAGCTATAGATATAATAGGTATCTCTTTAACTAACTCTATACTAAAATATATATAGATAGTCTGTACCCGAGTATATATTATAGTCAGCTGTTTCCGGATATATATTATAAACTCTATACCCTTATAGACTGTAGAAAGTAGTAGTATAAGTATATTATCCTTCCAAGTAATTTAATTAATCTAAGAAGCTATTAGTAGGGGATTTCCTAGGTAATTTATTTTAAGCTTAATTAATCTGGTTATCTAGTATTAGAACTATCTCTATTTAGCCCTATTTCTACTTTAACTAGCTATTATTATTAGTCTTTTTAAGCTGTATAAGGCTTTTAAAGATACTGTAATTTATATAATAGGTACTGGTAGCCTCTATATTTAAACCTCTTAGAATAGTAAAGAGGTTTAGGCTTAAAAAGAGGTTATCTAGGAAGATATAATATATAGCTAGCGGTAGCTGTTTTACTAGGTTAATAACTACAGCCTGTATCAGGTTAACGGAAGTCTTATTATCTTACTTTCTCTTCTTTAATCAGGGCTTTTTATTACTAATAGAGTTAAATACCTTCTGAGGTAGGTATAGTAGCTATAAGAGAAAATAGCTAGCTTTAGCTATAGTCCAGATTTTAAAGCTTTTAGGTATTAGCTTTAACTTAATAACTACTTTCTTAAGTATTCTATCTTTAAAGTACTGGATATACTTATCTATAGCTATATTTATACCTGGAATCCAGTATTAAAGAGAGGCTTATTATATAACTACTAACTACTTAGAAACCCGGTTAAAAGAGCCCTTATAGGGGACCCTTAGGTTATATAGCCGAAATAAGTAATATAGCTGTTTAAAGGTCTTATAGCTTATAAAGTATATAATAGGATAGAAGGGCTTTATATCCCCCAGCTGAGAAGTACTCTAATAGTCTTAAATATATATTTCCCTATAATTTCCTATATAAATTAAGGTCCTAAGTAAGAGATATATATAGTCAGAGGAGATAGCCTAGTAATCCTGATTATTAGTTTACTTTTATATATATATATATATATATAGCTTATATATTATAAGCTCGGCTTAGCTACTTACCTGGTTAGCTGGAAGATTATAATTTATATAGCTAGCCTATAATTTTACTAGGTCTAGAGGTATAAAGATCTGGAATAGTAATAAGGGTATTAATAGCAGCTGTATAATATATAGTTAATGAATTAGCCCGATAATAAAGGGGTTAAAACGTATACTGTACTTCTTAGCTTCCGGCTGTACAGGGCGATAGGTGTAATCAGCGGGCTGCTTGCGCTGAGCTTTATTAACCCGTATATATAATTTAATATCTTTAGAAACCTTATAGGCTGCAGCTAGGTCTGGATCAGGATAAGGAGGAATACTTGCTATAGTAATTTGTATGGGGAAGCTTCTTATATTGCTACGCGTAGCTCGAAGTCACGGCTTGAGGGTTTTAATAAAAGTGGGGAAATACCTAACTGCTGCTCTAGCTGCTTTAAAGAGATGGTAGGGACATGATCTTTGTGATTGAGTGGCTACATATGCGATGCCCCTGCTACCAGGAGAGTATTTCTTTCCATTTTTTTTTTATCTCAAGCAGCCGACCGCCTACCTTAAGGTACCTACCTAGGTAGGTACCAGATACCTTCAGGCCCAACATAGCTGCCTCAGGCAACACTCCTCAATTCCTACGTGCTGTAAATGTTGATGAGCCCCGGTTGAGCTTACCTTGTGGGCAGGAGCCACTGGCTCAGGACACCTTCAGCATGGCCACGCCTAAAACAGCCCCCAAGCAGGGGCTCTACCGCTGCTCCACGCAAGTGCGACGGTTTGATGCTTTTTCGGTAACATGATGCGGCAGCCCTGGCGATGTTATTTTCCAATTCCCCATCACCATCGTTATCCCTGCACCTCTGCCAATGCCGATCCAATCATAGCTCCTTATTGATCTTGAACGAAGGCACTCTACCTGTCCGGGGCCGTTGATCCTAGTCCAAAGAGCCTTTCCACCACCCCTGCGCCGAGAGACAGCAGTGGGCGCAGGTCATCGACATGCTTCCAGAGTCCCAGTTTTAGGCGTCAGCACTTGGATGACCATTCCATGAGCCCCATAGGGCCATGGACTGCGTGAGTCTGACGAGCCAGAGCAGAATAAGATGACCCGTATCCCGTCTCCCGGACGCAAGATGGTCCCAGGGCCAATGCTCCTCGGCTGTAAGATCCCAAAAGCGTCAACATCATCTTTGGTTTTTGACCCAGCATGGAAGACTTTTCAGAAGAGAACCTGCCGCGGATCCCATTCTTGCCCAAAGAGACGCTTCATGGACCTGCTTTCCTCGATACAGGGGCTTGCCTCTGTGCCTTGCAGAACCCTCGATCTGAGGACGCTAAGAACGCTGCATGGCAATGCATCGGCAATCAAACTCAAGGGGTCTACCAAGTTGACACCGGGAAATGGTTCGATGCTGTTGGCGACTCCCCGAACATCAATGGGGCAATCGAAGATGGCTCCGGCCGACCGGACACGAACAATACTCTCGCCATGGTGGATGGGGAGCTCCAACACCAGGAACCCAACAGTGCTCAATTCTCCATCTACGATCGAGCTTGTACCGGCAAGAACCATTCGACATACTCAACTGCGTATTACCGTGCTGTCGAGGCGAAATCAAGAAACAAGATAGCTGTAGATGCTGCTCCATGTTGGAGGCCGGGCGCGATACCAATCCAAATTCAGAACGCGGAGTCGTGGCTTACCAATGGGTGTCAAGAGGGCTTCTACTGTAAGTTCAAATCTAGAAACTTTGTGGAACCGTGTTCTGAATTTCATTGAAGGTCCCAACAACACGGTCAATTCACTCCCCCTGTACTGTCCTCCACCCGAACCTTGCCAAATCTCGAGGCTGCTGGGAGAGGTGTGCAACAACCCTGTCACTGAAGACTATATAAGCATGGGCTCCCTTGAGCCTCAAATATGCCAGAAAGGATTTTATTGCCCACCTAAGTTCAACGGAGCCCAACAGCTTCCTTGTCCCCAAGGATCATACTGCCAACTTGGGGCTGCGACTCCAACTCCTTGCGCGATTGGGAGTTACTGCCCTCAAAAGGCGGAGTTTCAGCTCTTCTACCTCCCGGCTATTATTCTGGTCCTTGCCGACATCCTACTCGCCTTCGGAATCTTTATCTTTGGGTATCGCCAACGTTTCCGTCAAAGCAGCTCGCAAGCACGCCTCGGTGCTTTCACTAAGAGTCGTGAGGGTATGGGCGGCGTCATGGCTAAGATGTCAGGCTACAATGCCTTATCTGACGACACTAACGATCGAGAGATGCAGCCTTTGGATGCGAAGTTTATTACTAGGCGTCCAACACTCGGGTTCGAGGCTGCTCTCGGCCCTGAAACGGAGACGGAGGGCACCGAGGGGCATAAACCTTACGAGACAAACCCGCAGCTTCAAGCTTTCATGGAAGCCATGCGCAAGGCTACGGATGCTTTTGACTTTGGTCTATCGTTTCGATATGAGGACCTCACATTCCAACCTAAAGGGAGTTCGCGCCCTATCCTAAATCACGTCACCGGCTCTATCGATCGGGGTACCCTCACAGCCGTGATGGGAGGCAGTGGAGGTGGAAAGAGTACCTTTGTCAACGTGCTCATGGGAAAGACCAAACATACCCAAGGGTTAGTTGCTATCAACAACAAACCAGATAAACTTAAAAGATACAAGAAGGTCATCGGATACGTTCCTCAAGACGACATCGTCCTACCCGAGTTGACCGTGTACGAGAACATTGCCCATTCAGCCAGGGTTCGGTTACCGCGCACATGGTCTAATAGGGACATCGATCGTCTTGTTGATGCCGTTATTGACTGCCTCGAGCTCTCTCATGTCCGCGATTCCTTGGTCGGCAGCGTTAGCAAGCCTGTTATCAGTGGCGGCCAGAGAAAGCGAGTGTCAATTGGCATGGAACTCGCTGCTGCACCCATGGCCATTTTTCTGGATGAGCCTACGAGCGGTTTGGATGCTTCTGCTGCGTCATCGATGATGCGGACCCTCAAGGCACTGGCTAAGTTGGGAATCTCCGTTATTGTTATTATTCATCAGCCCCGAGTCGAGACGTTTGAGATGCTGGACAATCTGATTCTCCTTGGAAATGGACAGACGATTTACGAAGGCCCTCAAGCGACCGCTCATCAATTCTTCGAGAACATGGGCTTTAGCTTCCCTCCCCACACAAATAAAGCTGATGTCATTACAGATATCATCACTGGAAACGGCCGGGAATACAAGCCTATTGGTGATATCGCAAAGGAGTTCCTTATTGAACATTGGGCCCAGCATCGCGTCAATCTCACTCGGGACACGAGTAGACATACCCTCTCCTCTGTTGGACAGGGGTTGATGCATAGAACTATCAAGAAGCGCGGAGCGTACCGCTTTAAGCAGTTCTGGCTTTGCCTCTGCCGTGCCGTGCTCCAGCAATACCGTGGCTACTGGTCTTTTTGGGGAGAGATGGCTCTATCGCTGCTCGGAGGGTTTCTTCTCGGTCTCGCTCAAAACTCTCGCAACGGAGTCCTATTCAAAGGGATTTATAATACCTATGGCATGTTGTCCACTTCGGCTGATTATCTCTCTGCACCTCAATTTGCACTCTTGGTTGCCATCGGTATAGGCCTTGTATCAGCAGCACCCGGAGTGAAGATTTTTTCGGAGGAGCTGCTGGTGCAGAACCGCGAAGCCGAGGCAGGGCACTCAAGGATCTCCTATTTCCTGGCCAAGGTGCTGTGCGTGTTCCCTAGGATGGTGTTCGCTTGTCTTCACTTCTCGGTGCCACTCCTTCTTCTAGCCATGCCGATCATCCACTGGGGAATAGCCTTCATGGCCAACCTGTTGTACTTTTTCTGCATCTACGGACTGGCCAGCATCGTGAGCATGATAAGCAAGCGTGAGGAAGCTCCCCTGTTGTCGGCTATGCTGAGCCTCATCCTGGGCATCCTGTCCGGTGCGGCGCCTCCCCTGTCCAAAGTAAAGCAGTGGCACATGGAGTGGCTGTGGAGGGCATCACCTGGCACTTGGCTGGCTGAGGTCTACTTTGCTCAGCTCGTGGAGCCGTATGAGTATCTTTACAATGTAAAAACTGCCGCGGACGTGACTGGGTTTCATATGGGATGGCTGTGGCGAAACATGCTTATTTTATTGGTGATTGGATTGGGGTACCGAGCCATAGCCTTTGTCTTTCTTTGCTTTGGTCATCGTCTCAGGCGTTGAGAGATTGGGTTTCAACGGGATGAGGGAGGGACCGATTTTAGATTACGTTTGCTGCTCTGCTGTAGTATGGATAGATTATATATTTACGAAAGTATGAAATAGACTGCAGTTCCTTATGTACAAAACGACGAATCCCTGGAGTGAAACTACCATAAGAAATTGGTAAATGTTTCTTTCATTCAAGACTGAGAAAAAGGCTTCTAACTTAGGGTGTGCCCACCACTGAGTTGTCTGGAGGCATCTCACAGACCTGAACGAACCTGAATTCCGTTGAACTTATGGCAAATGGTGAGACAATAAAGAGGTATAGCTTGATTGTGTATTAAATGTATATACGCACGTATGCAATACCAAGAACGAATTCAGGATGGCAGGGTCTTGCTGCTCTGCTCGGGGACCAGCTGGCCGCACATGCGAAGAGAGCCCCAATGAGCAAATTGCACAGTGCAAAAGCCGTGCTAGGACGCTTCTCTGTGTATGCACAACATACTGAGGTTGAAATATGTCGCGTAGGGAATCTCGTCTTCCACGCTCACAATTTCACCCACCAAACATCAAAACAAAGAACTCTCTCAGACGAAATTCCAAACCCAGCACCCTGACTGGCGAGATTCGCTTCTATTTCGCAATACTCTAAGCTTAGATTGGGTATGTATGGAGTTCACTTTAGATTGCTTAAGCATTTACTCTGTTTAGGTCTAATAATCAGGATTAGATCCTCCCGTCGACGTATCCTGCTTACTCAACATGTTCGAGTCCTTCCGTTTCTTCGTTCCCCGCGATGGCCACGACAACGGGTCGGCAAAGGATGGAGGAAGCGAGTCCTATCTTTTCCGTCCCCAGCTCGGCTACGGCTTGAAGTGCGAGGAGAAGCACGAGAATTGGAAGGTGGTGCCCTACTCCCCTTGGATCACCCCGATCCGAGGAAGCATCTATCCCGTCACCCAACCCCATTGGCCCCCCGCCCCTCCAAGGAACGGTGACAATAATTACTGTGCCTGGCCCAAGGCCGATACTATGCTCTATATACCTCTCGCCATGTTTTGGGTCGATGCCTTTTTCACGGGCGGCTGCATTTGGCCCGTTTGGTGGAACATTGGAATCCTGAAGGAGGCTCGAGGAGGATTTGCTTGAGGGCAGCGAGGCCACGAAATCCAGCTTGGGATCCAGCTTGGGATCTGAGAGAACATGAGCTGACTAGTGAACTACTACTTTGATTACCTAGGCAGGCAGGCACCTACGGGCATGGGAATAAGAACCACCGCACTGCAGGTTGGATTGAGATTTGGAATCTGACACGAGTACCTAACGTAGTGAGATCTTTCTACCTACTTGGCTTGAGATGATCTACCTTAAGGGGCTGTTGTGAACTTTTCCATGGCCCATAACAGAGGAATTAGGTAGAGAGAATCAGAAGAGCTATGCAGATCTATGCCATGCATCTGAATGAGAGTGCTATACTGTGAAAAGAGTGCAACTTGGTCAACAGAGCTTGCCAGACGTGCTACCATTGGTCCGATTTCCACAGACAGGCGAGTCTCCAACGATCACGATCGTTGGCTGCCTCTGCAGGAAACAGGAAGAACCTCTGGGAAGGTACACGCCCCCCGTAAGAGCATCCAACGACCCCCCAAAAGAGAGACGTACCTCACTTGTTGCCTTGGAACAACAGGGGAAGGTACCTCGATGGGTCGACGTGCTGCCTAAGGTAAGGTACCTAGGTAGGTATACACTCGCCCCTGAGGAGACAACAAAACCTACCTACGAGTGACAACACCAACTAATCATCTTCAAAAAGATAGCTGATGATCATTTAAGTAATCTTTCGTATGATTTAGTAGCTTAGCTAAAAATATAGGACAGTGGTGACTGAGTGTGCCCCTGAGGTCACTTCACTCCCTGTGACTCGTCCGCGTACCCCTCCCTCCTAGGCACCTCGCACCGATGGGCCCACGTTCTCTCCCACTTGCCTAACAACCTGGGCCCCTTGGATTGGCTCCTGCCGCTCTCACTTTCTCGTTGCTTCTCTCTCACCTTGCTGCCTGAGGTGTTATGTCCCGTGATTCAGTCTGAGTGACGCTAGCCCCTCCTACTTAAACTCCTCCTCTCCCCTCCTCCCACTCTCTTGTTTTCTTCTCTTCTCATCATAGGTTTTTTCAAACCAAACCCCATCACGCCCACCCAAGGCCTACCCAGGCGCGCTCCCACCTGTGGCTGGCCTACCCAGGGACCATCCTATAACGCCCACCCAAGCGGCTGCCCTGAGGTGCAAGATTAAAGGGGCAGCCCCAAGCGGCTGCCCTGAGATTGGAAATTGAAGCAGCACGGAGGAGGGTGGGCGTCCCCGGGTGGGCCAAGCTAGGTGGGGGCAAAACAAGACCTCGAACCGCGGTGTAAGTGTTCCTTTCTCATCATTCCAGTCTACATTCACCTCAACGGCAAGAGTTCCCCTCCAGTGCGTTCACTCTTGTCATCCTGATAGCAAGTGATCTTATTCCCCTACAATCCTGATCTCGAATTCGGCCAAGGCGTTGGACTAACATGATATCTTTGCTTTTATGACACGTTAGCCCCCCCTCGTCCCTCCGTTGATTGGGACCCTGACGGGGCTCTACCCGGTTTTCGTTCTCGCCGGGGGAGCTGCCTCGCAACTTAAGAAGGCGGCTCCCCATGGCGTATGAATCGGAGATTAAGCGCCCTTAGTTTCAGCCCAGCGTAAGTAGGAATCTACCTTATCTCATTTCTTGTGTCTTGGGCGGGTAATGCTAATGACAACAAGATGAGACTGGCTCATCTCCCGTGATTGCCATCCACGAAGACTCACCAACGCCTAAGTATGTGGCACGGGGGTCTTCGTGGGTGGCAATTTACGTTGAGGAAGCGAGGACTGGCTCTCGACTCTACACAAGGCGAGGTCTTCAGCATTGTTGCCAAAATGAAGCAAGGCGTCAAAGAGACTTTCCAAAAATACAGCCAAAGAGGCGTGAAGAAAGACATCCAGCGAGACGCCACAGCCCTGCACGTCGCCTGCTACAACAGCCAAGCCCATATCGTATCCTTTCTTCTTCAAAGCATTCCTCCAAGGCAGTCCCGTGACTCCCGGCGCCTAAGTATGTGGCATGAGAGTCTTCGAGGATAGCATTTTACTCTCAGAGAGGAGGTCCAAGGTCTTTTGCCAGATGGTGAGCCGACGCTCAAGATCTCATCATCAACTACAACACTGCGCCAAACTCGAATCATCAAAACTCAAACCAATAAGACAAATGGTTTCAGTCCTATGCATTGATCAAATAGCACCCGCCACACGCATCTTTCCGGAGAAAGAGCAATGTTGCTTTCGCAGAATGAGCAGAGGTAAGTTGTGCTCTTTCCAAAACCGACCGCGTGACGACAAATACTCATCAATTAATAGGGATTTTTCTCACTTGTGGAAGATGGGCTCCTTCAAAGCCAGAATAGGGGGAGAAGAAGCTACTTGAACTTTTGGATGGGCACGGGGCATTGTTGTGGGACAGTTTGGAGGTTCTTCATTGTGTTGAGATGTTGGGTCTGGCATTTTTCATTCCTGTTTTTAACTTCATGTCCGAACTCTCTCACCGCATTCTCAGTGGGAACTTGAAATCAGTTTCTCTAGAGTATTTTAACCACATGGCTCACTCTGAATCTTAGTCATGGCTACTCTAATGGCACTATATTGTCGGGCGACAGCGAACTAACCTTGAATTCAAGCATTTTTATGGTCTTTATCTTAGTTGTGTAAAGTTCGCGGTAGGATAAATGAGTAGTGTTTGTTAACTTCACTTATGAGAGTACTAGGTCTCTTGATGGTTACGCAATTCCATTGAAGTAAAAATAAAGGGATATCTCAAAAAATTCCGAGTAAAAGCAAAAGCATTCATCTTATAATAGCAGCACGTCTCAACGCCATAATTCGGTATCTTCACGTCCACCAATTCCAATCTATCACTCACAGTCATCTCCACATCAATATTCTCGTCCCACAGTCTACCAGCTTCTCCCAGAAATGTTCTTCTGCTTGGCCGTGTTGTTCATCCTGGCCCAGACCGCACCGCCCACAGCGGCGGGTCTGGCAGCGGGCTCGTCGGCCTCCCGGTGCTCGGGACACTTGCGCGGCATGGCCCGCCCCTGGGACTCGTAGAAGAAGCGGGAGACGTCGTACTCGTGGTCCGGCCCGGGCGCGAGGCACAGCCAGCGGACCTTGGTCGACTCGAGCTGGGGCCAGCAGACGTCGCACCAGTGGCAGTTTGGGTACTCGTCCGCTTTCCGGGCCCCCGCGGCGGGGACGATCTTGCCGCAGAGCTTGTTGGAGCAGTAGACGGTGCTCTCGACGGCGGGCCACTTCTCGCGGAAGGTGAGGCTCTTGCGCATGACCATGTCGGCGGTGCTGATGAGCCCGAGGGTTTTGCAGACGTCGTTGCAGGCGTGCGTGGAGAAGAAGAACTTGAACCCTTCCCGGTTGAGGTTGGTGTCGGCGAGGCGGAAGCGGTTCGCGTCGGCGGTGTGGATAGCCGGGTCGGTGAGGAGGCCCCCGACGCCCTGGAGGTCGCAGACGAGGATCTGGCCCCAGGAGCGCTCAAAGGTGAAGTGGGAGAAGGCCTGGGCGGCCTGGTTGGTGGCGTCGCCGGCGGGCAGGTCGTGGTTGACCCAGCCCGAGTTGTTGTTGTACTTGACGTACTGGCCCTTGATGTAGGGTTCGAGGGACATGCACTGGGAGTTACCGTCCTTGCCCGTGGCGGCCTTGAGGCAGGTGGTGATGATGAAGTCGACGGCGTGCTCGGGCTTGACGAGGTTGTTGAACTCGAGGGCGAACGCCTTGCAGAGGGCCTGGCACCGCATGTCCTCGGCGAGGTGGGCGAGGTGCTTGCCGTCCTTCTTGAAGGACTTGACGACGAAGTGGTTGGTGGAGGCGGCGGTGCGGGCGTATGCGGCGACGCGGAGGGCGCCCTGGGAGAAGGGCTTGGACCTGCGCCGGACGCCGAGCTCCATGGTGCTCAGCTCGATGTGGTCGTCGTGCATCATCATGTCGCTGAGGGTTCTCGCGCCGGCCCGGACCACGTCGGGGGAGAACCCCTCGACGGTGAGGGTTTCATTGAACCAGCTCGGGGTGTCCCAGTCCGGGAGAACGTTTTCCATGACGAGCTCCTTCTCGTTTTCCTCTTCCTCGACGATGCTAGGGCAGTTGGCAAGCGCGGTGCTGTCGGCCAGCTTACCGCCGTTCTTGGAGATGGATTCGGAGAGACGGACGGCGGTGCGGGAGGCGGAGCTGGCGACGCTTTGGACGACGAGATGGCGAAGGGCGCTATAGGAGGTTCCGAGCTCCGACTCCTCGAAGGCGAGACTGCTCTTGCCTCCTCGGAAGCGGGAGGTGGTGGAGGAGGCGGCCCGGATGAGCTTCATCTGTTCGCTATTGAGCACGTGGAGCTTGCACTGGGCGGAGGCGTTCTGGTACTCCTTCAAGAACAGATAGGACATGATGTCCGTGTGGGACTGGATGCGGAGAAAGCAGTAATTGAGGTTGAGCATGATCATCTTCTTGAGCAGAGGCTGATACGTGAGCTTGTGAGGTTCAGTCCCTGGGGTTGCCCATCTGTCCGTGTAGGACATGGTGTTGAAGATCTTGCCGTGAGGGGGGGCGTCACCGATGTGGATAACACAGCGAGTCTGGTTCTTCCAGTTGGCGTTGACGACCTTGTCGAGGCCTCCGAGGACGTCTTCAGGGAAGTCGTCGCCGCCCGTGGCTTTGAGCTTGTCGATGAAGGAGCGGACGCGGTCGACGTCGGTGGTGAAGTCCTGGAACTCGATGTTGGGCTTGTCAGTATGGTCCCTGTAGCCCACGACGGCCATACGGATCTCTGCCTCCTTCAGAAAGGTGCGGTGGATGTCCTCCATGATGTCCTTGACCTGCTTCTTGGCGGCGTCAATGTAGGGGTGCATGGAGCTGGTGGTGTCGATGAGGAATAGCAAGTCAGTGGAGCAGGCTTCCTTGAAGAGACCGTCATTGGAACGCTTCATGGGTTGGGAGACAGCCTCGATCTCCTTCTTGAGTTCATCGAGGCGGAGCTTTCGATCTTGGATGGGGTTGGCGGAGGATGTTGTCGACGGGGGCATGGTCCCTGGTGGCGATCGAAGCATGGATAGCCGGGTGGAGGAATCATCGCTGATTCGACGGGAATCAACGCTCCGAGTCAGCGTGCCGCTTCGGGAATCGTAGGAGGGGAGGGTGGCAGAGGACGGCTCTGGAGGGTTGGCAGACTCGTCGTTCGAACGGCCGCCGACGCGAGATCGTAGCATGTAGTCGGCCATCGATCGCATTCTCCCGAGGGAGGAGCGGGTGCGAGAGCTCGATGACGACCCTGTTGCCGACGTGTAAGGCGGCGGAGCCTCCATGGCCAAGTGTTTGTTTGGTGTATTTTGCGCCGTAGAGCTTCTGATGGGTGCAAGCCACCGTGGAAATGGAACAAGAATATGCAACGGACAGCAATGGTTGGCTTGCTCGGGGTTAGTTGGGTGACAGGTCAAGTCTCGATGTGTGTGATAGAGGGAAAAGTTGGATTGGGTTGGGGGAATAATAGGAGCTGGCTTTTGATATGGACTGAGTCCTACAGTCAGTCTGCCTCGGCGACTTTGGCTGAAACTCACTCGTTACACGGGCGTAACTAACTTCGATCCTGTGGACCACGAGCAGCCCACCACGGGCAAAAATAAGGAGGACTAAGAAACTCAAACAGCTATTGAAGGCAAAGGTCACAAAAGGGCAAGGAGGGGCGCAGGGTAGGCATGCCGATCAGATGATGTACAGCTGCCATAGGCAATGTGTGTCGGGCACAGGCATAGCCTCATACATAGCAATACGGTGGCCTGTATCGAGACAGACAGTCGGTTTATTCGGGTTGGACGCAGCCAATAGAGCACAGACACACTTTCTGGGGATGTACAAGACCGAGGCAGACAGGACAGTGGGCACTCCAGACCATCGTTGGTTCACTGATATATTATGCCGCTACATAGAGCTAGTGAGCAGGCAGCCAGCACCAGTCAGGCAACTAGAGACTGGTCAAGACGCCTGGCCGATCAACCGAGTGCCAGCAGCAGCTTTCAGCTGTGTGGAGGAGGGCGGATGGAAGAGGGATGGCGCGGGGAGACTTCTGCTTGGCCTGCAGCACAAGGACTCGGCTAGTTACAGCTTATTACTGGGGCTTGGCTCTCACACTGCAGCCGGGCGTCTTTCCCGTCTGTCTTTTATCCACTTCAAGCCCAGCTTGGGAGCCAGCTCCGGACCTTACTCCATCGATCAATCCCGTGCCTCTGTCCCTGTTATCGGCCAGTTACCCCTCTGCCCACTATCGAACCGCGTTTGGAGCAGAGCGAGCTGCAATTGTGCGGTCCGCCTTCTATCGAGTCGACCCACGGAGTCTGCCTGACCTGACCTAGTCGCCAATCAGCATCGCCACACTCGGGGCAATTGGCACCAGATCAACAAATGCGGGCAAGGCATTTGATTTGGTTTGTTTATCAGCTCTCTCTTCTCACAAACCAGCTTGGTCGAGGAGAAATCTATCTTTGGATGCTTCCTGGTTTGATTGTTTGGCAGATGGACGTTGATCGATCAGTCAATCAATCAACCACCACCCATCCATCATCACCCGAATCGACATGGATCCAATATTCCCGGCCCCTGTCCCCTCACCACCGCCCTCGCAGCCTGCATCGTTGAGCAAGCGGCAATCCGCGTCGTCACATCGACCTTCGGCATCGGTTTCAAGCACAAGGAACGAGAGCACCACGAGAGACAGCTCATGGGCAGTATGGTTTCTGTCCCAAGTAGGACTTCGTCTCCCGTTTCCGATCCCGCCTCTGCCCGAGAAGTGGGACAGCGACTTCGATCTGGCCCCAGATGAGTATATTCGTAACAGCCAGAGAGCCCGCGACTACCTCGTCCAGGAGCGCATGACCGATCCCAACTTCCGCCCCCCGTCAGACCAGAAGCGCAATCTTTTCAGGACTAAGAAGCAGAAGGAGGAGGTGGAAAATGCCGACAACTGGACCTTCACGATCAGCGAGGTGGCAAGCGCCTTCGACAGCCTGCTATCTGTCGAAGGTTCCCTCGAACCTGTCGGCGTAGCTGTCGCAATGCTTGGGCACGCCAAGGGGACATCCTTGAACGAACTCTGGGGTCATCTAACAGTTGAACGGTCGTCGGACAAAAAGAAACAGGCATCGCAGTGGAAGAGGCGATCAACGATTGACATTGCCTTGCTAGACTCACCAGACATGATATGGTTGGATACCATCATGAACAAAGGAGAAATCGAGTATGTGCGTCTGCTGTGCAAACACACGAGCAGCAAGGCTGTTCTAGACCGCGCTTTTGGGCTCGCTTTAGCTAAGAATTGGACTCCCGCAATGACACTCCTCCTCCGGTTCGGCAGTGAGGCTACCGCTTTCCAAGAGAGCATCCGCGAGCATATCGGAAACAATGACACAACCTTGGCACGACTCTTGCTGTCGGTCCCCAAATCGATGACCACTGCAGCCTGGCTTGAGTGCCTCACACCGCAACCTGGCAGGCCCCCGATCACCCCTGACATTCTGCTCATGTGCCTCTCCACTCGGCCCGAGTTGGCCTGTGAGGCTTTGTTTATACAGGCTTTACAGAATCATAGTCTTGAAGCATCCGCCATCGTTCTGGCTTACGCCGGCCCTCGACAGAAGTTCGAAACCGCAGGCAGAATGTTTGCTCGCCAATTTGTATCTGGCATCAGAGACAATGACATTAAACTCAAGTTTTTCACAATTCTCTCTCATGCAGGGATAATGGTGGATAGTCTGGCGTATCGAAGGGAGCTGATGAATAGCGTGATGGCTAGAAACATGGCAATGATCAAGGTACTCGTCGACTCGGGAATCAACATTGATTGTCGGCCGGAGAGTGCTCTACAACTGGCTGTTGGGAGACTTGACTTTGACATAATGGACCTTCTTAAACATGGGACCATGGATATGCCAAATGCCTCACATGCTCTGGACTACCTACCGGCCAAGGCCACAGAGCTGGATGTGATCCGTTTCATTCACATTTTTGGGCATAGGGGACTGACTGGAAAACACCTCGACGCTAAGCTCGTTTACGCTGTTCATGATAACCAGAAGGAACTCATCAGTCTTCTTTTGAAACAGGGCGTGAGCGTCGAGTTCCGCAACGGCGCCGCTTTGCGGGAGGCCTTGGAAAGGAACTATCTCGACATATTCAACCTTCTGATCGAACAGAACTGTGCACCGGCAGTCCTTTCGAACGTCCTCCCTACCGCGCTGGATGTTGAACCGAGCGCCACCAGGCTCCAGGTGGTAGAAACCCTTCTCCGTAAAGGGGTTCCCCTTGAGGTGCTTATCGGCCCTTTGATCATTTTAGTTTCTGGGAACGAGGAACCGGATTTCGAACTGATTCAGCTCCTCCTCGACAAACGAGCCCCTGTTGATCTGTACGATAACCCAGGACTCAACCCCGTTCTCATCGCGACAAAGCGAGGTCATATTATACTCCTTAAATTACTGATGGATGCCGGGCCTCGCCAGCAGACCTTATCTACGGCAGTGTTGGTAGCATTTGAGACCAGCGAGACTTGTGGTTATGATACAGCAGACGCCATGATTCGTTTGCTTCTTAACGCTGGAGCCAAGGGTCCTGAAGTTAATACAGCGCTAGCTCGAGCGGTTCAAGGTGGCTACTTGGACCTGGTGCGTCTTCTACTCGACCATGGAGCCAGCCCAGCCCAGTCTGACGGCATGTCGTATCAGAACGCCATTCAGACCGGAAACTACGAGCTTCTTGAGATTCTCTGCTCCAGAGCTCCACCAAGAAACCCTACCCTTGTATCCTTAATCGAGACGGCTGTTAATCCGAAGTGGTATGAACTGCGAACGTTAAAGTTGCTACTTGGCTGTACCACTGCAGCTTCCGCCGTGGTCAATGTGTTATGGAATACCGTCAAGATGGACGAGAAGCTGAACAACCATCCAAATCTGTCAGAAATTGTCAAAATTTTCCTGGATAATCACCTGGATATCAACGCTGCCAAGGGATCAGTACTTAGCCTCGTCATACAAGCAAATGACATCGATCTACTAAAGGATCTTCTCACCACTAGGCTCACTAGCACATCATTATGCGCCGCGTTCTCTCAGGCATCTTACATCAAGAATAGGACAGTCAAGTTTGACATCTGGAAGACTTTGCTTAAGAAGGCCCACTGTTCAGAAATTGGTCAGTCTGAGGCGTTGATCCAGGAAACTCTGTTCGCCCTTAACAGTGACGATCTCGATGGTCTTCGACTACTATTGCGCTACAAGGCATCCCCCGGTCAAGGAGATGGCACTGCTCTCCAGTCTGCCGTCACAGGTGGTTCCATCGAAATCGTCCAATTGCTTCTCTTGGGCCCAGTTGGAACTGCGGTCCTGGGCAAGGCACTCCTCGCCGCTGCCGCCTCGAGTAACCCGCCAGAAACCAGGACATCCATTATGAAGCTTCTCCTCACTCAAAAAGGGAAGGAAGTGCCTCCAGAGGACCTCAGTAAAGCTCTTACTCGATCTATCATGAAACATCCCGAAGATTCGGACTTGCCGGAGTTATTACTTTCTCACGGCGCCGAAGTTGACACTGCTGTGGTTGAGGGTATGATGACCGTGGCTTCCGAAGACCTCTTCAAGTTCCTTTTCTGTACTGTTCTCAGCCCGAAAGTGGTATTTGACAGCTTTGAGCTGGCTCGGAACACTAAGATGGACTCTGATCGAAGATACTGGGTATACGACGCAATCCTCCGCCAGGGTGATGTAAGCAGAGAGAAGCTCTCGGAAGCACTCATCGACTCGATTCGAACAGACCCGAGGAGCCTCGACATTCCAAAGCTGATCCTCTCCCATGGAGCCCAGGTGGGCCACAGGCACGGTGCAGCTTTCAAAGTGGCATCCCAGTCCGGAAACAGCTCACTCATCAAGCTTTTGAGCCAGTACCTTGTCAGCGGCGTCGATGATTCAACAGCCAACTTGGCCTTCGACCACGTCGTCAAGGATGCCACGATCCGCGGAGAAGCTCGTTTTAACATCTACAGCAGTCTGCTTCAGTGCAACATCAGTCAGGCATCCATGTACAAGGCTCTGGCCCAAGCTCTGAAGCGAAAATGCCCCGAGCCCAATATCGTGTATCTGCTTCTAGACAACGGCGTCGATCCGAACGAGAATGGTGGCGCATGTTTCCAGGTTGCGAGCACCGTTGGGAACCATGCCGTCTTCAGAGCCATGTGCAAACATGCGGATGCTGCAGTCGTCTTACCAAAGCTGCTTGATACTGTGGTCGACGCAACGTCCGCGGTAATGCTCTTCCGCACGTGCCTCGTGGAGTCTAAGGGGACCATTACCCAGGAAGACTTCTTGGTCAAGTGCATGCGCAAGTTCCCGTCCAGCGGCGAGCTTATGGAGCTCGTCCTACAGCACGGGGCTCCTGTTTCGGGTTTGGTAGAATGCACCGTTGGCTCTGAATGGGGTCCTGAGCAGTGCTGCCTTTTGATCTGGGCTCTCGTCTCCCAGCCGGGCATTTCGAACGACGTCTTAGCGCGCCTCGTGGAGCAGAGCGATGCTGGAATCACGTCATTCATCACGCCAGAGAGCAAGATTTCTGCTGCTTTCCTTTGCCTGCTCGATCCTAAACGTACCCCAGTATTAGAAGCTTTGATCCGCCGGTCTGCCAGAGAAGCCAGTAACATGCTCGAAAGCACCATCGCCGGGTCGACATTGATGAAGCTGGCACCATATGTGCGGTCCTCCAAGGACGAGATCATGCCTCCTTTCGACGAAGCCGATGAGATTCCTCTACGATTAGCTTCTCTATACCTCGTCAACTTTGAAGCCTACCAAGTCCTCGAAACTGGTCTGTCATCAAATGACGGAACTCTGCACCTCGCCGCCCTCCTGGCTCTCCCTAAATTCGTGGGATGGCTCCTCCAGTGGCACGACCCAAACCACGGGTCCGACGACTACGGCGCCATGACGCCCCTCGCGCTGGCCTGCTCGTCCCAGCCCGATCCCTGGTTCGAGGCCGCCATCAGCGACGTATCGTGGAAGTCCCGCCTCGTGGAGACGATGAGGCTCCTCGTGCCCAAGACGGACCGTTTCTGGCGGCATAGGGAGCGCCTGGTCCTCCACATCGCCATGGAGAACGGGTACGACACGACCGACGCGCTCCTCAAGGGGATGGAGGGTGCCCTTGAGGCGCAGGCGCGCGGCAAGACGAAGCATCTGTACACGGACAAGGCCGGGCAGGAGTACCTCCCGGTGGAGTACCTGCAGACGTTTATCGAGGCGGAGGAGGGGGATATGCTGCAGCTGAAGGGCTGCCTGGGGCGTTATGGCTTGTCGTGATGGCGTTTACGGGGCGGAAGAGGAAGTCCGGAACGCGCGTCTTTCTTCCAGCTACACCAACACATCAATCTACAATCTTCCGAGTATCTCCCAACCAGGCGCGGTTGGGAAAGCTCACAGTTTTCATGTTCATGCTCATGTTTGGTTTTGTTTTGTTTGATATTAGCATTGGCGTGTTTATGTAATGTACATGGCTTAGACTACTTGTTGTTATTATACCCAGAGACAGGACGCGGTCAATATAAGAATGATTAGGTTACAACTTCTCCCACTCTCTGTGACATGTGTATCGGGAGCCGCAGTCTTCATCAGATGGGATACATGGTAGAGATGACTATTTATTGTTTGATAAGACTTGGGCCGGAACAGAGCCATCCTTTCGGACTCTGACCAGAGAGCCACGAGAACCAAAAGTTCTCGTGACTCCCCGTCAAGGCAAAGCCCTCGTAGAGTCTTGGCCGTGCGACCTCGGGAGGCACCAGTGACAGTCTCATCGATGACATCGTCGATCGACAGGAGAATTTTCAGAGGCAGGAGTTGTATAGCTTTACTAGGTCAGAGCCTGCCCAGATTCTGTTCCCCGTCTGAATAAACATGTTGGTATCGGAGAAAAGGGCTTCCAGGCGACGGCGATCCTTGACTGTCGACATCTGCTGACGTTTGTCCCATCTAACAAGACATACATGCCACAGAAGCTCACAAAGTGGCTCGTCTCCAGGTCCTCTGCGCCAAGAGTGTTGACCCGGAAGCCCCCTCCTCCCCTTGGATCTGGCTGAATAGTCCAGGTTTTCAAGCAAACATCCCCCTTCCCCGTCCCGACTGAAAAGCCCTAGCTGCAACCATGTCTCCGAAGCGCAAGGGAGCCAGAGACGCCTAAACTTGGGTGAGGATTTCGTGCCCACCACCGAGTTGACAGGTATTTTGACATCATCGTCGAACCTCTAAGTCGGCCGTTCAGGGCAACGACAGAATGAGAGGCCACCAGAACCTTTCATACCTGCCGTGGGTCCCTTTCGCCACTAAAGCCGCTTCGTCGCGGGGAACAGGCGCCGGGATCACGTTCAAGACCTGTCGCACCCCCCGACAACAACCTCGAGTTTAAATACCTCGCAAGGCGGGAGAATCCATCCCGGCAAGCGGCAGGAATGAAAGAGACACAGGGCGAGAGAAAGTCCAGTAGGGAATGCACCATCCAGGACGAGGTAGAACTAAAGAACGAAAGAACGAGCCTCATTGGGGTTGAGGGGGACCAAATGATGCAGAGGACCTTGCGCTCGTACTGCGCCAGATTCGAAATACTGGCCACGCCAGAAGCACCGGTATATTCTGGTGTGGTAGTTGTAGTATGTTCCAATAATGAAGAACGGTGGGCAAGCTCTTTGTCTCTAGCAATTGGTTGTAGGTTGCTCCGATGGACGGATGTTGTCTTGTTTCTCTGGAGACAAAGGGGAGCAGTGGTATTACTTCCAAGTAGTTTGCCGTCTATGGCTTGATCCTGGTGACGAACCAGAGCTCTACATCGGCGTTCAGACTACTGACAGCCTCCTTCTGGTTGTCCTGATCTTCAATCATGATCAGGATCTGAAGAGACCGGCCATCATGGTCGTCAGTGTTGACATGCCCGCGAACCTTGTTGATCGCAGACTCGTGTAACAAAGCGTTATTGATTGTTTTTGCCGTTGCTATTACTATCGATGCGGACATTGTAGCGGTTCTCGATCTAAATGGTCAGATCAATACCCACGGTTCAATTTAATGCCACATCTTGGCAGTAGGATTGTAATGAATTGGCGAACTTCGTATCGGCCCTCGACCTCTGTTGCGTTGAGGCGTAGCTTCTTTAGGTAGCGTAGCGCATGCCCACAGTCTTGAGATGCTGCTTGCGTGGCTTATCGGTTATATGCCGACCATCATCGTCCTCGTTGATATATATCGCCCTCTCGTCCGCCTGAGAGCGGTCACGGTGTTCATTCGATCTCTTATTAAGCCATAGACAAGGCAAATATCGACAAATGTTTCGTAAAGAACGGAAATTTTTAAGGTCAGACTGACACGGAGGCTTGCTCTTGGTATTGCTGCTCATGGAACTGTTCATGGTTCTCGATCGGCTCACGGCTGGATGTGTTTGTGGCAACAGGCCAACCTGGTAGCGTCGACGAGCATTGTTGCCTCATAGCTGAGGAGCTCTACCCCTGCCCCTTATTTGTGCCAACATGTTTCTCCAGCACTGGGATGAACGTGGGCCGTTGCAAATCAGTGCATATGATTTGTAGTAAGTCATGCCTCCTGAGATTTGGAATCTTGTAAGAGTACTGGGTAAGTATAGTGCCAGCCTGTACACTTTGCTAGTCTTGTAGGATTCGACATGGGTCGGAGTCGACCCTAGGCAGACTTCTGTGGTCGATCTCCATTTGTTGAATCTGCTGGGTCTCCATACACCCTGAGATTCTCATATTAAAATTCCTTGCACTCTTTGGAGCCGCACTTCTTGTAGGCTCACTTGCTTGTACTTGGAGGGATGGGCTGTGTAATGGGCAGTGTAGCAAAAGACGACCACCACCATCTCATTGTCTGTCTCAGTGATTCCAGAGACATCGAGTACCCGGCTTCGACAACAAGGGTTGGCCATTTGTCCTCAACTTCTTCCTCCCCTGGATGTGTTGGGCACAGGCTTGATGAATCCCATGGTTCAAATTCGTTGTTGATGCACAACATGGCCCGATGGTGATCGTGCCGGCCGTATCCGATGCGATGCGTTCCTCATAGAGCGTGTCTAAGGTGAGGACTAAGAGAGGGGAGCGGCAAGAGGTAAGCGGCGAGGATATGTAGTATTTCCGATGCTAGAATTAATAAATTAGCCTAATTATGCCAGTAAAGTGCTCTTAAACTTACCATTTAGCTCATATAGAGCCTCTAGGCCTTTGAAAAAGGATGGTATCTTTTCTCCTGTGGTTGGATTAATTAGGGCAAGCAGGGCTGCCCCGACTGGGCTCTTCGGAGCTTAAGGTGCGGGTGGCATGAGGATGAGGACGAGGCTACTGGGGCCATCATCCGAGTCAAATCCCGAGGCGTTTGGTTAGAATGACGCCAGTAAATTGTTCAGCTTCTTCAATGACGCGAAGGAGGCGAGAGGTTTCACTAGACCAACGGTATGGATGACTCGGTTTGGTGTGTAGTTGCGAAAGAAAGAAAGGTGAATTGCTCCTACCTGAACTTGAAGTTTTAGGGTTGCCTTGCGTCAACGACTAGTCATAGGCGTTGACGAAGGACTGGCTTCCTTCCCGTACCAACCATCCGCGCCTTCCCCAGGTTTTCCTCACTTATGCAAGCTGCCTGAAAGCTGGTCCTGACCCGCAGGAAACCCTGCTAGAGGCATATCCGAGGGAGGAATGCCAGAGACTGGTCGATGTCGCTGCTTCTCGTTTTTTTAAGGTGATTGTACTCTTTCAACACCATGGCGGTTTAAAACGACGGGTCGGTTTCGGAGCTCGCAAAACCCTTCCAGCCGTTCAGCCAGGCTGATGCCAGCACCGCAAAAAAGTGTGGCGGGACTGGCCTCGGTCTAAGTATTTGCAAGTCGCTCATCGAGACCATGATGAAGGGCAAGATCCAGCTCCTTTGCTGCCGAATGTCTCCTACCACTCATTGCACGAACGTCAGCGTCTTCCGCCCGCAGTCTAGCCTTTTTCAGGTCGGCCTGGCTGGCGGCTCGGTCCTTCCTATAGTTATCTTCTCATGGCTCGGAGGTCTAGGTACTTCGTATCTACCAACACTTGTAATCTTTTTTATCGACATTGGTTCCCTTGTCAAGCTGATGGTGGATAGAGGCGCAGCTCGACATGCAGACCGCCAACTACTCGTGAGCCTGTGAGCAATCGGTTCCAAAACCTCGCGAACGTGCGAAACTTCGAGAGATTCCGACCACGCCCTGAAGATGTCAAGAAATCTTGCCACCACTCTCACCCTCTCAAGCTTGCCCCAGCAGCAACAAACTACTACAATCAAGGCCCGAGATTTCAATACTGCCCGTCGGACTACCACGACCCTACAGAAAGATACCCCGTTGTCAAATTATAATACTTCTGTATTGCAAAGGACGGAGACCCCACCGAGCCAACCGAACCAGAAGAAGCCGGAGGATACCCAAAGCAACAGCCAACCGAAGAAGAAGAGGATGCCAAAAGTTTCCACCACTCGATCACCCGTGAAGACACTGCAGAACAAACCGAACAAGAGAAAGGTGACACCGGCCTCTCTCACCCAAAACCCAAGGTGTCACCCAAAAAGAGGCGAGTTAAGGTTGCAAGCACCATCACTGGCAGTCCTGTGAGAGGCTCCAAAGCGCTCAAGGAGCTCATACAAGTTCAGAAGGTGATTCTGACTGGCAAACAACACAAGAGAAACCAACGTGAAGAAGGCAAACAGGTCCACCTGGCCGACTGACTTCCGTGGTATCAGCCATTCTTCGAAAATTCGGTTCCCGTAAGCTTAGTAGCAGCGAAAACACCCATCATGGTAGAATTTTGCCTTTGCCTAGTTCTTCTTCTCGTTCTTCCTCGCTTCGGACTCCGAAACTTAGAGACTCGCATCAACGTCGCTCTTGGAGAACTATTCCTAACTATCACATGGCGCAGGCTCGCCATACAAGTCTCTCTTCTCCGGCTTGTCGTCAAATTCACCATCGAAGATACCATGATCATTAAGCTATCGATGAATAAGGCAGCTCTTGAACGCCCTCTGACCGACGTCTTCGTGGGGCACAGGGGATCTGGTCACAGTGGCGTCGTGATCAATGTCCCGAACTTGCTCCTCTACCACTTCAAACTCGCGGCACCGATGAAGACGCCGTTCAAAAGATCTCTTCCGGCTACTCCTGTTCTCGCCACGGTATCCAGTCTATATGCCATCCTTTGGCATGCGGCCTGGAGAGTTAATCTCGACGTTGGAGCAAGTATGAGGGACGGCATGACTGGGGTCATACGTACCCATGTAGAGTTCAGGGGTGGTTTTGTTGTCTACGGGGTGGACGTTGCGCTTGCACTGAGCGTCGGCCTCAGAACCTAGGGAAGAACCGGGTGATGGCGAGCTGCCCCCTAAATTGAAGGGCTTGAATTCCCTCAGCTAGCTCTCAGCCAGATAATGGGACAGGTGGTGAGGATCTGAGAAGTGGTCCTCAGATGGTCGGCTACAATAGGAAGTTCGTCACCTGAGGGGACCAATCGGTATTGAAAAAAATCGTGGGGGTGAGGGACTCTGGCATCAGCAGTGTATTAGGATATAAAGAGCGAGCCTCAACACTACGCTATAATAAAATGATCTGTTTCCCAACCCGTCGGACACCGTGAATGTACCACCGCCTTGAACGGCCCTCCCTTTTCATCCTCGCTGGTGTTGCCGTTGAAAAAGGAGTACGGCTCCTCTATGGAACTCAGGTCGTCGCAGGTAGGGTCGTTCTCATCCTCGATCCTAGCCGCGACTATTCCCCAGCAGCCCGACGTCAACGTCCGCCGCCGGCTCTCGTCCTCCAGGAACGAGACAAGCCTCCTCGCCTGCCGGACGTTCCACAGCCCCTCGCGGCAGCTCTGGTCCTCGTATGCGCGGAGCCAGGCGTTGATCCAGTGCCGGATCCGCAGATCCGAGCTCCAGCGGTACGACCCGACAAGGGCGGGCATAATGCCGTGGCCGAAGGCGTTGTGTTTAGCGCATCCCCGCGGGGAGAGGCCGGCCGCTATCCGGCAGATGAAGAAGACGGTCGAGTCTGTATTTGGGGGCCTGCTCTGGGCTCCGTTGGGCATGTAGCGCGTGTTGGCGCGCATGCGGGAGCAGAGGAAGTGGGCGTAGTTGACAGCGGACGTGATGGGGTTCGTTGCGTTGGGGAACGAGAGCGGTCTGACTTCGAGCGGCGGGATGGTTGATCCCGGCTCCGCAGCGAACTTGACGGACTCGGCGATGCCGGTGTCGACCGGCAGTTCGGAGACGGGGAGCCTCTTCTGCCAGTCCATGAGCTTCTGGTCGATGAGCTGCATCTTCCTGGCCCATTTCTCCTGTAATTCTGGCCGATGACGGAATTTCAGCTCCGTCTTGGTTACGTCTCGTATCAGCAATAGGAGGCGGTCCCTCGATGAGTCGGACCCTTCCATCATGGATTCAAGGTGGGTGGCCACGCCGGGGTTCATGTCCTGGACCTTCGTCAGGGCCAGGTCGCTGTTCTGCAGCTCCACGAGGAGTGCCATTCTGGCGAAGGTGCTGGCTAAAAGACGCCCACGCCGGTCGTGGAGGATGCTCTGGTGCCATTTGCTGAATATCCTCCCCGAAGTGCGCAGGTGACGCCTCCAGGAGCTGAGATTACCACGGTACAGGTCGAAGTTAGCTAACAGCAGGTGGGTCAGGATCCAGCTCAAGAGGCCGGAGGTGCAGCCGGAGACCTGCATGGAGGACAGGGAGTCTGGGGGAAAAGCCTTGCGGAGATTCTGCATAGCGCTTATGTAGTGGTGAGAAGCATGGCTCATACATTCGGCGGTGGTCGAGCTGAATTTGCTGGCGGTTATTGCTGAGACGGCCAGCGCGGCGCTCCAGCAGTGCGAAGCCATCACTGTCTCGTCCATTAATACGTCGGCGATTGGCAGGATCGGTTCCAAGCCTTCGACTTGGTTGCTCTGGAGTCGCATGATGTACTTTTCGTCCTGGGGAAACGACATGAACCGGTAACCCAAGGCGCTGTGCATGGAAAGGGGCTGGGCGATTGTCGGGATCTGCCCCAGGTTGATCGAGGACGGGTCTAGTTGGATGCTAAGCTCGGACAACGAGTTGGCATCGAGAGGCAATGACGCCGGGGCGCAGGGATAGACGGCTTCTTGGTCGATGGGAGACCAAGAAGCCAACTCCCAATCCTGGAACATCCACTCCTCGCCGTCGAAGATGCCCGGCTCCTCGCTGTTCGGCGATATCGTCTCTATTGTCTGATCCTGCAGGGCGCACACGTCTTCAATTATCTCCGGGATGGCAGCGATGGCGGCCTTCGGACTGGTCCGGGTTTCCACCAGCGTCGTCTTCGTCGGTCGTATACGGGGGTTGGCCGAGGGCATGCCTTGGGCTTTCTGGGTGACGCTGAGGGTCTCGTCGCAGAAGGATATCCTCTTCGCATAGCCCTCGCACACGCGGTTCATCTTGGAGCACTGGAATCGTGATCAATCACCCTCGTCCTCGTTCACTAGGCGCCGTGGCAGAACCTACGTTGTTGCACTTGGGGTGCGTCTTGTCGCACCGCAGATGGCGCTTGCGGCAGGTAATGCACCCATTCCGGTCTCGGGAGGTGACATTTCGCTTTCGCGGCACTCCGCCGTATCTCTTCTGAGACTGGGACGGGGTTGGACTGGTCGAGGCTGCGGTGTTGGGCATCTGGGCGGTCGTCGTTGGCTGGGGGCAGATTGGGGGATGGCTCAACTGAGGGGAGATGCAACAACTAAAACCAAAGAGAAGGGAAATAGCACGGGGCAGCGGGTGAATTGCTTATCTTCCGGTGGCACGACGTCTTATCTCCAGCATCGGATGCTACATCCTGGCTGCATTAATAAGGAGAGGCCTGGGAGGGACCAGGATAAGTCGGGGGAGATAACAGGACAACCCTAGTCTGTCTCCTGGCACTGCTGCGGTTTCATTGGGATCTGAAATATCTCTATTTTCGCCGGTTTACTCATCGTTTATCTATCTATACTGGCCTCTCAAGCCCATACCGTCTGTCTACATCTGCACTTCGGCTTTACTATATACATATACAATGCTCAAGCTATTATTCCGTCCGGACGCATTTATCCGGCTGGTGTCACGCGCTCGCTGAATTCCACAGTTTCCAGAGCTTACCACCCTCTACAGAAATGAGATGCTGGGGATCACCCTGCTCGACGATCTTGCCCTGTTCCATGACACAAACCCAATCAAATTCCACTACGGGGGCCAGCCGATGCGCAATCGCGATCAACGTCTTGCCATAGAAGCGCTCCTTCAGGAGTCTGTGGATTCTCTTCTCGCTCTCGGAATCGACGCTGGCCGTGGCCTCGTCGATCAGCACGATGCTGGCGTCTGTCACCAACGCCCGGGCCAGGGCAATGAGCTGCCTCTCCCCGTGAGACAGATTGGAGCCATCTGCTGAGATGTGCGTATCCAACGTCCACTTGGCTCTATTCTCCGCGTCGCCCATGACGTCCGAAAGAACCTCTTGCAGCCTCTCGTCGGACACCCTCCCGCCAAAGTCAAGGTTGAAACGCAGGGAGCCCGTGAATAATGTCGGGTTCTGCGGAATGAAGCAGATGCGTTGCCGCAATTCACTCACCTCGATCGTCTCTATGTCGCAGCCGCCGATGAGCACTCTCCCACGAAATGTCTCCGTGAGCCTCAGCAACGCCGCGGCAAGGGAGCTCTTCCCACTTCCTGATCTTCCCACAATTGCGACGCGCTGGCCGGGCCTGGCTTCCAGATTGACCTCCGACAGCACTACGTCGCCGTCTAGAGTGTAGCCAGAACTAAAGTTCTCGAATTTGACGTGGCCGCTCTGAAGTGAGAGGTCAACGCCGAGCGGTGTGTCATCGCCAGGTGTTGATTGTCGCTCTTGCGGTATCGCATGGATATACTCCTCGATTCGCTGGAAGCAATTCATCTCGACCTGAAGAAGGCTGGAGAGGTAGACGATGTCTTCATTCCGAGTCAGCATGGTTAGCCTAGGGTCGATGATACAGAGACTTACACAAGAGAGCGGTGCACAGTGTCGTCGCACTCGTCATGCTGAACCCAATGGCCGCCGGACTTGTACGAGACGTGATAGCGAGGACTGCCGTCAGCAGTGAGATGGAGCCGGCGCAAAAGTCCATCCTCACGGCGAGCCATCTTTGCGTGGCGCTTATGGCCTCCCAGCCACGCAAGTAATGCTCGAGAGAGTAGTAGAACCGGTTTCTCCACGCTTCTTCTTCTTGATGCGCCCTGATAACTTCTATCCCGGAGATCACATCGTTGATGCTAGTAATGATCGGGGATAGACTTGCCGCGTATATCCTCTTGGCAGCCGTCGATCCGTATAGATATACCTGGCCGATATACAAGCTGACGCCGAGCAAGAGAATCGCTGGTATCAGAAAGGTGGGCAGAATGGTCGAGACCGCAGCCAAGCGGAACCCTATCGAGAGGAAGTTTTCGACCACCTGCTTCAGTAGCTCGGTGATGGTGTTATCCAGAGAAAATATATCCGAAGAGAACCGATTCAGGATTACCCCAACTGGCGTAGCCGTTGCCCACGCAAGGGTGGTTCGGAATACCGAGGACAACATTTGGGAGTGCTCAGTCCGGCTTGCTCTCAGAGCCCCATAGAAGAACATCAGCGAGGATACGCAGACAAGGAACAGCTGGATGACCCCAAGGCCAGTGTAGATACCAAGATAGAAACCGGATGCTTGTTTCTGTTGCTGACTGCTCTGCTGCCCTGAGCCTTTCGACCAAAGGGTCAACCAGAATGAGAGAAGCACATCAGTGGCTTGGGCGAGCAACACTGTCCCGCAGAAACAACACAGGAAATATTTCGAACCAAAGAGCCGCATGTACTTGAGAATATAGTTCTTCCCAATGAGGCCGCTGATGAGCTTTTCGGACTTTTCACAAGACTCCCCAGGCTCGTTTTTCAGCACCTCAGTGTCGGAAATCAGCTCTGCTCCGTTAAGGGCACCTCTGTCTAAGAGTCCAGCAGCTGATGTATCCGTGCGGTGGACTCTAGATTCTGCTACGGGGAGCTCTCTGTTCCGTAAAATCGTTAGAGCCCCTTCGTTGCTGAGCTCGAGGAGTAGATCGGCCTCTTCTCGACACGTCGAGTCCTCAGTTACCAGGACGATGGTTCGCCCCTTCATCAGCGGACCCAAAATGCATGTATCGACCACCGCCCGACTGGTTTTGGCGTCAAGAGCGGCGAGAACATCGTCCAATACAACAGTTTGCGTGTCCGCATACACTGCCCTGGCAAGTGCAACTCGAGCTCTTTGGCCTCCAGAAAGCGACTGCCCTCGTTCACCGACATCTGTGGCATCCCCGGCAGGGAAATCTTGAAGATCAATCTTCAGCCCGGTCGCTTGTAACACTTCGTTGTATCTTCTCTCGCTGAATGGAGCATTGAAGAGGATATTCTCCCTAACCGTACCGTGATGAAGCCAGGGTGTTTGTCCGGCGTACGATATCGGATCACGATCCTTTGAACGAATAATGAATACACCACCTGATACATGGGCTTCTCGAATCAAAGCCTTCAATAATGTCGATTTTCCAGATCTGAAAACATTAGTGTTGACCTAAAGGGGGGGACTGCTTTACAGCACGTACCCTGTTTTGCCCGTTATGACATTCAATCCGCCCGCGACGAGATCGAAATTGGCTTTTTGAACGACTGTCCTCCAGTTTCCTGACTGACAAAGAGCTTGTACAGTGCCCTCTCGAGCACCAAGAATGGGAGGGGGTCTATCAACGTCCTGATATCGGGCATCATCTGATCCATTCCAGAAATCGCCCTGTGAAGACTCTTCGTCCAAGAAATCAAGCACTCTCCTTAAAGACACCATTGCTTGCGCATTTGTGCTAACACCAATGACAGCTAGCGACATCATATTCTTCAGCGTATTAAAAATTGAAACAGTGGTAAAGACGACGGCAGGGGTCAACGGCCTCCCTTCGACCATGGTGTAGAACCCGAGAGACAGGATAAGCGGCACCAAGACGAAGCTCGAAGATAGAGTATCTGATGTGACCACGATCTTCATTTTATTCCAAATGGCTGCCAACTCCGCCTCTCGTTTCTCGTCGACCCATCTCTCGAACACCAGGCTCTGCCCGAGCATCTGCACGGTTTGGAGGCCCTTTATCACCTCGCTTACCCGGCGGACTCTGGCATCTATGGCGTTCATCACCACCGACTGTGCCCTGCCCTGGAAGCGGTTGATGTACCAGGATATTGGGATGCGAGCAGCTGCCATGACGATCAAGCCTGGAACGTAGGACCATCCAATCGTCTGGTAGAGCAGCACACTTGCAACGGCTACCTCGACCGGCACCATGAACCCAGCCATGATGGTATACCGAAGAACGGCGATCTTGTCCAGATCAGCCGCGACATGGTTGGTCACCTTTCCGGAATCCGGGCGAACGCCAGGCTTCTGCTTCAGTAGTTTCTCAAAGATCGTGCTGGTGACCATGGACTTCAAGTGGCAAATCCCCTCCGTCGAGAAAGACTCAAAAGTCTGCATGCAGAGACCCCGGATGATGGGGGAGGCTCCGAACAGCAGAGCCGAGAACCATGGCGTGAACGACCCTTCCGGCGAAGATCCTTGCAGGTAGTTGAGGAGGCTGCGAAGCCCGATGGCTCCGAGGAACTCGGCCAGCCCGCAGAATATCATGCAGGTGCCCATGATTGCCACTCTTGGGCGGAAGAGAACCCACATGGCGCCTCCTGTAGAGCCGACCCTTTGTCTGGTCTGGCAGAATCGTAGCCACCAGGACCACGGGCCGCTTCTCTTTGTTAGGATGGGTATGTCGGCCCAGGTGACCTCGCCTTGCATGCGGTAGGCGGTGGCCACGAAGGGGTTGATCCATCCGTACGTCCACCATCGAACGATCGGTGAACAGACGGCTGATGGATGGAGAGATGATGGCTCCTCGTGGACATCGTTGTGGAATGGGGTCAGTAAAGGGACGATGATCGAGGCCGCGGTTGCAGCCACCAAACTAATGATCCGGATAGTATCTAGGCTTGCATCAGGGTGTACGGTGATCAAAGGGGTGATTTCCATGGGCACTATGACAAGGGAATACGCCCCAAGGGCGAAGAGATTCCCCAAGGCGTGGAACCTGCATCGTTTTCGATTCGATATGAAGTACCCAATTCGGCAGATCAAACAATACACCTATCGACGGTTGGTTAGAGATAGCAAATGGCACTCGCCTCTTTCGGTAACATACCCAGACAGACTCCAATACAACGATTCGAAAATCACGACATTGCGATAGGCGCAGGCCGTCCAAAACGAGACATACTATCAGAGAGGAAATGCTCGCAGTATTGGCTAGAATATGCGCCCGCGACAGGCCATATGTCGTTGGTCGCCGAGGCCGGTGCCAGACAATGTAAGTGGTGAACGATAGAGCTACAACAGCGCCAATGAGGACCCAAACTAGGGTCCATTGCTCGATGTGACATGAAGTGCCCTTATCTATCGACATGGCCTGGCTGAATACCATATTTGCAGCCGCGCGCCGTGGCCGTGAAGTCACGAAGCACCAGAAGACAAATAAATGTTGAGTGATTACGTCGGCATCGCAGCAGCGTCATGTATATGGATGATTTTTCACCAAACTCTACGGATGCTAGTTATAGGCCGTGCTTCCACTCAATCTCCTCGTCTGGGGCCTCTCCCCGAAGCCCAAGAAACCGGGCATGGACCTTGCACAATGGAGAGCGCGATATCGTGACCCATCGCCATTCCAATCTGCCTCGTTTTGGCTGAGCTGGGCCTCGCTTCCAAAAGAGGCAACACGCAACTGCAGCTGAGTCCCACTCGTATAAACATGCCGCTTTGGGATGCGGAACAACAAACCAGCGTCGTAGATAAGAGATTCCGTTCAATCCGCTGCTTGCGCGTCTGCCGTTTCAGACTAGACGCCTGCTGCAATATAGCTGGCATTGTTACTGTGCTGTGTGTTTCTGAACCTCATTTGCCCGCAGACGCCCAGCCCCGGTCAAGATGGCTACCCTACACCGAGCTGTGACCTTGGCGGTCGTCGTGCTTCTAGCTGGAATAGCCTCGGCTGCTTCTATTGGTAGTCAGCAGGTCCTTCTTGGGCCAAAGAGAGTCGAGTACATGCGTGTTAGTGACCCTGCGTATCCCGACCATTCCATCTGCATCCACCAGCAGCATGATGATCTCTGTGATGCTGGGTCGAAACAATACACTGGCTGGTTGGACACCAACGGCAAGCATTTCTTTTTTTGTAGGCGAGAACACAGATCCTGAATTACTCCCAAATTTTAACTCGTCTTCTTTTAGGGTTCTTTGAGAGTCTCAATGACCCTAAGCAGGATCCCTTGAACTTGTGGATGACTGGCGGGCCCGGCTGCAGTGGTCTTATCGGTGAGTGCCAGAGAAGAATATGAAAGGTTGACATTGAAGGCTCTGACAATTTGCATGTCAGGTATGATGCTGGAGCTCGGGCCTTGCCTCATCACGGACACTGCAAACTCCACGACTCGCAACCCGTACTCCTGGACGAGGAATTCCTCCATGATATTCATCGACCAGCCCGCAGGCACCGGGTTCTCCTACGTCGACGAAGGCATCGAACTGCCAACAGACTCCTTCGTAGCCGCAGCCGACATGCAAATCTTTCTGCGCATTTTCTACTCAGCATTCCCTCACCTGCGCTCCGTGCCGTTCCACATCTCTGGCGAGAGCTACGGCGGGCACTACATCCCCACCCTCGCCGCCGAGATCGTGAGGCGCAACGCCCTCCCCGGATTCGACTCCGACTTCAAGATCCCGCTGACATCCGTCATGATCGGCGACGGCTTCGTGTCGCCCCTCGACACCACGTACGGCTACTACGACACCCTCTGCACGACCAAGCCCGGCGTCCCTGAGCCGGTCTTCAACTCCACCCGCTGCGACCAGATCTCCGAGGCGCTCCCGCGCTGCGTCTACCTCCACGAGGCGTGCTACGAGTACCCTGACGCCATCCTCTGCCACGCCGCCGACTCGTTCTGCAGCAGCGAGATCAGGGCCCTGTTCGACGACGAGACGGGCGAGGGAGGGCGCGACCCCTTCGACGTGACGCGGACCTGCGAGGTCGAGCAGCTGTGCTACACGGCGGTGCTTGACATCGAGAAGTACATGAACACGAACGCGGTGCGGCAGACGCTGAAGATTCCCAAGGAGATTGGGAACTTTACGATTCTGAACAATGATATCCACGAGGGGTTTTGGAAGGGGAATGACTTGTTCGTGAGCACGGTGAAGGAGGTCAAGTACGTCCTTGAGGCTGGTATTGACGTGCTGGTGTATAATGGGAACCTGGACCTGGCTTGCAATACGGCAGGTAACCTACGATGGGCCGAGAAGCTTTCCTGGACCGGGCAGGCCGAGTTTGTCTCCAAGGGCATGCGGCCGTGGTCTGCCACGAAGGATGGTGAGAGTGTTGTTGCCGGCAGTATGAAGGAGGTGCGCGCCCTGGCCACGGCGGGTGCAAAGAAGAAGTCGAGGTTTGCGTTTGTGAGTGTTGATAGGGCAGGGCATATGGTGCCCTTGGACCAGCCGGAGATAGCACTCTATCTCATCCAGACATGGATGTCGGATGGGGAGTTTTAGAAGGAAATATTTGACTGAAGATAGAGTACAAAATTCTCATCATTTAATTAAATTGTTTATTGCCGAATTTGGTATATTGTGATGGAAGGTCAATTTGAGTTTAAGATTGATCCGCCCCTTTTTTCAGGGGTAACATCGTTACAGAGTTTGGAGGGGAACAAACCATCCTCTTATTACCACCGAAAGAAAATCAATTTCAAAGTGATGAAAAAGGACAAAAGGGGATGATCGCTCCTTATAAACCAAAAAAATATCTATTTCCAAGTAGGAAGGCTGAGAATATGCAATCATTTGGCTATGATTTCTATGTATACCACTAGAATGTCCTTTCGATGCAATGATTATTTGAGCCAGCGGTTTAAACAATAACTCTAAACCGTCAGAAATCCTATCCCATGGCCGAGTGCCAGCAAGCGAGGAACATATATTCTTCCCATATTTAAACATGTGTCCAGAACCGACCACACTCAATGTTAGAACCATTTAGCTGGGCCAAATGTCTCTCCTTCAGGCACTGTATCCAAAGGAGTCCCCATCCCATCAGCCGTCATGTAAGCGATATTGTTACCCCACCAATCCAACGTCACGCCCGGGTAGGTGAGACAGAAGAAGACCAGGAAGGTGGTGATGGCCAGTCCCGAATCCAGAGCAGCCGAGAGCAGGTAGTTGTATTTGGACCACCAGGCGCGGTAGCGTCTCTTGATCCACATGTTGAATGTGAGGCCGACAATGCCCCACGAGATGGAGTTGGCGGCGGTGGCTGGCGGGATCGAGGCGGTCGAGGAGAAGATGACCGGCATATGGATCTAAGAAGACAGGGTTAGCAGGGAAACTGGCCCAACTCGAAGAAGTTGTTCGACACGTACATTAGCCAGGACTTTGTTTTCGGGAAACTTCTTGCCGGCGACATATACTATTACAGGAGCGATGGCTCCAATCAAGAAGAACCACAGCATGCTGGTGTACATGGAACCAGAGACGAATAGCTTGGTGGGACCAATCAAGCCCCAGAACACGGCGTTGGCCGCATATCCATTAGCAAGGGGACAAAAGAACTGTTTTTGGAGTCAGTCGGGATGATAACATTTGACGTAGCGTTTTGTGAAGTGGCACCTACGTTGTTGACTGCCTTCTTAGTGCATATACCCTCAACATTTGCCATGGCCCACATATTGACGCCGCTCTGAACCAGCCACGAGAGGATGATGCTCAAACACTGAGCCGTGAAGGTGATTCGAGGGGGGATCTTCATGTAGTGGCCGGTCTTCATCGACTGGACGTACCCGAGACCCTGGAACGTGCACACGAGTGTGAAGCACTTGAAGACGACGTTATTGACCATCTGACCCGGCCAGATGAGACCGCTGATGAGGGCCGACAGAACACCCGTGTTGATGGTCATGTTGCACGTGGCCTTCATTATGCCGATGGGGACGAGGAGCACGATGTTGATGAGGACGCTGAGGATGAGACCCCACCATGGCAGGCCGGTCTTGTACACGTACAGGAACGCCATGCTGACACCGAAGAGGATGGCGAAGACGATTCCGTACCACCATTCTGGAACGGGCTTGTATGCTCGCATGAGCTTACCGTGGATATCTTCGGTCTCATCGCGGCTGCCCTTGAAGGCTGTCTTGAGGGTGCTCCATAACATCTTTGAGTGGTATAGATATGTGTGCACAAGGATAGACGTGATGGAGGCGAAGCCGAGACCGTAGGACAGGACTGAGGTGGTGGAGAGAAAGACAGGTGAGTAGGCGGCGTAGGCTTCATTGTTCAAGCTGAAGTCGTCGTTCATGACTCTGCTGGTATTGTAACTGGCGCCCGTGTTGTCGAATGTGGAGGAGGAGGAGAATGGGAAGTACCGCCCGTACCACACATTCTGCCAGTGCAGTGCCGGAGATATGATCCAGAGAAATAGAACGCTACCGGCCAACACGTTGACGATGGCCCAGGATGGAACCACCAAAGGGGAGGACAAGTATCCAGAGATCTGGTTCCAGTCCAGCGTAAGCGGCAACAAGTCCATGCCGGTGGTTGCTCCAAAAATCTGGTTGAGCGTGACATTGTTTGGCCGGATCCAGGTGATCCACGCAAAGGTAGTCAGCGAGGTGAACAAGAAGCTGGGCACGACCTGCCAGCTCCCCGCGATGACGACGGCGAGCCAAAAGAACTTCATGCGGTTGACTTTCCAGCCGTCTGCGATCTGGTTCTGGAACTGGGGATCGTGGAAGGCGTAGATCATGGAGCAGGTAGGGAGCGCGCCCGGCCAGATGCATACAGAAGGGCGCACAAGGAACCGATGGAAGATGCCGACGAACCCGAAGCTGAGGGCTTGCGTCGTGAGCAGGAACATGAGACGGAACCCGGGAGAGATGGGGATCCCCAGAAACTTGTCGAAGGCGACATAGATGTCGGATGCCAAGGAGCCATTGTCGAAAGCCGAGACCAGAGTGGTCATGATGGCCGTGATGGTGTGCTCCTTGTGGTTGAAGGGGCCGGGATTGAGGCTGACTTCATGGCCGAAGATGGAGAATGTCGTTGTCGGGAGGACACGGGCCATGAAGTGCCCCACGGGCAGAGTGATGATGATGACGAGATAGGAAGCAAGGAAGACTGTGGGCGGATCGGATTAGCGAGACAAATAAAAGGCAAGGATTGGATAGATTGACGAACTGGGCGGGGAGTGCAATTGGAAGAACTGGAGGATCCCAGAGAAGAGGATGGTGGAGACGATGCCAAGGAACCACGCTCTGAAGGTGTTGACCGGCAAGTCCACATCGTCGACGGGAGGGACAATTGCGCGGACCTCGTCGAAGGGGCTGGAGAGAGGGAGAGTCAGTATGCGAATTGCTTGGTATCATGCGCGACTGAGAAAGAAAGGACGGGCATACGAGTCTTCCACCTCGCCGCCTTCGACGCTCATCTCCTTGTCGTCCGCCGCTGGGACGGACTCGTCCTCCTTAGACTTCATTTCGTAGTCTGAAACAGTCGCCACTTTGCCAATGGAAGCCATGATGAGAAGCTCTCCGACGCGAGGGCGTGTCCGAGTGTGATGTTCCTGGTGGCATCTAGATCATGAGCACGTCGCTGTCATCAGGCATTCATTATATCGGCCAACGAATCGTCAAGAGAGAGAAGACTGGCGGCAGAAGATTAGAATGGCGAGGTCCCGGCCGATAGCTTATCACGTATAACATTACCAGAATGGAAGCCGTGTTGGTCCTCGTCCCCACACACACGCTTGTGACCGGGGCGACTGTGATAGGAGGAAGTCTCCAATCTGGGGTAGCAGAAGCACGCAAACCAAGGCTATCAGATAGGCACTGGCCCTGGTGGATTGGCCGATGGTGAAGGAGCTGCGTTCGCTGGACAGTGGCAGAGCATGTTGGTCGACCGCGCTGGCTCAGGAGTGTTGGCCGGGTGAGAGAACAACCATGCAGGAATAGCGTGACAAGTCCAGGATCCCTGAGCTCATTGCGACGTTCGCGGGGAGGCACTATTATCCGCCAGTCAATGCTTGGTGTTGGTGATCTACAGCGAAGGGGTAATCCTAGTTGATGCGACGTCGCCTGTCACTGAAATTCAAAGCCTGAAACACGATGTCACCTAATTGCTAATCGTTTCATAAGGACTGGAACAATTTATTTCCAGTGCCGGTGTAATTAATATGTATTCTGTTCTATGCAATTGCGCGCCTCAGGCATCAACTACGTCAAAGAGCGCTCCGCCAATATCTCTGCAGAGAAGGCACACTTGCTCCGAACCCACGATCCGTATCTGTAAAACAAAAATGGAAACGGGAGACATGCCAATGCCAGGAAGGCAGGGACCGATGATGCCCAGTGAATCCCGAGGCCGGCATACATCTTGGTCGCGAAGAGCGGGAACGCCGCCCCGAACACCGATCGCATGAAGGCGCTCGCAGCCAGCGCCGAGGCCGCATATATCGCATAAGAATCGATGAGGTAGTTCGTCAGGCTCAGAAAAACGAGCACGAGCCCTGCTCCGAATACTCCGGAGGCGATGATCGGTACGATCCAGGCGATGTCGGGTCCGTTCGTCCAGGCAAACCAGAACAAGCCGACGGGCAGGAAGCATGCGCCTATCATTGCAGGTGGCAGCCTGGACTCTGGAGGCGCTGATCCGGTCGCAAGTGTGAGCGCCCGATATCTCTTCTGGTCATACAGGAGGAACGCGATTGAAAGAGCCATTCCTATCGTCATGCCTAGAAATGCCAGTGCACTGATCTCAGGGGCCCATCCGCGCGTTTGTGCAAAGATGATGGGGAAAGCAGGGAAGAGCATATACAGCGTCCCGTATATGAAGGCGATGTATATCGCGCTCAACAAGACAATCGGCTCGCGTACCAGCATCACCCAGGGCCGGGATAGTGCGATCCGAAAACGATTCTTGGCCCTGGCCTGGCTCTTCTTGTCTTCGAAGCGAGAGATATACTGGTCCCCAGTGATGACAGACAGTTTCTGAGCCCGCCGGCGCAACAAGACGGGACTGTACGTCTCTGGGACGCTGAATGCGCAGATTACCACCATCACACCAGTGAGAATGGCTATGAGCCCTTCAACCCATCGCCAGCCGCACCTCGTACCCAGAAAACCACTTACGATTGGACCTGTCAATACCAAATTAGAAATATGCAGGCACTGGCAACTCTTATAAGTCGCTCACCTAGAGAAGGGCCGAGAAGTGGTGCAGAAGCAAAAAGGATGCTGGCCCGACCACGCTCGACCGGCGCAAACAGGTCGGCGACAGCAGCGCCGGCATTGACAAGGGGCGCCGAGCCCACCGTACCAGCAAGGAAGCGCAGTATTATCAATGTCTGGATATTTTGTGCAACAGCAGCGCCGACGTTGAAGATGACCAGCGCAGTGTACGTCGACAGGAACACATACTGCCGACCGAAGAGTTCGGAAAGCGGCGCCCAGAACAGTGGCCCGATCGCGAAGCCAAGGACGAAGAGCGAGATGCCCAAGACGCCAACTTCTGACGAGACGTTGAAAGTGCGAACGACATCCGGTAGCGCTCCAGAAAATGCGGTGCTAACAAAGGCCACGATGAAGGCGCTCAAGGCCTGCAGGAAGATGATGGTCCATTTCTTCCTGGACGAGAACGCTCTTGGATTCCTGTCGTCAATTGGGAGAAAATCAACGATGAATGGTGATTGGGAGGTGCCATGGCCGGGGTATGAGTGTGCAATTACTTGGGAATCAACACCGGCCTGGTCGATAAGACGTTGGAAGTGGCTTGATCTCGATGAGTTTTCCTGGGTTTCTTGCTCTACTTTCTCCGGATCTCCAGACAACCCTGGTCTCTGTGGCGATGCCATATCAATGGCTTCAATTTTGCGGCTGGTTCCGGTGGCTGCAATGGAGATACTACGGTAAGCGAAGCACTTCACACCACAGGCTCTTAATTTTAAGGCGGTTCAACGGCTAAAGCCCTGGATACAGACAGTCACGCCAGTTAACACTATGGACGCATATGCGATGGAACCCTGATCGGGAATAGGGCTCGGAACGGTTATGCATCCTAAAAACAACCTACACCTGCAGGGACTCTCATAGCTCTCTGCCGGAAACCTTAAAGGCCAATGAGCATGGTATGATGTTGGCCCAGTAGCCACCGTTATCTTGCTCGTTCCCATATACCCGATTGGGATCCTTCGAACCGCCCCATACGTGTATGGGCCAGTCTATCGAGAGAAAGCATTGCGTGCTTGCATTTTCATTACGAAATTATTTATTTCAAGTGGCCCTTCCGAGATCTAAGAGATCTTGTGAGAAGACATTCAGGAACTAAGTTTGCGATTCATTCCCCACCTTATGGAGACAGTCCCAATATTACCAACTCTAGTGTTTTGCATGCTCGTACCCGGTGCTGTTTCCAGAGAACTTAGTCTGCTCATCGTAAGGCCAAGAGAGAGCATGTAGCAATGTACGTTTTTCTTGTACCAATCTGTAATATCGTTCCCGGATTCCTGATTTGAGATATGCCCGACCATTCAACGAAGTACAAACGGAGATGTACTCCTTCTCAGCGTCCTCTGCAGGAACGACAAGTCATGTTTGTTTTTAGACCGTCTTTGGTGCTCTTCGATATTGACCCTTGACCCAACCATATTGAATCAAATCTAGAATCACGCAGCTTCATTGGCCCACACAGTCTCGCAGGTCTTGTATCGTCTCATCCACACAATGGCACCCTCTGTTGACAAATCCAATGGAGCGACCGAAAACGGGAACTCGGTGAAGGAGATGAGCAGCTCCTCGCTGATCAAGCATCTCATCCCCGAAGAAGAGCAGAGTCCTGTACCTGGATTGGATGACCCGGTTAGGATGACGCAGAATGCCACCACGGCGCACATCTTGACCGCGAAATGGACCATAGTCGAAGGTTGGGCCGCCCCGGAAATCAAAAGGTATGGGAACATTGAGCTTCCCCCAACGGCAAGTGTGTTACACTATGCTACGAGTTGCTTTGTATGTCTTCCAATGGATTTCTAGAAGCGTGTGTACAAAGATCCGGGTGCACTGACTGACAGGTGCGTGGAATAGGAGGGCATGAAAGCATATCGTGGTTTTGACAGCAAGCTCCGTTTGTTCCGCCCATGGCTCAACTGTGAGAGGATGAGAGACTCGAACGAGCGCGTCTCGCTGCCTGATTTTGATCCTGAGGAGCTTCTGAAACTCATCTCTACCTTTGTCGCCACCGAGGGCCCTCGGTGGCTACCGGAGGCTGGATCAACCTTCTACGTCCGGCCGGCCATGGTGGGGAGCGGATCTGCGTTGGGAATCAACAGGCCAGGTGAAGCATTGTTCTTCGTTTTTGCAGCCCTGTTTCCTCAGTCTAGGCCGGGTACCATCAATCCTGGTATTCGCCTCATAACATCTCAACCAAGCCAAATCAGGGCCTGGCCGGGAGGCTTTGGAAATACAAAGGTCAGTGTACCTATATCCTTTCTTGATATCGCTATCTGTGACTACCTCTAGCATTGGCTCTGGTAGTCTAAATCCTCGTTGTATTTCTATTTTCGGTCATCATTTCTTCAGAGCTAAATGAAGTCTTAGGTCGGTGCCAACTATGGCCCAGCAATGACAGCCCAGGTTCGAGCGAGACAGAACGAGTGCAGCCAGACATTATGGTTGTTTGGAGACAGCAACATCGTCACTGAAGCAGGGGCCAGCAACTTCTTCGTCATCTGGAGACGGAGTGACAACAAAGCACTGGAGCTCGTAACATGTTCTGATGATACGGGCGTCATCTTAAACGGCATTACTCGGCGAAGCGTCCTGGACATCGCCAGAGAGAGACTCGGAAGCCAAGACGCGGCCAAGCAAGTATCTGGCGATTTCGAGGCTTTGGATGTGATTGAAAGGCCATTCTCGATCGATGAAGTTGCCAAAGCGCATCAAGAAGGGAGGCTTATCGAGGCATTCGTTTCCGGCACTGCTGTGAGTTGTTACATGGAGAGCTCAACATACAGTTCATAGGAGGAGGACTAATTGTGTTATTAGATGTTCATCTCGCCCGTGTCCCAGATCATTCATGAGGATAAATTCATCGACTTTCCAACGACCCAGAACGAGGCCGGGCAAAAGGTCACTGTGTCCAAATACGCAAAGACGATTAAGCTCTGGTTGGAGGACATCATCTATGGTCGAGAGGAACATCCTTGGGCGTTTGTTGTTGATGAGACGCGGGACGATCTAACAAAGAAAGCTTAGTTGATAGATATATGTTTAAACAGGACAGGTTATTATATCTATATAAACTTATTGGCAGGATACTATGAGTTCTTTCAGAGACCATTTCCCACTATAGTTCGTTCTACTTTCATAGATTAACCATCAGGGCACAAACTTCATTGGAAAGTCCCTCGTGGAAGACATCGTATTACGGATCAGCCCCTTATACCATTTGCTCGAGGTTCTCGTGGCTCTATCATTGGTTCACTCAGATCAGCTGTGGTTCTGCCTCTCAAACCTCCGCTCTGTTTCAAAAGGAAAACGACAGGTTAGCCCAGAGAGTTACTTGGACCCATTTCCAACCGGGCGGGAACCGCAAATGATTGCCTAGCAGGGTAATCGAGAACGACAGACCCACCAAGATGCACGAGAGCCTCATGTTGGCCGCATTCCGTTTAATAATAATAGCATTTGCAGCTTGCTACATGCACAGCAATTAGTACAACATAACTTCAAGAACCAGGGCGTTGTGTATAGACCGAAGAGCACACAATGTCGAAGAAGCAAAAAGTACTCGTCATTGGAAATCCAGATGGCCTTGTCGAGCCGGACCAGTGGGAGAAATTCGCTGCCCAGCATGAAGTGATTCTTTACGACTTCAAATCGCAGGATGAGTTCCACGAGTCTCTGAGTTCCGGATCATGCTCTGAAATCTCGGGCATCGTTCGTCTCGGGCTGAGAACCCCTCCGGCCGCCGCGAGGGTTGGACAGGGCTGGACGAGGCTAGCCATGAAGTACCTCCCCTCTACTCTAAGAGTCATCGTCAACTTTGGCCATGGATTTGAGGAAGAGGATATCGAAGGTCTCAACAACCGGGGCATCAAGTTTTACAACTCTTGTGGTGGCAGCGAGTCTACCGCCACTATTGGCACCTATCTTACCATTGCGGTCTTTCGCAACTTGAGCCGGTATGAGAGGATGTTGCGGTCTGGGCAATTTCTTCCCGCTCTGAGAGAGTCTTTGAATTCTGCCCTGGATGTACAGGACAAACATATCGGGATCATTGGAATGGGTGCTATAGGGCAGGCCCTGACGAAGCAAGTGGCAGCGCTCGGAATGCACATCCATGCCGTCGATAGACCCAGTCTCCGTGCAATGATAGAAGATCCGACCAAGTGGCTAGGTCAACCAGAGATCCAAGTTCATGACACGATAGACCTTCTTATCCCCCAGGTCGACTGCATTGTCCTGACATGCCCTTACTCAACCGAAACACACCATCTTCTTTCGCGAGAACGCTTTCCGAATATGAAAAAAGGCGTGCGGATCGTCAATATCGCTCGCGGGAAATGCATCGACGAGGAGGCTCTATGCGAAGCCATCGATCAGGGTATCGTAGGAGGGGTTGGTCTCGATGTCTATGAGAATGAGTAAACGCTCCCGTTTGACTTGGAGGCTATGGTGGGAACTGACTTTTGATACAGGCCGCAGATTTCTGCAAAGCTGCTGGAGAAGCAAGATTTTGTCACTCTTCTTCCTCATGTTGGGGGACTGACGGTTGATGCGATGGCAGTAAGTTGCCTCACACCGCCCGTACCCGTGACGTTTCTGACCTGGTGATTTACTAGAAACATGCTCAGATCTGCCTCAACAAAATGGACAAGTACCTGTCTCAGGACGAATAAACATGATGCAGAACATGTTTTAGGAGAACAATATTTCATAGAACCAAAAGAGCACAAATTTACGGTCTAGCAATGGGCAGAGCTTGATGAAAGAACGGGTTCAATTCTGGGTAAAGTTCTCGCAATTGTGCTCTGCTTGCCATTGCTCAGCAATGCGTCTCAAGAAAGCACTAAAAACAGTACAAAGCAGGTAGACTGGCCATGAGAATAGCCAGAACTGGTCAGAAGTAGAATACACGCATCTGTCTCTTCGATATCTGCAAGCTGCCCGAACCAGGTGAAGATCATTTATTCAGATTGGCACAGGTTTTTGCATCAATGAAACAGTTCCAAAATCGAAAGGAACATCCTACTCATCGGATGGCTCCTCGCCAGATGTCTTCTTCTGCGGGGGCTTCTCCTCCGAAGGCTTCTCATCGGATGGCTCCTCATCGGATGGCTTCTCATCGGATGATTCATCATCCGGGGATTTCTCTAGAAGAAATAGGTTAGGGGAATACTCGAAAGGAAAGGGGATATGGGAACATTCTAACCTGATGAAGAAGACTTGTCATCAACTTCACCAGTTTCATCCTCGACCATCTCGCCATCATCATCCTGGACATGCTGGATAATTTCGATCAAATATCGCTCCGGATCCATGAAACGTTGGGGACGTTCAAAGTCAAAGCGAGGGAGAACGAAGTCTTGGGCCTTGGCAGCAGGCTGTTCAGCGGAGTCCTCGTCCTCACTGTCGACGGGGGAAGTGGGCGAGTCTTGCGATGGGGGTGGTGGCGGTTTCATGACAGTGAGTTCAACCTCCTCGGGTTTCTTTGACTCGGACATGTTGATCGTTTCTGGTGGAAGTAGTGGTTTGTGGAAACAGGAACAGGGGATCTGTGGAAATGGAAACAGGGGAGGTAAACAGAGAAGAGAGTGACTTGGGTGAAGCGTAAAGACGGTGGGTCACAAGCAGGCGAGAAGGTGAGCTTTGTTTGAGGGCAGACAGTTCTCAGAGGACGGAGAAAACACGTGCCAGGTCATCTGGCATTCCCCTTCTGTGAGTCAGAGGGAGTCTAGCTATCGTTCTTCGACACAATGCCCGAAGTACTGGCTCTCCCTAAGGGACCTCGTACGCCAGGGCCGTAGTAGCCTGATACTTGGGGCCTGTTAGCCCTTATGGCAGAGCAATGCAGGGAGTAGTGGTGCTATATCCGCTGAACATCAGTAGCCCAAGATGTTATTCGGAGGGGATCACGGTTAGGTATCAACATTACATGAACTCAAAAGGCTCTGCGTCCAACGAGACATTGTAATCTGGCTCAATGTCAAAACAATCCCAATACTTGAAAGGCCAACAAACACCTTAACAGGCATAGACCGTTTGCCAGTTTGCTGAGCGTAACCCTTTACTCTTTATTATTGTGCTGACTATTATCACTCGAATTCTACTTAGTTTATGGCATTAAAGAACATACATGCACTGGGTGGTCATGATTCTGCCAAGCTTGATGGTGGCTCGTCCCCCACACTTGATCTACAGATGTGAGATTAGGCCATGGATCCCTGCAAAATGGGTCCAGACACTGGATTCTAGTGAAGCCCGCCAGTCGCATCGCGTGTGGCTGTGCTCAAACCTCAACTTCATCCTTGAACCAACATGTGCACGCATCAACATCCCACGATTTGCCCACCGATGAGATGCACTTTTATTATTTATTCTACTTGACCCAAGGATTTCCTGTGTGGACTTTTCTCGTATCTGACATCGACTTGTCCCAGTAGCCAGCCTGATCACGAGATCTAGTCACTTCCTAGCGCGCTACAATTGAGGCTTTTGTCCGCTTCTTGACCGCCATCCACTGGCATCCCAGCTACAAGTGAGTTGTGATTCCCGTCTGCCTCGTTTGACTATATCTAAGTGTACCAAGCAACAGGATGAGGTCGAAAGCGGGCAAGCACGATACCAGAGCTGCCCAAGGGAGAGGCCCATCTCCAGCTGCTCCCCTGATACAGCGGGGCCGGCATGTCTTGTACCACGCGCTGGATCCTAGAAAAGGCCTCATCCGACTAGTTCGCGTCGAACGCCGAGAGAATGACCCAGATTCGGCCTTCTTCTCGTTGGAGGAGCACCCGATAGACAAAGCTCCAGAGTATATGGCCATCTCCTACATGTGGGGGCCTGATGCCGAAGGAGGCGACATCAAGCTCGACGGGCACGCTGTCCATGTTCGCCAGAATCTATATAACCTTATTCAAAACGTTCTCACTCTCCGGGTGACTGGCCACAAAGCGGAAAGCCCTAGAGGTCTGCCCAACGACGTGCATCACTTTTGGGTAGATACATTATGCATCAATCAGAATGATCTCGGGGAGCGCAGTCACCAAGTCCAAATGATGGGTCACATTTACCGTTCAGCCAGGAGTGTGTTCGTGTGGCTCGGACCTGAAGACGACGATAGCGACTATGTGTTTGACATGCATGATAGAGTGCGCCAACCTAAGTTTAAGCAAGACTACGAGCGTGAGAGATTCGCAACAGGGCTTCTGGCTCTGTTTCGTCGAGAGTATTGGTATCGTGCTTGGATTAGACAAGAGATTCTCAATGCTCAGATGGACGATGTTACTATCAATTGTGGTGATCGGTCGTTGAAGCTAGGACTCTTGGCCGATCTCTGTTCTGATGGGAGCTGGGGAGCTGAGCTGAATCGCGCACTAGGTGCAAGTCCAGTCGCGGACCTTGTTCACCGTGATGGATGGGCGGAGAAGCTCGACAGACTGCTTCAGCTTTATGGCGAAGGAAGATGCAGCGATATCAGGGATCGGGTTTACTCCCTCATGTCCCTGGCTTCAGACCAGGAGGTAGTGTCCGAGGTATTGCGGGTTGATTATACGCAACCAACGTCACTCCTCTTCTGGCAACTGATTTGCTACTTTACCAAGCTGTATGACTGGTCGGGTGCCATTGCTGCAGCCAGGGGGCTGAAGCAAATCCTAGAGGTCGACGATCAAATGACAAGGAGCATCCGAAATTGGACTACAATACAGAAATGCATCGGAACCGTTCCATGTATTGACTGGATTCGAGAATTCCTCGGCCTAGCTCGGGAGGCACGGAGGATTCAGGCACGAAAAGGGGCAAGCCCCCAAGACGGTGAGCCAGAAACTCCAGGCTCAGGTGTGGAAGACGAAGAATATTTCACGCTATCTTCAACAACATATGAAAAGATGATCTCAGAGAGTAAACTCAAGGACCCAGCGTGGTCTAACTGGAAACAACACGAAAGAAAGAGGAATTTTCAACAACCATCAAGCCCACCACCGATACCCAATATGACGACGCTCAACTCTCGGGCACATGATACAACACAGCTACAGCCAATTATCCACAACACGTCTCCGGCATGGCTCCGTATGATTCGAAAGAAGTTGACTAAGAATGACTGGTTTGACTCGCTGGATTGGTTCAACTTCACATTAGAAGCCATCGACCTTGCTTCTCGAGATTTCACTGAGAGGTCTGCGAGGTGGAAGAAACTTCTTGAATGGTTGGAATCCATTATCAACACCCTCAGGTTGAGGATCGAGCGGATGAGGAAGAATTGAGATGATTTCTACTTCAAGACGCTGAAAAAAGCAATCATCAACAATGTCTATTCCACGACGGCAACAATCCATCATCAACCTCGAGCTCGGCGGCATTTCGATTTATTGATCACACCACAGGACTCTATCAAATCATTTTTTTCTACTCAAGATATTATTTAGACTCGACATTTATTACGTTCGAATCTCAGCAGCGACGAATCATAATAACTTCTTCTGCGTGGGATCGTTGCCCTGATCTCACGTAAGCGGGGTAACATGACTCAGGGGTTACGCCCGGCTTGTTACCATTTCACTGATGAGGAATGTTGCTAGAGCATGGTGTCAGCGACATGATTGGTGAGGAATAAAGCCAACAGACGCTGGGAGCTGAGATCATTCAATGTGACGAAAACACGTGATAAGGGGCACTCAAATATATCCATGTCCTTCTCAAGACAACCTGGGCGCCCCAACAACCCAGCCATCTTTGCATTTCAAGATACCAAGCCGTTAGAGAAGTCAGCATGAACTGGCTATGGTCTCGCCTCAACCCGCGGTCGAAGTGGCATGAAGAAAAAAGCGTGCGGCGAGCCAGGACACAAAAGCGCAGGAAGCAGCAACTCCAGCAGGAGCAAGAGGAAATAGACCGGCAGCAAATGCCGACTTGGCCCCATGATCAATTAACGATAGAAATCGGTCCGGCGTTGCAGGGAAATGGCTCCTTCTTTTCATTGGCCTCTGAAATTCGCCATCTCATCCTACGGGAAGCCTTCGGTGACCAAACAGTTCACCTGGATCTGGATTTTCGGCATCCGTTCAAGACTTTATCCTCCAACAAGGAGGAATTGGAGCTAAAACGAATCCAATATCCTAATTTCATGCATGCAAATATCTCTGCCAATATTCTTGGACCCCCATACGATCGATCAGTGCCTAAAAGTTGGTTGTGGTTCAGCTGCGTATGCCATCGATGCCACCCGAGCGATCAGCTGTCTTATGGAAGAAAAGCAAACACTTCCACTCCAGATGCATACGAACCACGGTGTGACAATTGTCTTCGAGCCGGTGGTCTCTGCAGAGAATATCCAGGAGAATGGCCATCCAAGTGCTTCATCGGTATCTCAGGCTGGCTACTGACTTGCAGGCAGGCGTAAGTAGCAACTTCTGACTTTCTCTTCGGATGCCGGCTTCATACTAAAATTCTCTTGCGCCTAGATATCGCGAAGGCATCGAGGTCCTTTACGGCACGAATACAATCCATATCCAATCGCCATCTCTGATCTGTGGCATCGAGGATCTCCTATCACCCAATATCCTGTCCATGATGACTTCACTAGAGCTTGTCTGGAGCCTGGAGGATATCGGACCCGACGAAGCATTTATTCGGCGTTCTTTACCAGATGCTTCTACCACTGATGACCCTCAACAATCCCATGTGATTTTTCCGTCCCTTCGACATCTTCGAATTGGCTTTAAACCTCTGCTATGGTCCGACAAAGCCTTTGGCGGCCGGATAGGCTGGGGTGCCACCGACACCGAGAGGAAGGACGCAGAGGAAAGGATCCACGATTACTTTCTCCCAAGACTAGACCAACTGCTGGAGAGAATTGCACCGCCCGCTGCAGAAGTCGTTGTTTCCTGGGATAGCTGGCTCTGGTACTCGCGGACTGATCTCAAGCTCCTCGAGGTCCAAGGTAGGGAAAAGACGCAGATGCATCAGCCGGAAATTGGAGGTCTGGCGTGCTGGAGAGCCATTCCCGCGCTGAGTGGCACGGAGTCAAGTCCGGCGGAAGGGAGTGTACCGGGGAGGTTAAAGAGGGATGGATACTGGATACATGTTGCTGATGCACAGCTGAGTAACCGTTACCGTAAGACGAATTCCCATCCTAATATCGAGATCGGCTGTTTCCTTACTAATTTTACCAGACAATTTCAAAGATTGGCACCGGCATGAGCTATATGGCTTGATAGCATAGCCCAACCTTCATTAGGTGTACAAGGGGGTGGAAAGAAAAGAGAGATACACGATTTTGGATATTCTGAACCGCTCCCCCAAAATGAGAGCAACAACCTGGACGTTTATGCTATCGTATTTATCTAAATAGTATTCTCATTCTAATCGACATCGTGATAAGTACTTGTATGTGGTTAGTTAGGTGCCCAGCAATTCCAGGTAGTACTTGGTACAGTTGCGGTGTTGATGTTCACATCAGCTATCGCCGCAAGGTCCTAACTCTGAAGGCGAATGTGGATATTTTCCCATAAATTAAAGCTGCTCTCGACACTGCTAGCCGATTGCTCACTCGAAATGCCGTGTTTCCTTGATACGCTTTACTGGCGGCGAGGTATATACTGCGGAACAGGTCCGTGGTACGTAGCGAAGACCCACTTTTCGGACATAACGCTCCAACGCTCCGCCGCCAATGTTGCATGCATCACATCCATCCGTCGTCTTTACCAACGCTTCCGCACAGCAGCACGACAAGGATCCAATGGAAATGGATGCGCCGCTACCACAGCCTCCCCCAAGTCGACGCCGCAAGGTTCGAAAAGGCACCTTCTCCTGCTGGGAATGCAAGAGACGGAAGCGCCGCTGTGAACTAAAGCCAGGGTCGTCCTCCGCCTGTGTGTCCTGCCAGCGCCGGGGTCTACCATGCCTGAGCCAGGAGGAGTATGAACCCCAGGCCGGCCCGGAGCAGGTGTCGGAGCGTATCTGCCATGTTGAGAACCTAATTGGTGTGCTTCTCGAGCAGAGACGGCAGCAACACGGGACGATTGGGGGTGCGGCCGCTCTCACGATTCCTCCTTCGCCTTCAGGATCCTCGCTTAGCATCACGACCTATCTGTATTCGGACTTGCCCTCTCCTTCAGATACAACTTCCATCCTGTCACACGGAAACTCTTTCCGCATGCCCCAATGGTCTGGCTGGGCTCGCTCAGCCCCGCTGTTAGAGCCTCCACCTCTCGAGGCACAACCTATCTGGTATGGCCGCAGGCTGATGCACCTCGCCCTCCGTCTGCAAGACTCCGACGTCCCCGGGTGGGATGCATCCAAGTTCGCGCAAATAGTAGCTCACTGCATCTCCTCCATTGACGCATTGGTGTCTTCCACCGACGGAATCGAAACTCTGATGCTCGAGGCTATGTACTACGTCAACGATGGGAAACTACAAGAAGCGTGGCTCCGGTGCCGCCGAGCCATGTCGATAGCCCAGCTTCTGGGTCTCGACCGTGCGGGATGGACGAACAGCGCGATTCTTCGCCGTCTTATATTTGGCGATCGCGTCATGTCCCTGGAACTAGGTGTGACGCACTTTGGGATCATGAATTATGGATCGCTTGACAGTGTCGATCCCGTTACCCGACTGGAAAAGATTCATGTATTAACAGCTACTCGAATCATTGAACGAAACTTGCGCATGATGGACAGCAGTCCAGAGTCCATACAGGCTGAGACGCTAGGCATTGACCAAGTAATGAAGAAGGCGATGAAGGATCTTCCGTCAGGCTGGTGGTCAGCGTCAACAAAGAAATCACTATCGGCCCTCTCGGAAGAGGAGGCAATGGAAGAAACTATGAAGCTAATCTCTCAGGTGAATCACTACTGGATTCTTACGCAACTCCATCAGTCACCTATCATACTAGATCTCTTCTGCCCTGTAAACATTGGGACGAACTTGTACTCGAGAACAGTGTTGGCCTCCTCATGTCGTCAGGTCCTCTCACGCTTCCTACTCATACGCAAATATCATGGCGGTGGACTATACCGCGGGGCCGATTCCAAAGCGGTCTCGGCTTCCATCGGGCTTCTCCTCGCACACATCAATGGCCATCGGGATAGCACTGATAATGCGTTGGAGCATTTACGACCCCAAGACATAGATCTCATACGAGATTCACTTGATCTGTTCGAAGCCCTCTCAAGGCCAAAATCGGAACGATCAGCTGTTCAAAGTTTGCTCGCCATTGAATCAAACGCAGCCAGTGGAACCAATTATATGTTCTCTACGACAACTGAGGATAGCCTGCGATTGAATTTACCCTACTTCGGCACCATGAGTCTTATACCAATATCATTTGAGGTGGCAGATCGCGAAACTGAATCTCTAGCTCTCTGAAATTTATACACATTCCATTCCAATTCTTTTCAACTCGCAGATCCAGTATGTCCACCTACAGTCGAAGATTCCCTCGAGCATGTATTTCGATAGACTGAGCCTTGACCACACATTTACCAGCTAGGCTTTACTAATATTCGACCGAAACAGTCTTTGGTCTATTTCAAATTTGTCAACAAATATCTGGACACTGAAAGCTATCTATGCTGGCATGATCGCCAATTGTCAGGATGAACCCTATTTAGTGCAATGGAGCACTATCACCAAAGGCATGACCCAACAACTCTTGAACCCTCTGTCCCGCAAAGTTACTTGCGAGCTCTCGAAGTTTCTGATTCTGCTCGCTGAAAAGGGAAATCGACATGCTCGCTGTATTCTCCCTAAGGCGATGGATCTTGGTTGTTCCGGGGATGGGAAAAATGTCGTCACCTTGAGCCAGAAGCCAAGCCAGAGCCAGTTGGCTGTTGGTAGCGCCTACATCCTTGGCAATCTCGGAGATCTTCTCGACAATACCCACATTGTTGGACAGGTTTTCTTCGCTAAGCGCAGGAACGAAGCCACGCAAATCTCCAGGCTTCGAGATATCCTCACGAGTGCGGATGGCCCCAGACAGCAATCCCGAGTTCAGCGGGCCGTACGCCACGACCGCCACACCCAGCTGGCGAGCCGTCTCTAGAAGCGGGGTCTGAGGCGATTCGATGGCCCTGCAAAAGAGGCTGTACTCGAGCTGAATGCAAGAAACGGGGTGAACGGCATGACCTCGGCGGAGACTGGCTGCGCTGCACTCGCTGAGGCCAATGTGCTTGATCTTTCCCTGGTTCTTCAGCTCAACGAGAGTCTCCATAGTCTTCTCAATGGGCGTCACCTTATCGAGGCGGTGGACGTAGTAGATGTCAACATATGACACGCCGAGTCTTGAAAGTGATTTCTCAATGGCTTCGCGGCAGTACTCCGGCGAAGAGTCGACGGTGAATTTGGAACGTCCACCTTCTCCAGGCCGGATGGCGAACTTGGTGGCAAGGGTGATGTCCTTGCGCTTCTCGGGGTTTGCGCGGAACCACTTGCCCAGGACGTCTTCGGCGTCGGCATACTCGTCCGCTGTGCCATGGTCAGCAGGAGTCACTACGAGGGGGAAGAGGGTTATGGATGAATCGGGAGGGGCTCACCAGTGTCCCAGAAACGTGCGCCGATGTTGTAGGCTTCATCCAAGAGAGCCAGGCGCTCCTCATCAGAGAGTGCGACGCCGTATGCGCCGCCTCCTAGTGGGACGCACCCGAGGCCGATACGAGGAACGAGGGGACCATTCTTTCCCAGCGGTCGAAGCTCGACTCCCGATTTGGCAGACATGATGGATGAGGTAATGTAGAAAGTAGTTGCCGTTGCTGTGGTGTTTATAATGCTTTGTTTTCTTGATGAGAAGAACCGTCATTCTGGCAGGAGAGCAGCCTAGTTTTTATACTCAGTGGTACGGACTTTAGCGGTGGCCAGTTTCTCGATGTTGGCAAACCTAATTCACAGCCTGCGGCGGAACTCATTAAGCTCACTCGCCATTCCAGGCTCTAAATGGTTCATGGTGTTGTCGTTTACGCTCTTCGCCCGCAAACTCCACCGTTGGTCCGATCGGCTCCACTTTATTCGGCCGCCGTTTCTCCCCGCCAATATGGCTGATCTCCCTAGGCGTTGATATTGTTGTAACGGCCAGTAGACCCAAAAATGGAACTTTGATGCTCCCCAGAGTCCCTCGACCATGAGAAGCTGCTATTGTCATTTAATACGGCAGAGGTGATGGCTCCCACTTCTAGGCGCCCCCAGGAAAGGAGACCAGCAACGCCTCGGTATGTGGTATCAAAAGGCTGGTATACGGAGCCCATGGTGAGCTTGGAGGCAGAAATGTGTCGTGGGTCGGTTGGCCCAAAGCGGCCAGGACTGGCCAGCAACTTGGTGATGAGCTGGCGCTACGTAAGGCGTTGCGTAGAACGAAGAGAAGGGTGTTGCTCATGTTTAGATGCTGCGAGCGTGGACAATTGGGATGTGTTGCGATAGGTGGAAAGAATCAACCTGGAGTAGTTTCCCCCTCATATGTTTGTAGAGATGGATGCGGATGCGATAACTGAGCCAGGAATCACAAGAGTAGAAAGAAAAGCACCACTGACCTCACTCAGAACGTAAAGAGATAGAATAGGTATCCATTTATTTTTTGAAATCGTCCCAGGCTATATCAAATCCGAAATATTCGCACACGTACATCATAATATAATCTAACGTAATAAAGACTCCTCCCATCCCCGTGGCTTAAACTGCCCCTTGCCGAACAGTATGTGAGATAGATGGATCTCTTCCCCAGGATTACAATCAGCACAGAACAGGTAGTTTCGTCCAGTCACTCAGTGTAGTCTGGCAGCAGAAAGGGGTCGGGCAGGCTTAGAGGGACTCAACAGTAGAGTTTCTGGTGATTCACGGCCACGACATGAAACTACTGCTTGTATGCGGGAGGCAAGAAGCCAGGAGGAGGGGGGCCTGCAGGCGGGGCCCAGGTCTGCTGCTGCTGGCCCTCCTGTGGGTTCTGATCTCTGTAGGCAGGGTGAATGCTGGACTGGGCCGGCTGGTAGCTCTGCTCGTCGTCGGAGTCGTTCATGAGCTTCTCCTCGGGTGAGGGGTTCTTCTCCTCAAACTCCTTCTGCTGGGCGCGCTGCTTCTTGAGGGCGGACCGCTTCTTGAGCCTGGGCACGACGAAGAAGACGATGAAGGCAATCAGGGCGATGGCGACGACGATGGAGACGACGATGATGATGATTTGTGTGGTGGTGAGCTTCACGCCGCCGCCGCGATTCTTGGGCTTGGAGACGTTGACGTTGACGGTGTTGCCCTTGCCCTTGGACTTGCTGCTGCTGTTGTGGTTCGTCCCCGTCTTGGACTTTGTCTTCTTGTTCTTGTCCGTGCCCTTGACGTGCGACTTCTCGGTGGTGGACTTGCTCTTCGTCTTCGTCTTCGTTTCCCGGATGACCAGCGAGACTAGGTCATCCTCGCCCGTGAGGAAGGGGAGGGCGGCACCGTAGGCATAGGGAAGGGCCCATAGGAGCATCAGCAGGTGCGACAGGAAGTAGCTGCGGGACGACGCCATCTTCGGTGACGGATCTGGTACCGGTGATTATCTCGTCGGTGTCGGCAGGGTTTGATTGATTCCCGCTTGGCGAATGGGAGGAAAGAGGTGTTTGATCACGGCCTGACGAGCTGAGGATGGGAGGAAGGCTAGGGATACTTATTGAACGCCGCCTGACAAGCTAACTTCTGATTAGCCTCCATGCTGACAGCCATGCCTGCGAGCAAGAAAAGCTTTGAGCAGGGCCGCTGGGGCTGTGTGGAGCAGACAATGGCTTCCAGGTTGTTTGCAGGCGATGAGTTGGTCAGCCTTGGGGCTTGGCCTGGGATCCATTCCGACAGCGGCTTTAGGTCGCATCTTCCTTGACCTTTGGCCTAAAGCCGCCGTTTCAATGCCCGCGGTGGGTGCAGTGTGTGTTGGCTGGCAGGTTGGGTTCCGCATCAGGCAAGATTCTTCGAGCAAGGGGGGAGCTCGGAAGCTCATTTCAACTGGCCCGTCGGACTCCCACACCGGAACAGCACCTCATGCTTAGTGGAGCATAAGGCTGCTTAATTGCTTAGCGCAGTGGGCTGAATGACTAGGAGGAACACCATCCTGGTCCAGTGTGGGAGGCAGGGGGAGGTTGGACTGGCCCCCATTTCTGGGCTGATTGGCGGCCAATTGGGGCGCAGGCTCAGTGTCGGTTGACTATTGCCCTGTAGCGGTAAAAATAGATCGACAGGCCTTTCAATCTGGCTCTTCTGCTCAGTGCTTGCTCCAAAGTTCGGCCCAGCCCTAAGCATGTTGGCAAAGATGCCTTTCGCCAGATCTAAGCCTACGTAGCAAGGATCAGATTATGATGATTTCAAGCCAAGTCTATAGGGCAAAGTAACGTCCAATTGCACCATTTCCGTGCTCAAATCCGCCACTCCAATGGGAACGAGCCTGGGTAGTGCTGACGGTCGTTGGGCCTGCTGGTGTCAGCAGTGATACCTGATGCAGCTCACCTGCAAGGTCTACCGTGGATCAACGATGCCCCTGATCCAGAGCTGCTTTCAATGCTTTCACCGACTCAGTGAAGGCGGGGAACGGAGAAGACAAGAGTCATATCCCGAGCGAGAGCACACAGCGCGCTTTAGAACCAAATATGGCCAACAGTAGATTAATGGCTGAACAGTGTCCACCTATTCTTAGACCCTTCTCATCTCGACTGATCAGCGTACAGACGATCGGTTGGCTCCAGGGGGCTGTGCTGGATGGCTCTGTCCAGCCCCGCTCTCCTGGCCCTACCATCAGCCACTGGGGACTTGCAATCTAAAGTCCAACAAGGTTATACCTCTAGCTTGACGTCCATGGGTCTCCCGGTTTTTGCGAGATGATGCTAGAAATAGCCCCAGGCCCAGGGCGGCATTGAAACCAACTGGCTCCATGTTGTCAGTGAGTGACAAGCGGATTTATCGTCAGCCGAGCGGAAATATCGCCGCACCAAGAATCCTACCCTATACCTGTATTTGTTATTCTTGCGTTCTTTGTCTCAGAAACACTACAATATAGAACAGCCGAACGGAGATGTTTGTTGTATGAAATCATTGAATTGGGATACGCCGATCCATGATTGCCCTATTGGCTCCTGTTTTCCTTTGGCCCTACATGTAGGCCTTGAACGTTCGCACTTTAGCTATTCTACATGATCATCACCCTCAAATCGAGCAGACTACTATTCGAACCCATTGTTCTTCTCATCGTCGAGCTGGCAGGCGTTCTCGCCCTCCTGCTTCATTGTCTCTAGATGCTTTCCGCATCATCTGTTCCAAACCACTTCATGTAATACCATGGCAGAGCAATGGCCATCAAGAACACACTAACGTACTCGAAGCCGCTGATGATCGCCGGCGTCGTCGCGAGCGGCGTATACTGCTCCGTATACTCCAGAGGGTACATCCCACCCAGGGTGTCACGCAGAAAATAAAAACCGTTGCCAAACAAGAAGATGCCGTAGATTAAGCCCCAGGTAGTCTCGAAGATGAGCACGTTCTCATTGCCCGCGACGCCGGGGGGACCAAGGACAATCTTGAGGCGGCGCTCATTGACCTCTTGGGGGCTGGATGTGATTGTCTTCGGCAGATCCTGCAGCTCGTCCTCTGCTTCTTCAAGAATGTACTTCTGGAGTCGGAATCCCCGCGCCTGTGCAAAGGTTGCACGCGCATTGGACGTGTTCTTCGAATGGGCGAAGAGGCGCATTTTGGTGAGTAGCTGCTGCTGCCACCCCTTGACAATCTGGTAGGGCTCGACAGCATCGGGGTTGACATGAACTGGAGCAGTCACCAAGTTGCAGACCATCTGTGTGGCCAACTCGTGAACCCCAACGGGAGCAAACAGCTTGACGAGATCCTCAGACTGGACCTTGTTTATCTTAGCGGCCAGGGGGATTTGTACTTTTTTGAGTGTCTTCAGGGCTTGATCACCGGATTTGTCCATCGCGCCGATTAGACGAAAGGGACGCATGCCGAGGTCTAGATTATCCTCTTCCTTCTCATGGACGGTAACGTGATAGAATGTGGATGTCCCGTCGAGGGCATAGGAGAGCGAAAACATCGAGGACACGGCCTTGATGAATGAGTCGAGGAGATCAATGAGATTCTCCCAAGGTGGGTTATGAACCAGGTCAGCATAGATGGCGGCGTATTGAATCTCGCCGGCCTCGTGGGCGAGTTTCACCACTAGATCTCGGCCCTGTTTGACAATCCGGGCGTTCCATTCATTGAGATCTTTCTCAGCAGCAATACCGAGCTCAGTGACATGGCGATCCATCATGTCATCAGGAGGGAGTTCCGCGTAATGGCACATTCGCAGGTGAGCGAACGCGTCTGTCAGATTCATGTAGACCGTCCTATTGAGACAATCTTGGCAAAGGGATTGTCTCCGGGTCCTGGACCCTAATGCGTTGCCAGATCCAGGTTCGTATAGAATAATATACTTTGCATGGGATCGGGCCCTCAACAAAAATTCGGGGGCCTAAGCCGGGTGGTTAGCATACTGGCTTGAACAAAGTTGCTCGATCTTTGGGATGACAGGTTGTCATTCTTACCTTGAACCCTTTGTAAAGAGCATTGAATAGCATGTGGAGACCCGGAGTGGAACAGTTGCTGGGAATAAACGCCTCGAGGAAGCGGATCGCAGCCGTGCAGAAGTCATGATAGTCGAGAAGCAGCGCCTGCTCTTGGAATCTTCCCTCATTCTGACCGGTGGCATTTGAGAGCAGATCCATGAGTTCGTTTACTTCTCGTTTGAGCATGTTCAAAGTGCATCTGGTGCTGCCGGTGGCGGCACCCAAGACATCCTCTTGAGGACCGAGTGCGCCGAGAGAGAAGAGCTCGTTGAGATAGGTCTCAGCTAAAAATACTCGGATTTCTATGCTAAATCTCATGTCGTTCCTGTTCTCATCGGTTGAGCCCCAGGTGAAAACGGGAGGAGAGGCTGCATCTAGGTCCAGAAAGTCCAACTCTGAATCTGCTGAACATGGTCAGTGATTAGGTCTTTAGGGCTGCCAAATGTCAAAGGGCAAGCTTACCTTCGTCTTGGTCATCCGAGATGCTGCTAGCAATCTGAGCGAAATCGACATCTTCAAAAGACGATCCAATACTCTGCGAGGCATGCTCATTCTGCATTCCTAGAGATTGTTGGCGAACCCACTCCACGGTATGGTCTGAAACTCGACGGCCCTCTGGCTGTGGGTTGCCGTAGTTGTTGTAAGTTACCATAAGATCTGATTCGCTGTCATCGGACCTTGGTGGCTTTTGCTCCAGCTTCACCTGAAGAGCAGGAGACTCTGCATGCACCAGGTAGGACCAGACTACTGATGTCAGTCGGTCTCCGTTCATGCGCAAGATATTGAAATCCTTGGACTCCTCCGAACCGATCGCGCAATCATTCGGATCAGTTCGAGGCTTCATCTCCTCCAGCTGGTATTGTATAGCCGCTTCCATTATCTGTGATGTAGGGGTTAGTGTTGAACATTGACTTTGCTAGCTTCCCTACTTACGAAGAGAGACGAGCACTGTGCGACGGGGATCTGGAATTGTAGTCCGTTCTGTTTAGTAACCTGGACCATGCGCTGATCAGGGCTGCTGGCCGCGAATTTCTTGATTTCGATGTTGTTCATCAGCGAATCTTGGCAAGGCTTCCCGCCATAAGTAAGGATCCCGGCTATATCTGGTGTTAGCGTGTCCCAGTAGACGACATATATGAAGAGTGGGTACGTACTATCGTTGACGATAATCATCCAAGCCTCCCCAACCCAAAGACCCTTGCACGCCTGGGACAGCTCACTCTCAAGCGAACTGTCGTGGGGATGAAGAATTTCATCTAGGTTGCGTGGCACGCAGACCCCTTTGCGATCTGGGATGTCAGGAGATTCGTGGACGGAATCACTTCGGACGTAAGGGATCGAAACGAAAGTCGCAGACGCGACGATTGTTCCCTTGTGATCAACGTCACAACGAAGTAGGGTTCCTGGTTTCATATACCAGGTGGTGTGTCCTTTTTTAAAGAGCTTTTCCGCTGACTGTAAGACTGTTGTGATAGCCAACAGGTCGCTGCGGCTATGTACTAAGTTGCCCTTCTTTAGAGCAATTGCCTAAATCTCAAGTTAGTTTACGAAGTGAAGAAGCAGTGGTGACTACTTACTCTGAACTCATGAAAGTCCATCACATCGCTCACCACATTGCTTAACAAGTAAGTTAGCTTAGGCACAGTCACAGGCCGAAATGAATCAAGAAAGCAAACAGGCAAGCTTACAGATGTCGAATCTTCTGATCATCTCCTGAAAGATTCATGGGAGAGGACGGATCAGCCTCGATAAGTTCGAAGGCAAATTTTCCGCCACCCACCACGTCTTGGTGGAGGCGGACCGATGTGAAGTCACGACGGGCGACTGGAGGAAGATCACTCGTCAAACGTGGGAGAAGAGGGGTGAGAGCGGGTCCGTCAATTTGAGTCCGAGGACTCTTCACAGTGATGACTCCTATCTCACGAAGATCATTGCTTTCTCTCGCTTCACTGCTGGAAGCCTTTGAGGGTGACGGCGCAGATGGTGAGCTGGCTTCGTGTTCATCATTGATTCCTAAAAACCCGCGTTGACGCAGGTGAACGTTAGTGTTGCTCCAGCTATCATTTTAACGGGAATGCCCCGTTTCGTGCTTTGGAGTTGATTTACCTTTGATAAGATCCAACAGGCCAATATTGTTGGCTCTGGTATTGCGTCGTTGAACTGCCAAGGCGTTGAGTGCCCGGGCAACTTGAGCGAGCTGGGGACCTTCTCTGGAAGATGAAGCCATAGTGACTCTGTTCAGCCCGATAATGGTGGCCAGCCCAGAGCGAGAACTTGCAGGATGAAGGAGCGAGAAGTTGCAAGTTTTGGAGGGTGAACGAGTTCTCACCTTGGTTTCGTTGGGGGGGAGGAGGGCCTAGTGGCAGGAAACAATAACACGAGACCGGACGAGTCACGTGTTCGCAGCCCCCATCAGATTCATAGGCTGCGCACCACCGTGGCAGAGGCCTTCAGAACAGATGATAGCGCTCAGGTGCCTGGTGAACAGTTGACTTCAGTGCTGAGGGCTCCCCATTTTGGGAAATGAGCCCTCTAATGGGCTCCCTATCGGCAACATTACTTGCAGTCTACAAGGCCACGCTTCCGACATGAAGCCCTATGACACTTGTGCGTATCCTTATCAGATTAGATTTCACTGGCATGTACATGTGGTCTCTGGTGCCTATAAATGTATAGAATCAAACTCTAGATATAAAACTATCAGTGCTCAGGTTCTGACCAGTCCATCACCATTTCATACTCTGTCCCCCGCCGTGATCCGTCGCCGTGATCCTCCTCCTTCAGCAACTCCCACGTATTCTCGCTAGTTTTAGTCAGAGCCACGATGTCACCATCAGCCCTCTTCTCTAGCTCCACATTGCTATCTTCACTGGCAAGTGACTCAGACCCTGGGTTGAGATACAGTGCTGGCAGCAGGGAGCTCTTCCATAGAGGCTCGAGGTTCCTACGGACGATCGAACGAACGACCGAGTACATCAGAAACACAAACGTGACCAGCAGAATCAAGGCAGGACCAAGAAGCCAGCGCCACAAGAACTCGGTACAGACGGCGGTCTGGATCACTTCTCCATATATGTAGCCTCCAGGCTCGGCCAAAGGGTTGAACTCGTCGACCAAGAAGTTCCGTTGTACCGCGATCTCTCGCATACGATTCGTTAGCGCAGTTGCAATTCTAGCCGTTGTGTTGACAGTAGAGGCGAATGACATGCTGCCACCATTCAGTAGGCCTGTTAGACTCCACGGGTCGCAGTAGTTATTCTCCCATCTTTGCCGTATAGTTTCCACAGGTACATTTCCTCGGTAGTTGCAATTGCCATCGAGGACTGCCAAGGTATTCTCCAGTGCTGGCCTTCCAAGTGACGAGGTCATGACGGTACAGTTTGCGCTTGCGGGTATATCACGTTGCTCAGTCCCAGGGCCCTTTAGCTGGACCTTGAAAGACTCGTTGTCGTATCCAATCGTCGTGGCCCTCGTAAGGTCCAAGACGTCATCTCCCAACTGACATGTAGGCTTCCAGAATGAGACATCCCTATAGAGTTCAAGAGATGGCTCTGTGAAGAAACCCGGGCTCTCAGCAACGAGCGTCTCGGACAGCGTGCCCTGCTCCACGTCTACCTTGTGGTGCCTCATACACCAATAAAACGAACATGTAGCCGCGAAGACGTTAGAAATTACGTTACTCCCCCCTGAAATATCTAAAAGAATGTTGGTGGAGGAGGGAGGAACGCATTTGCTGATGCGACTCGTGTCATTCTTGTACTCGCAGCCATCCGACGTCGCGGCAAGGAAGGTGTGGTTATCGACGGACGCTGCTAAGACACTGAGAAAGTCTTCGTCAAAGTCTTCTCGGGCCCATTCGATGCTATACTGCCTCACCGAGAAGAAATTTGACCGAGCGGTAGTGCCGTCCGTAAAGTTGGCTAGTTCTGGGAGTCCGACGATGGTGGTCTCGTTGACCGTCCATTCTCGGATGTAACGTGTTGTATCGATACACTTTGAGCAGATACCCATGGTGGAAAGGGATACGTCCCCGATAATGCTTGGGAAAGAGCAGTTGCCAGTCGAGCAACCCTCCAGGAGTGTCGATGGGTTCACGTTTATCGCACCTGTGGATGCACCAATGACTGCACTGGTGAGACCGGGTTCAGTGATGTAGTTTCCAGCTCCAACGCGACTGGTTGGAACCCCTGAATAGGTGTAAGGGAGTTTTGCTTGAGCATTGGGGACAGGCTTGTCGCAGATTTTGGTCCCCACGGCTTGCTGAGAAAAGGGGCCAACGCCAATGGAGAGCAGCACTAGGAGGCATCCGATGTAGCAGTACGAACTGCGTGATTATATTAGCCCAGCTTGGCAAGTGATAATTTGAGGTTATGTATTACTTACAACCATGCCCGAAGCCTGGCAGGGAGCAGGATAGAACCCCAAAGTCCCCTGCTAGCTTGATCGATATGGCTCAGATGACGAACAGGGCGAGGTGTAAGTTGCCAGATCCATTTATGCTGGCTAATAACTACACACTCGTTGTTAGAAAATCGCGGGTGGCCGGTTGAGAGTGCTCTGAGCTCTCACCTTCTTCAAGTATGCCAAGGATCATCGCTCTGAGAATTGCCGAAAGAGTAGCAACAAGGGCATTGAGGCTCATCCCAGACAGCGACCAATACTCGGTGTTCTGGCCATGGTTGCGCTGGAGAACTCCAAATATTGCCCCGAGGAGCCCACACGACACGAGCAGGACGATGAATTGCATCCGCCATTCCCACAGTACAGTCGAAATCCGCGTAGGGCCTGCTTCGGCTGTCTTCTTTTGCATTTTCTTAGTATCGTTGCTGGTGTTATCGTGGTGGTCAGAACATCTTACGAGAAAGGACGTGGGATTTTCGAGCGGAGGGTGGGCGGGAGGACCAGATTAAAGATCTTTCGCGTGATGGGGCAGCGTGGAGAATCATGTTGTCGGTGCGTGGACTGATGCTTGGCTCAGCTGTGCGCAGAGGGAGGCTTGTCCTCGCCTTAGACCAAAGTTCTTTTCTTCCATGGCCGAAGGTCTAAATTTATCTTCAACTCCACACGGGATGCCACCTACCCTATGTGTGGCTATCAACCTCTAAACTTTAGAAGTGCGGGGTCATCAATTGCTTGCAAGTGAGCAATAACTAAGACACAATGAAATATAAATCACTTGATGCCTCTAGACTATACATGATGTACCTTTGTAGAAGGAGGTGAACGAGTTGGAGACACTGGTGGTCGTAACCAAGTTGACAGAGAACTATGATATAATGACGTTGAGTGACAGTGGTATCTCGAGAAATAGATGAATTAGCCTATTGAGGAGATCTCTGGACGACTGACAACTGACTCTCCTAATCTGCGGTTACACGATATGAAACTCTTCCGACTTGTAATCACCGCTGAACCCTTCCCCATTCATGAACCCATGCAGGTAGGCCTCGCCTCGAAACTCGTACGTCTCTACCTGACCTGGCACTTTCCTTGCCGCATTCGACACTTCCCTGAGGATGTATGCTGTCCTTCCGCCTTCAAAGAGCACCACGGCATCTCCCCTACCCATCCCCCAAGGACCCCATCCTGCATATCCATTTTTGGTTGTGAAAACCCGACGTCCTCCTGCCGGCCATGAAACGCCTTGCTGGTAGGCCATGGCCATGGCGGCTTCCTGCTTCTGCGAGCCGTCCTCGGGGACTCTCGAGCTTTCGAATGGGAAGGTGGCAAACTGACTCCGCCACATGGGATATGTCTTTGCAAGGTCGAGCTCATCCTCTGCTCCCTCCTGAGCTGTTTCGTCATATAGACGCCGGGGTACTCGAATCTTTGCGTCAAGAACCATTATTCTCGCGAGGACAGAGCGAATGTCTTCTCCTGTAGGGTACGTCTTGAGATTCAGGATGAGGAGCTCACAGAAGCGCATACGTTTGGTTTGAAAGGTATGTAATAGGGGTTGTGCGGCCTCCAACGGCTTGCCAGACATCCTGTTGTGATCAGGCCTGTAGATACGATCACTTGTTCCCAGGCGGTGGCCTACGGCGCTGACGAAGTCTAGGATAATGCCTTTTGTAATGAGAACCCTGCCATCAGCACCAAATCGAAAAGAAGGCGAGGTCTTCCCATTTGCCTGGAATGCGTGGCCAAACCGCTGGTCGAGCGTTAGGAAGGGAGCTGCGTAGCGCTGAACAGCCCAATTTGGCACCCATGAGGGCATGTCGGTCCCGTCTTTCCAATTAGTGTCCTCGACGTGGCTCAAGATGTCAAGCGATTCCTTCATAATCGACTTCGCAACGTCGAGATATAGTTGCGAGTATGGGATCTTGTAATCAATCTCCACCTCATGCGAGGCTGCTAGACCTAGCAATCCGTAAACTTTGTCGTGAGGATCTGTGGCCAAGGACCGTCGAAACAATCCTAGCAACTCGAGAAGAGGAAGAGGTCGGCCGGAACGATGAGCAGAGCCAAGGATGCCTAGCCGAAAGGCGGGTGAGACGTCGAGATTGTATGTCCCCTCCAAGTTACGCAAGCGTAGAAACCAAATAATCCAGAGAAACTTGTCCCAAGGAATAGTCTCGTTGCCACAGAAGACGACAGCGTCTCTTGCCAGCGTGATCTCCTGTACAATCCATATCCTGACGAACCAGGGTCGCCAAAGCAGAGCATCTAGAGTTTCCCACTCGGGTGCATTGGCCGGGGGCAATCCGTAGTCGGCAAGCTCGTTATGCCAAATTTGGATTTGGTTCGGAGGGATCTTTCTCTTTGACTCGTCAAGGCGTTGCATGAGGTTCCATGCCTCGGTAACTTCTGGCCCTCCGTCTCCAAGCCACACGACGACAATCGAGGCGCGGCGGTAGATCTCCTCCATCATGCGAACCTGCGAGCTACGTTCATCGATGTCGCCCTGGTTGATGCACACGGCGTCGATCCACATGACTTTCTCTTCTGAGGTGTGGCGAATGTGATGGAGCGCAGTCCAAAGATTCACCGTAACCTGCAAGGTTTTCCCATCGCAAGAAATGTATTGAACAACCGAAGGATCGCCCCAAGTGTACGAGAGGGCTTCGTAGTGGAATGGATCGGCGTCGTTGAAGGACCTCGTGACTAGCTTGCACTCGATGCTGGACCCGTCTGGTCCCGGGAGAATATGAAGAAGCCGAATCTGCCCATCTTCTAGGCCCGCGTATTGATACCACTCGCTCTGGCTATTGAAAGATGAAGTTAGGAATTTGCTATGGCTAGCTGGATTGATCGCAGAGAGTCTAACCTGGCATCTTCTGTGGCTGCGGAGTGGTGGTCACGAACTTGCTGCTGGTACTTTTTGAGCCGGTAATCTGGATCGTTCAATTTCCTGATGTATTTCCTGTGCCAAAAACTATTAGCGTAATTCTGCTAATATGGCTAACGGCCAGGCAACGTTTTCCGGTACGAATTGAAGGCTTACGATGGCATAACATTGTCTAGCTTGAGCTGGCCGAATTTCATCAGCCCCAGCTGTAGGCCGAAGTACTTGTCGATCGCATCCGATGGTATTTTGGGCATCTTGGAGAGCGATGTCGATGGAGGATCATTGTGGTGAGGTGGTTGTTTGGGGGAAATCAGACAGAAGAGGGCTGGCGGTTGGGCGAGCGGTTAGTTAGTGTCTTGGCCCCTGTGTAGCGTGCCGCTGATATTGATTGCACGAATCGGGTCCATTAATCCTCAGCACCAAGTCAGCTGCACTCCTCTCCAACATCCTTGAGGATCACAAAAAAAGCCGCCCACGAATATACTTGTGCAGATTTGGTAGCTTTTGAACCATCGGTTATATAAAGTGAATGTCCACTCTATTTATCTCAGCGCATATATTTCCACCAATAGATCCATCTGTATAAGCTATCTAGATTTCCCAAAGCAGCTTATATATGAGGAACTTAACCTTACTTTGTTGTCTAACTTAGCATCTTGCTACTGCTTTCCTGCTGGAACTTCCTCAGCGGTAAGAACACTCCCTGATCGAGCAGGAGCTTCTGGCCCTCCTTAGAAATGACAAACTTCTGGAGCTCCCTTAGCACCGGGTCCATTCTAGTCTTGGGGTCAGTGTTAGTGTTGAAATAGATGACCCGCGACAAGGGCCAGCCTGCAAGGGCAACATTCTCATATGTGGGTGCAATGACTGGGCCATCGTCAGTCGTAGATACACCCAGCACTTTAACAGGGCTGTCCACGTAGGCAAGTCCCGTGTATCCAATGGCGGTGGGATCTTCGGAAACGAGGCGAGAAATGTTGAAGACGGTTTCCTCCCAGGTGACGTGAGGGTCTTTTTTCGTAGTGTTTGTATCTTCGCCGGAACGCCCTGTGGTTGATTAATTTCTGAGGCTTCTTTATAATTCCAGAAGAATGATACTTACATTCTCCTCGCTTTCCACCACATCTCAGAACTTTCTGGCGGACGAATTCCTCAAATCCATTCCACGGTGTGATTCCATAGATGCTGATGTCTTTGTCGGCGAGCGTTCCGTTGACACCTACATCCCCCCACTTCCCAATAGAATTGCCCCCACAATTGCGCGTGGAACTGAAGATTGAGTCGAGCTGCTTGAAGCTCAAACTCTCAATCGGGTTGTCTTTGTGGGTAATGAAAGAAATGGCATCTAGGAACCCAAACTGCCTGTACGAGCCGCCTGCAATAGGGACAGACGTTGGATCGTAGCCAAATGCATCCTTGAAACCGCTGACGTCGGTGGGCTTGAGCTCTCGGGACACAAAGACACCTTGGAGGTTTCCCTTTACGAGCTCCAAAGCACCCAATGACCCAGCGTATGGCGCATGGATATTGAACGTGACGTTCGGATACCTAGAATTGTCAACATGTTGTAGTGTTGATTTGCTCGGGGTTGAACTTACATGCGCATGAATTCGCCCAGCCATCTCTGTGAGATTGTAGCTAGAACATCAGAAGCGGCAAAGGTGTAATTTCCCGACAGTGACTCCGTGGTGACCGAGTACGAGACGAGATTGTTGTCAAGAGAGGGGCGCAAGAGCTCGAGTCTGTCCGGGAATCGGCCAACAGCCAACGATCGGCTGTAATAGAGTAAGTTAATATGGCTTTCCAAACAAAACTAGTTCCCAATGACTACCAATACTTACTCTCCCTGCGCGTTTGTCTGAGAGGAATACGTCGGTATCACCGGCGTCATCATGTTCACGAATGGTTGAGGCAGGCCTATGACAGGAAGTATAAGGCTGGCCAAGGCCGCAAGAGCGGCAGGAGACGGCATATTTGCTGGAAATAGCAGGAGTTCTGGTCTTCTAGAGGGTGGTAGAAGATTTAGTACGTTTGTAAGATGAATTTTCCGTTTTGGTTGAAGCACTGGTTATATTTATACTTTTCTTCTGGCACTGAAAGACGAACAAACGCCCATTTAGCTCATGCAATGGACTCCATAGGACTCCATAGTTCACACTGGCCTGGATGGATACTGTCATACTGGCCTCTCAGAAGCTCTCGGGCCATCACGGATGCTGATGTCGGTGGCCTTCACCAAGCTTTACTTGGGTTGGGGTACCCCGAATGTAGAAGCTCAGATAGCTTAGCTTCAGCTCCACATACTAAAGTGGCGGGTATATCGTACACGGCCGGACGAAAGATCCAGATACTCCGCACTTTCTCTCGTCGGTAACTGTCCGAAGCTCCACTGACCAAGGAAGTAGTCTTGGCTGTGAACTCATCCATAGCCTTGTCCACCTTGTCCATTTAAGCCAGTAGATCGGGGGGGGTGTGTTCTTCCGGCTAGACTTGGAGACCCCATGGGGATTAGACGGGTCCCTAGATGTAGTGGTCGGGTTCGAGCGGGGGCTATGGGAACATGCTTGAAAATTATAGATGTATGATTGGAAACGGGTGCTTTTAGACAGGCTGAGTAGAATTGGAAAATACTTAAACGGAGCCGATGTTGGCTATGCTATGGAGGTGGCAGCGGGTTCGGCGGATATTGTTCATATGGCGGAATGCGCTCTCACCGACGAACGCGGGTTTGGGAACTCGATACGAGTACCGGGAGCTTGAAGACTTGGAAGCGGGTCGAATATGCCATGGGCAGAGTTGATGAACTGATGCTTGTGGAAAGTGGAGCGGTGGTTGATCCTCTGGGAAAGAAGATGAAGACAAAAACTACACAGTGAGTTCGATCTGATATCACTAAGTGGTGCAGCACACCCACGAACATAGCTGTTGCACATGGCAGCTGCAACCGAGTAGGAACAAACTCAACTCAACTCAACTCACTTTTGTCAAGTAGTTGCAGCCTGACCTTGCTTATAGCGATTAAAAACGAAATAGGAATAAAATAAAGAATACATACAATCGCAAATCTTACACCGTAAAAGACAGGATACTCTTAGCCGAGGCTCATGAACGTCCCTCCATAGATTCTAATAACATGCCCTTCCCTCACCTACCAGGGATCACTGTCTCCTGCCTCCTTGGAACTCGCTTCCTGTCGTATCTATCGATTGAGCTTCTCGACTTCCTTGGAACTCGCTTCCTCTCGTATCCATTGATCGACCTTCTCAATCTTCTCGGAATTCCTCTCCTTCCAACCCCATTGATTGACCTTGGAAGCCTGTTGCGCTGGACCAATTCACATACTTTCGCGGTACATCTCGCAACCAAGTCCTTATATTTACCTTTGACTACCGTTGCGGCACCTTTGAGAGCTTTAAGCGATTCTCTCCACTTTGTTTTCGCCGTCTCGCTTCCAGCAGCAGCAGTGACTGCACCTCCGACAAAGTTACAGCAGTATCCACCAAGTGCAAGTGCATCACTCTTTGTGATGGGCTTCCCATCTTGATCGCAAATTTTGGATGATATCAGACAGGCCGATGCCACCATCACCATGCTATCCAATTTAGTACAAATCCTGTTGCGCAGATTTCGACATACTTACGATCCTGCTACGATAGGAGGTTTGATCTGGCGTGGCTTGACGGGGGGTGCGTGTTGGATGCCCGCTATGAGTTGGGCACCCACGAGGGCGCAGAGCATGGCAATGCTGGATCGCATGATAATACAGGAAGGCGGTCTTGTTAAAATGTAGGAGTAAGGGAAAGGGTACTGGGAAAGAAATCCACGGAATATTATTCTCAGTTGTAGATGCTGTAGAGGAAGTGAGCGGTATTGTGAAGCTGGCAAGTTGGGTTTTTATAAAAATTTCATTCCCATGCGTTGCAGGGATCGCAAATATTGAATCGCCTCAGTTACCTCTAAGTGCCATTGTTTTCTTAATTAATGATCTCTACTTTTAGATCCTAATTTACGCACTTATGAGCGATGTGCGCCGCAAATTGACGTCTTGATTCTTTACGCAGTACCGAATGTTGGCTGCATTCGCCCCTTCTTGTAGTTCTATGTTGGTTGGATGGGTCAACCTAGCCTCTGTCTGCGATATAATACTCCATTCAGGTTTGGCCTGCCATACTGCGTTGGTTGTTCCTGGCCCATTTTGTGGTATTGTATATATGTATAGCCTACTTTTAAGGCAAATTTATCAGGTCAACCCCTGCCCGCAATATAGTACTCCTTTCAGGTTGTGCCTGCCATGCTGTGTTGGTTCCTGGCCCATTTTGTAGTATTGTATGCACATGTAGCCTTTTTTTGAGGCAAAATTATCAGGCCAACCCCTGTCCGCGACATAATACTCCTTTCGGGTTTGGCCTGCCACACTGTGTTGGTTGTTGCTCGCCTATTTAGTCTCTCTACATGCACCTAATAATCAGGCCACTGCCTATTCGGGGCATAATTTGTCTTGTTATGTTGATCCTGGCTTACTTGATGGCTTAGTCTATACCTGCAGCTGAGCTAATAATAATCAGGGTGGCATTCCGCTTGAGATTGGTTTGCTATGTTGTTCCCAGCCCACTGATGGCTTGGTATCTAGAGCCGCGCTAATAATAGAACTCAAAAGCCCTCATATTTAGACCTGCCACTCTCTCGATTCGTTCTGACTACTTTCACACCATCTGATAAACTCTATAGCCTCAAAGCTACAATCACCAACGTTTACTTGAGCTATGGCGTCTAATATGGATAACTTACCTCCCTACCAGGAGAAGCAGCCTGTTCAAGAAAAAACGGAGCGCAGTGCCTCTGCTACCAGCCATATTACCAACCGCATTGCTGGTACCGTACAAACAGGCTCGATCCGGGACTTTCAAGTCGACTACCTTACAATTATCCGTAATTCAGCTACAAGCTACCACATCTCTCTTACAGTCGATCCTACACCTCTATATTATATCAAACTCATCTCCTCCGTTGCTCAAGTTAGCAATATCCAGATCTTCTCCGTGTCTGATAGTACACTTCCTATTGCTGCCGCACGCCTTTCAGCCGATCCTAAAAACAAAAAGGAGCCTCTAGCCACAATATGCACTTGCTCTCCGACTCAACCTGACGCGCTCTGGCTTCCAATGACCGCACCAAAGACACTTTCATCCGACTACAAGACTACTCTACCAATAGTTTTAATACCTGGTAGACCAGCGGTACCTCACCTGTTCAAGTGGTATGCGGCCCCAGACGAGCCAAAATTTGAGCTGCGGTGGGAAGGCCCACTTCCAATAGTACTAGGTTTACGGTACCACGAGAACAACTTCGAGTCACAGTATATGTTTGCAACAGTAGTAAGGAAAACTGCTGATGGAGAGGATAATCTTTTGGAGATCAGGAGGTGGGGGGGTATAGAATTTGAGTTGGGTGTGATCTTGGGCTTATTCGTGCTTACACATGCAAAGAAGACAGAGTTACTTTGAGCTACAAGGTACCTAACTATGTTCAGAGAGGCCCTCTCTGAACATAGGTAATGATACAATTTCCTAGAGGGTCTCCTCGGTCTTATATTATTCTTTCGAACCTGTGGCAAGAAACTGAAGATCTTGCCATTCAGAAGCATCCACCGCCTTTTCTTTTTTTCCAGTGATTTTCGCGATATACATAGACACTTGTTTCATTCTCCAATCTGTCGAGGTATTCACATCGGCGATCTTCCATAAGACGGATTTGCGAAGATCGTCCAACGCAAGTGATGAAGATCTATCCCTCCTTGTGAAAGCCGATATCCACCTGTGTGGTCTTGTACGAAAGCAAGTACCTCCCGTACCAGATGTAGAAAGCCCCTTCCCATGGACCATACTGGAGCGGCTTTTTAGTCAGGGTATTATAAGTTCTTCGTTTCGTGATGACTTTGGCGCGAATGGAACGAGCGGTATTATCTAATCCATGAGCTGAGACTATACTCGGATGATATTGTATTTTTCATCAGGTGTTTGATTCGGAGAGTATATACTTGTAGAGGTAAGCCCGGGTTCTGTAATTCTATTTCTTACAACTTACTAAAGTAATCAATAAAGCAATCTTTGAATATGACTAGATACCGTTTCAAAAACGCAGCCAGTGCAAAGAAGCACATTGACTTTGAGAAGCCGATTATTATTATTTTTCATTTAAGCTGTCTGGCAGTAATGGTAATATTCGAGAAACTAGGCTGGAAGAGGTCCAGCACAGACACATAGTAGGACAGTATCTCTTGGATGAGAGGGGGCTAAGGTTACCGAGGAGCGTTATAGTGATAACAATGGGCAACAATGGGGGGAAAACCGTAGACGGTGGAAATTGACAATATGAGTTTGAATATGAAGGAATTAAGAAGTTATTCTAGAAGGTTGTATTAGTAAGTGAGTGAGTAAGAGGACACGGTGCATTCTTATAGTTGCAGAATGCGGCGCGCATCACCTTGGCCTTCTATCAACAGTTAAGAACTTTGACAAACCCGTCAAATACCTTCAATAGCTGTGCTTGTTATATTTTTACTCAATGTGGAAGATCTTGGAAAAGTTCATGCAAGTCGGTTACCTTGATCACGTTGTGGGGATATTCAAAACATCAGGCAGTAAGAGTGATTGGGCAATTTCTTAATTCCGCGAACGAACTTCTGACGTGGTCAGTATTACGCTAAGGTAACTACAGAGCCGCGGCCCCCCTTCGCTTCATTGCATTCATATTGGCTAAGCCCTTGTTATTTCTTAAATGTACGAGTCAACTTCCCGGGATGAATTACTTCTGACGATATCTTAATGCTTGAGTATATCGTTCAATACAGCCTCAACACATCACGTTCCAGCGCTGCCTGAACATACAAGAGACAAGTACCAACATACCTTAAAAATAACGAGACTCATACCAAAAATAAAGGTCGAGATCCCCAAAAATGACTTTTCTCATCTAACCTTCCCCGAGGACTCGAGACTAGAAAGATAATTCTATATATCCACAAAACCCGCCGAAAAGTCCCACCTAAATCAATTCACACAACTTCAGCTACTGTCCTCCATGACTGGCCAGTATCTTGATATGGTCTAGATCAAAGGGGCATATGGCCCTTTCAACTCATGGAGGTTCGGTAAACATGCCGTTGATGACCGCATTCTTGTTCTCCCGGACCTTCCAAATTGCAGCCTACAATCCAACCCACAGCATATGCACCACCTGTAGCTATTACCACTGCGGGCCTGAGCACCACCTGTGCGTACTGTCACTGCCCGTGCTTCTACCACGTGTGTTCAATTCCGCTCAATGCGACCACCACCAGTACCAAATGCCGCTACCTCCCCCGTTGATCCCCTCCAATCATGCCAAAGGTCGCGCACCAACGTATAGATGACCTCAAGTCATCGTTGCATCCATTGTGTTGGATTGTCGGGCCCTGGCAGCTTCATTGTTGTTAAATTCTATTCTCTTTCTCTTCCTCAAGTCATCGTTGCACGTGATTTGTAGGTCAGTTGCGTTACATCGTGTGTCCTTGAGCTGACCGTGTCGCCTGGTTCCTACTCCTATCGCCACGTTGACGGCTCCCGCCATGGTCTTCGGATACACCTGCATCACACTCGACAGTCCGAGGTCGTATCTTTTCTATGTCGTCGCTGATGTCGGCCCAAGAGGGAGCAGCCGACCCCTGGCCGTGGCCTATCGGCAGGGCCATTTTGGAACAAGGCACACTTTTGAACGACACACGAGAGCTGTGCACGACATATTGAGGCTGATCAGATTACTCTCAGATCCGGCAAACCGGCCCATGCTCGAGGCAGAGCTCACACTCGCCAGAGCTTGGTATCAGCCTCAGGACGATGAGCCTCAGGATGCAGAGGTGCCTCAATACCTGGGTCAGCAGCGCCCGGAATTTCCCGATACCGAGCAGCCCAGTTTTTCCACCATCAATAGTTTCGAGACGGCAGACTCACAGCCGGAGCTGCCGTGGGACGAAGCGCTGACAGAGTTTCCCTTTACGTCGACATGCCTTCTCTTGGGGCTGCTGCATGACGATGGCTTAAACGAGACTCGCCCAGGCGATGTCCAGCTGCAGCCGCTTGAGACTGTATTCCGTGGGACATCACTAGAGTATGGCATGGTTGTGCTTGACATATCAAATCTCGATCAAGTAAAGTATGGCATAGTCGCTTTCCCTATCCGGTATATGGCCGAGGTCTCCTATCGCGGAGAAGAGTTCGGCTGGGATCCTGTCGAGGATGGTCCGCCGGCGCAAGAGCCCGATGCTGTCGCCGTGGAAGTACGACCTCGGGCTCTCTTGTCTATCCTCAAGAACCTCAAAACGTTTCACTACACGGTAAACTTGCGAAAGGAATTGCACGTCCTTGAGTTGGAGCAAAAGCCTCTGGCTGATGGAAGGGTCCTCGACTGTATGTATTCAGGCGCCCATCTTACTTTTCATGACACGACTAACTCGAGAGGGAGATATCTGGCCTGTTAGCTATGAGGATGAGAGGCGAACTTCATCACATGGCATTGCATCTAGCATATGGAACTGTGAGCTGCCTCGTCCTCTTCAAGTGCTATATACACTGACCGTGTTATGATTAGATCTCTGGTCGGGAAAGTCTACCGACGGTGATGAAGACTTAACAGAGAGGGTCAGGCGTCTCGGGACGGTTGATGAACCACATAACGCACAAATCGACCGTGCGATCGACAATCTGTTGATCCTTACACAGAGCAACCTCAGCCTCGACGCCAGGACCGTTGACAAATTTCAGAAGCTAGGCGAATTCCAGAGTCAACTGCGCCGGCGACTCGAAGAAACTCCGGGCAGCTTAGGCCCTTCAGAAGCCGCAGGTCACATACTTCGGATCGCGTATTCTGGGTACACCAGCCTCCACTGGGGCTTATTCAAGAAAATCTCGTACGAAGCGGTCGCTGCCGCCATCATGTCCGACGAGCTCCGAGGGGCGTTTGTGCTGAGCCTTTGCGTAGACGACCTGAAGGGGGAGTTTAACGTTCTGATATCCGCTATATCACGTCTTTCGTCCCTCAAACATCTCTGTCTTCTAGGAAACCCAGACAGAGAGAACGATGACGCGAGCGCTCGTCTCTGTTGTCGGCTTTCTGGGCTGTCGCGCCAGGATTCACAGTTTCGTGACAAAACAGTCTATCTATCGTCTACCTTCTCAACGCCGTTGAACCGAGTTCCATGGCTTCCAAGTGAAGAAGACTGTCCTCCCTTGCAAGTCTTGCCCATGATTCACGTTCTCGCGCGACGAGAGGGAAGGTCGGGAACGGGGAGTCCGTTCAGCACACTTGCCATTATCTCGGCGATGGTCTTTTCGGTGCAGAGCGCTTTGCTGTCGGATTCCTATCATATCTGCGATCCATCGGATCGGACAGAGACATGCTACAGTTCGCGTGCGGACCACCAACACTCAGTACATACGAGTCAAGTCCTTTGGCAAAGAGGCTGGCCGTATCGCCCATCCCTGCCACGGCCGACGCGATGCCAAGGACGGATGGCGAGTACGTCATCATGGAAGCTGGCAGCTGTGTGGTTCTAATAGACGTGGCCCATTATTCGCACAGCACCAAACGCAATGTCTTGGCAGATGCAGCCATCGTTCGATACGCCTTCCTCAGGGCAAACCAAACCATCCGCGGTTCTGGAGCTATCGGGACGAATGAACCAGCGACTGAATGGATCGAAGTGATAGGAGGGCTGAGAGCATTCATGCGCGAAGAAGAGCCCGGTGTCGACGACACGTTGGTCGAAATATTGCTCCGAGACGCCGAGGACGCTGTCGCCCGTCGCTTTCAGACAGGGCCGGCATCGAACGTCAAATTTATTGACGATATGGACGAAACTAGTGCTCGAGAATTGTTCAACCGTATGTTACAAAATCTGGACAAATCACCTCCGAAGACTGATATTTAGACGCGTGCAACTCATGCAAGCGTGTTTCAATATGTACAAATTTTGTTTTATCTACAGTGTTTCCCTCTATGTCTGGAATGCTTGTCTATCAACCATGAGCGAAAGAAATAGCACCATTAGCTATGATCCCCAGAGCTTATCTCTTAGATGCTCTCGAAGGACTAGAGCTGCGGATCCATATAGTTCAGCGTCTTGAAACATGGCGATCTATTTGTTGTCTCCAAGTTATGACTTGGCGTAATGTTGTTGGCGACTACGGGACCCTTGAATGTGAATAAGAATCGACTCCATCTCAGGCCTTAGTTGTGGCCTCCCGGCCGCCTCCACATCATGATTGTCGCCAAAGCTGACCTGCTTGTTAAGACCTCTGTATTGATACAACTGGTGCTAGTCTTCATCTGCAGCTTCTAAAGGCGTAATGTCGTGTAAGCGAATCTGCCAAGTAACAATCCATAGGTTAGGTCTCATGATACCGAACAATACGTTAGGTGCGAGGAAGTTCAGCTAGTTTCATACACTGCTACACCTGCTGAATTAAATCTTTCATCGCTTACGGCTGGTCAAATCCATGTCGCTTCCTAAAATGGCCAGCTCCATCCAAAGAGGCAAGCTGAATACTGCAGCCATGCCTCAACCCTGCGGGGCCCGTTGCTACTGGGCAAGCTCACCGGCGTCCAAAGCAGGCAAGATATGCACAATATCGACAGCTGAAAGCTGAAAGATGCTGTTGAAAGCTGGAAGACGAGCGATGACATGTAGCATGCTGTCTGCTGCAAAATGCTCGCCACCTCAGCAGTCGATTTGCGCTGCCGAAGAAAGGCAAATCAGCGTTAGATAAAGCACAGGAGCGTGACAATTGCCCCTCCAGTGCGAGCGCAGTTTCATGGTAGCTGAGACCCTGAGACGTTGTCGCCCAATGGCGGAGATCAAAGTGAGCGTGTTACTTTGGCTTGAGCCATGAGACCAGCCTCTCTGATCAACTTTTTGCTACCAGGAGTACCATAGTGAATTCTTGCAGCTAAGACGTGGCCCAACGTCGTCTCCTGAGGTTATCACAGAAACAGTCTTATACCGTTCTCTAGCACTCTATAACCATACAGGTCATACATACTGAACCCCCCGAGTTGACGGGGCCTCATGCAAGGTCACTGACCTAACCCGTAAAGCCCGCGAGACACGCCACCACGGAATCCAGGAGCAATAGTAGATTAATACGTATTGAGAAATACTATGCCAACCCCTCTCAGCTCGCCACCGCTCCAATGAAGGCAGATAAAATGAAGTGACGGCACGATAGCATGTCCTACTGACCAACCATTCTATGTTTACGCACAGCTGTGGGGGTTTCTCCTCGTTCGCTAGTATCAATATTGGATCAATATTGGGCTGCGCCTTACTCGAAGTTGTCGACCACGACAGATTGCTTCCCTACCCCCTTGACGAGCTATTTCATGGAGCTTCTCTAAGGTGGCAATGACATTTATTTGCATTATTCAGCAATAACAATCGTGTATAAAAGAGCGAAGGGCAGACTGGAATCCTGTTCTGACTCTCTCCTGTTCTCTACTCAACTGCACACGAGCAAGCCAAATACTTCTCTACCTTAACGACCACAACTGCCAAGATCCAACATGAAAGACCAGAAAGATATCGTGGGCAACCCACACATTGGCGGTTCTACCGGCGATCCCTTCACTATCAGCAACGCCTTTAACGCGGCCCAGACCGTGACCGTCTGGATCGCCAAAGGCACCCGCTGGAGCGATCGAGACCAGGTCAAGGCCATCAAGGTCGTGTACGCGGACGGCACGGAGCGTGCCTCCGGTAACCAGACGGGAACCTCGCACTCGTTCAAGTTTGACTCCAATGAAAGAGTCACGTCGATGGGTATCTGGACGGGGGACCGTGTCGACAAGATCAAGTGGGTAACTAATCACAACCGTACCTTTGAGCATGGCGGTTGGGGCGGTACGGAACATTTCGAGGAGCTGGGTAACGGTATTCTTCTTGGCTTCTCGGGAACCACGGATTCGCATGAGCTCATCTCACTTGGAGCCTCGTTCAAAGAGGACTCTGACTAAAGGTAAGACAGTCGAAATCCTTCACACATTCACATAGACTGATCATGCTCTTCTAGATTCCGGACCACTCAGTGTAGTGCCATCACTACTCATTTGAGCCATTTGTGGTTCTGCTCGTGTAGTTGACGATCTCCGGAGCAGAGTACTTGAAGGTGGTGAAGGAACCGAATTTTCAAAAGGCTGTATCTACGTCAATTATCATACAGCCCGTTCCACTTTAGTCTCGAGTACATGGAGAATTTTCTTCAACTTGTGCCTGTTGTTTATAGTGCATGTCTAATTTTGCCATTTTCTTCATTAATTCCTATTCAACCATAAACTGTGGTGTACAGCTTTCAGACTCAGACCACAGATATTATCGGTAGGTAATACGATAGCTCATAAACAGCCAATCGGAAGATAGCATTTATCTAGGTAAGTCATCATACCCATAGCCATGGACTGTGTTGGAGCGTGGATTAAATTCCAAGTTCAGCCCAATAGGCTCAAACCTCTCCCTCCCCAAAACCTTCTGCCCTTTAAAATGAAAGACGTCAATTGGCTTAAAGATTAGACAGCAAGGTAGCATTCGGCTTGCGTATGATGGGCCGATTGAAACATAATTCGCCTGGCTACTATGATATAAATCAGTTCCAAGGATAGCGTGGTCAGTTTCATGAAGCTTGCCGAATGGAAAATCTTGTATTCAAAGTCTCCTCAACGTTTAGACAGACCATTGCACCCGTTGGCAGAGCTTAGCTTTTCATTGCCTTGTGCAAGCGAGATATTTGTAGTGCAAGTTAATTCTCGTGGGTGATAGAAAGATTCAATATAATAAAGTCTATCGAACCAAAAGCTAAGGCTATGAGCACAAGACTCTCCTAATCACTCCATGCTACGTCTATTAGATGGTACCGAAACCGGCACTCGTCTTAACCGAGTTGACAGACGAGTAAGCGGCCGCCGAGGCAACGTTCTTGCCCTTGAAGTTGGCCAGGAAATCAGTCGTGCTGCTCGAGAAGGCTCCAGAGCTCCCAAAGGCGTTGACCTGGCAGGTGTGGCCGAGATTGGCGGAGCAGGCTGCGTTGGCGCTGGCGCTTGGGCTGGTGAAGAGCTTGCCGGTGAAGCCGGACTCGACGGGTGCAGCGACGTTCTGGAAGATGTTGCCCTCAGCCACAACCTGGGCGCCTGTGCCGACCTCGAAGGCATGACCGGCATTATCGTACCAGTAGTTGTTAACGGCGTGGAGGAGGGTGTTACCGCCGACCTTGGGGGCACGGCCGGAGGTCTTGTAGATGTAGTTGTTCTTGAAAGTAACGAGCTGAGCAAAATGTTAGCAGAGAACTCAGGTAAAATAGATCATTTTCCTAGAACTTACATCACTGGATCCGGTAAAGTAGAGACCCCAGTAATGATAACCATTGCAGGTAGCAGACCAGGAGGTAGCACCATCAATCTTGTTGTTGGAGATGGTAACTCGGTTGCTCGGGCCATTGCCCAGAACAATATGCTGGCGGCCGATGAGGGAGGTGGTCACATGGTCGATCCAGACCAGGTCGGTGTTATCCAGGGCAATAGCATCGCCGCCCCAAACGTACTGAGGGTTTAGGTTGGTGATGTGGATGTTTTGAATAATAACATTCTTGGCACCTCCAGCAATGTAAAGACCTTTGCCCTTGATAATACCCTTGCTTCCGACGCCAACAAGGGACTTGTTCGACTTCACAATAATCGGGTTGAGACCGGCCTTGTCGTACTTCACGGAAACCTTGGGGGCGTTGGGCTGGTAGTTGTTGCACCATGAATTCTTGTTGATGGCGGTTTGGCAACCAGACGCCGTGCCGTAAGGGGCACAGCCGGTCTCGGTAGCAGTACCCTCAGTGCCGGTAAAATCGAACGTTCGGTCGAGGATGATGACTCGAGCGGATGAGTCGCCGAGATATTTAACCAACTCGGAAGTTGACGTCGGATAGACTGCTGCAGCTGAACCACCGCCAGTGACACCCTTGGCGAAGCCTTCGGCGGCACCGGTCACGCCGACAGCTGCGACTGTCTGGACGAGAGCCGCAACTGCGGATGTCAGTGTGATGTCAAATCTCATGATGGTGGATTATCGAGGTCAGAATGATGGTTGGCTGAGATTTGGCAAGCTGCTGGTCTTTCCTCTGCTCTGTGACGAAGGTATATCAGCTTTTATATACCAGTCGTCTGAGGTGATCGTGAGACACGGCACGGCAGCAAACATCAAGAACACGGAGGCACACGTCCCGAAATGGCGGCGACATTATGTCAATCTTCGGCCTGAAACCCGGCCGCTAGCTTCGGGAAACATAGCACGTCCTTCTCGTATGGACGCTCTGTCTGCTTACTTCTAACTACTTCAAGTCCTCTGCGCCGTTCTAGACGGCGTGATAGCAAATTGCTAGGGATTGGTGGAGGACATTTGAGAAATGAGGAATGAGTTTGATAGGTGCGATTTTACGGCTTATTTCAGCCAGGATGCTCCCAGTGTTTCAGCACAAGCACGGCTATCTCGGCAGTACAGTGGGCTCGGCCGAGGCTCTCGCCACTTTGTTCTTGGCTGTTATCCACCTGGCTAATCTCCTTGACTTGCTCTTGACTTGTGGGGACACTTGCAACCGATATGACCGTTGTCATTAGGGGTAACTCGTCGTTTTATTAAGACTCTGCGAGGATATTTGGCACTCAACAGCATCCTACGTTTCTATAGCCCGTAGTGAACGTAAGGCACCCAATGCAAAGGCCCTGTCTGATCCTCTTCGTCCAATATCGCGTCTCTCCCATGTTTCTCGATGCCGACATCCGCAGAAATCTGGTTGCTTTTTGAATCCAACCTCTTTGAAATGTCCCCTTCTCGTTCGAGGCCCATTGACCGCATATCCATCTCACGGAGCCAACGTGCTCTCAGCTTCCTACAGACCTGATGTAGACCTTGAGAAGGGGAGATATCCGACATCCCTTCGGCGCACATTACTTCGTACACGCCTGCTGCCATTTCTGCGCAAATCTCGTCATTCACCTCCCATAGCGTCCCGACGACGTGACGAAAGCCAGCAAGCTGGTATGCACTAATCAAGTGAATGCCCTCGTTAATGAGTTCTTCATTGCGCACACGACCGGTGCCACAAGCCGATAAGTACGCCAGAAATGGACGTCTCTGCTGAATATTCGTGTCCAGCAAGGTTCCTACTGTCAAGGGCGTCTTCATCCAGTCAGAGAGGAGCAGACCGCTCTGAGATGGATCCAGCGCGTCTGTACGCCCGTGCCCAGCGTAGTGAAATACATCGCAATCAATCAAAGCCTCTAGCACGCTGTTTCGGATAGTCTCTGGCTTCGTGACTGAAAGCCGCAGGGATGAACATATTCGTTCAACTTCCTTCATTTCCTTGTCTACAAAGCCAAGAGAGGCGTGTCCGGGAGTCTTGGGCATACTGACAAGCGTAGCCTTGTGGGGCTTCTGGTTGGCTTTGTGTCTTGCACGATATTGTCTATTGTGGATGATTGCTCTCACGGAAACGCTGTAAGATGAAATTGCTCGGTCGAGCACGCTCATGCCAGGTGTATCACGATGAAAGCCCGCTGCGTGGATTGGAAAACTAGCCAAAGGCCCAGTAGGAATCCACCAGATACGAGGCCATGAGGATCCAGTCGATTGAATAATCCCGAGGCTGTCAAGTACTGGCAGGGCAATAGTGGTCCATAGCCACTCCAAGACGCACTCGTCATCTAAGGGCCTCTTTGCCAAGTCCTGGACATCCAGCAAACCTGCGCCGGGGAGCGGAACAACTCCGATCTGGCCGTCATTTATGACAAAAGCATCACACCGGTACTGACTTATGTTGATGACGACAATGGCCCCTTCTTTAGCAGCACTTGCAATTTCTGTCTCTGCTGGGGCCAGAAGGAAGCGCCCCATTCCAGGCATTCCGCGAATCTCCCGGATTAAACGTTCAATTTCCTCACTGGAGCTATTTCTTTGGCTCATTTTGTCCTCAATCGAGGGCATGGGCTCGTCGATGAGGTCCATGAGTTCGTAAAACTCGCTCGCCAGGTCAGGGTAGTCTTCCGCGAGATCATCCACGTCCATTCTGAGCTCCCACTCTGTCGGGGTCAGTTCCTCATCTTCGGCCGCCGAGTTCATGAACGTTTCCCACCCAGGCATTTCGCGCACTCGCTGGCTAAGCTCGCGAATCTTCTGACGGGCTCGCTGAAGCTCGATGAAATATGCTTGTGTAGAAGGAATTGGAGCATCAATCCGATCACGCAACTCAATAAATTTCCCTGCCAAATCGGGGTATTTCTCATGCAGCTCGGAAATGTCGCTTCGCAGGTCAATGAGAGAACCGAGTATTACCCCTCGTCCAAGCTCAATGATACTCAGAGCCTCAAAAGCACTCTGATCTGCCATCAAAGCTACCGCCGCCGCGTCAGAAGCGAAGCTAGTAAGGCTGCGCAGCAACTGTTGCTTATCCGCGACGCCCAGAAACCGAGGCGTCAGAAGCGGTATCAGGCCTAAAATGCTGTTCGAAACTCGATTTGCCTCGTCCCATTTCCCGGTAGATGCCTTAAGATACATCATCCTCATGCCTGCCTCGACTCTGCTTTGTAAAGGAACCGAAGAGTTTTCAAGCGTTACCGAGAGTAGATCAAGCGCCTGTTGTATGTCATCAGCGTTGCTTCCTTGACCACTTCTTAGCTCAAAGACTGTCGCCAGGCCAGCGGAAAGAGAGTTATCCCTCTCAGATTCGGGCTTGATTTGAATCGCTTTCTGATAGGTGTCCGCAGCTTGATCTAGGTCTTCTGCTGCTCCCGTCATCTTGTATCTAGCTATGTATGCCACCCCAAGATTCGACAGGTACTCTGATTGGCGAGCTGCAATGCTTGGGGGAGTGACTCGGAGAGCCTCTCTAAAGTTCTGAATCGCAGTGTCCACATGCTCAATGGCTTCGAGCGAGCTGATTGCCTTGACCCTCTCGTATTGGTCCATGCTTATAAGCGCAAGTTGCTGCCATGCCTTCCCTTGATACACGGGATCTGATTTCAACTCAATCACCCTGCGTGAGAGCATTTCGCATTGCTCCAGATCCCCGGGGGTGTGTGTTCGCTGAAACCGGAGACGATAGGCGAGACTTAGATTCATCTGCAGCTCCGGCCACTCCGGGCGAAATGACGGGTAATTGAAATAAGCGCTCTCGTAAATCTGAATACTTCGGCCGAGATCCGCAATCGCACCCGTAGCCATATATCTGCCCAGAGTCACAAAGCCCAACTGAGTTAGATGCTCTTCAAAGAAAGCGGTTGACGTTGATGGCCGCAGGTCCACCGCTTTTACAGAAAGCTCTCGTGCATGATTAAGCTCTTCCAAATTTCCCGTTTTCTGATACGAGGTATCAAAAATCCGACTGAGATTTGTGAGATATTGAGCTTGATCAACAGGCCTAGAAGATCCATTACCAACAGCTCGTTCTCCGAAATGTTTGGCTCGTTCAAGGTTCAAGCTGTCTGCCGTTTCAGAGAATGCAAACCGATGCAGCATTGCAAGGCGACTCTGGTAGTCAGCTTGTAGAGCAAAGTTGACCTCCATCGTATCGATGCCCTTCTCATAAAGATCGAGGCCATGCCGCAGGTCTGACACCTGTCTCGAGATCTCATACTTCTTGACATATGATAATCCCATTTGACGCAGTGTGTCTGCTCGTAAGCCATCCTCTTCTGTTAACGCCGCAATGACTTGGCTGAACGCGTCTATTGCCTTTTCAAGGTCTTTAACATCATTCGACGTCAAGAAAAGATTATTTGACTCGCAGCCAGATGTGAACAGCTGCTTGAGTTCATTTGGCACCAGCAGTTCATCCGACCCCAGCGGAAGCGCTAGATCCATAATAGAGTGGAAATGATTTACCAAAGACCAAATGACTTTGAGGCATGGGGCAACTTGTGGCGAAGCCTTACTCTGAAGCCGTAAGATTAGTTAGGCAGCGAACAAGTCTTCGATTAATCCTAGCATGTTTCAGGCAGGTGAAGCGCAACTACTCACGTGATAGAACATGAGGTCAGCAGATTTTATTGATACATAAATAATGTATCAAATAGTAATCATAGCTACAGTTCAATGTTGATTTGGTTAAAAAGCAATTCAAGATGCCAGACTCGACAACTCAACACAATGAATACTAAGACTTCTCGTCTATACCTTGCCATTGTGTAGATTGACAACAATGTACGTAGACTGTCTGGCCTTATTTCCGAGTTAATTAGCTACCCCTATCATCGGCCCGCCATTCATTGCCGAAGCCCTTCCGTCTCCTACAACTCCATAATCCTCCATATCACTTCCCAGCGGGATAATGTCATCAAACACTTCGCTGGGTGGTGGAGGTACATTGTGATAGCCCCCCGGCCTTATGCCAGGTTGAGCACTGCGCCTGTCCAGAGGAGAAGGGGCACCGGAACGGTCAAACACCGTTCTGTGAGTCGCTCTGGTCTGGCATCCCTGTGAATCGGTTCTAGAATCATATCTTTTGTAGTATGGCTGCTTTTCTGTAATCAGCTTTATCGTGTTCACCTGCATCTTGTCGATGAGGTCTTCCAACACCTCTTCGCTTGCATCATCGGGAACGCGCCACATGGGATACAAGTTCATGTGCGGAGGCTGGACGCTGAACTCGTTATCGTCGTTCTGGAAATAGAAATGGCAAAGCCGGCAAACCGGTTTGCTAGTTGCGATAAACATGGTGCCATCCCAAAAGTCTGATGCCTTGACCTTTCTCACTCTGCTAAGATAGTCGTGCATATGGACTTCTGCATGGATAATAGTCTTGGTGTTCCTCTCAAGGACCTGTTTAACGATCTCCGATTCGAGCCCATATTTCTGAAGCTCGGCGATATCGGTTTGGAACTGCTCTAGGTCGTACTGAGGAAAAGCGTTGTGAAGTACGTCCGTCAATTTCCCTGACATGGGTAACGCAGCCTTCTTTTGCCTTGCAGAGGGAATGTATTCGACTTTGAAGCTCTTGAAAAGTTTAGGCCATCTCGTTGTTGCCTCAACAATGGCATCGGCGGCCTGACGATATGAGTAGAGGCGTCCAAGACAGTGCCGGAGTTCGCACCATTTGTAGGCCTGATCATGGTCATCCTGCCTGGCACGACGGTCAATCTCTCCACCAAGGTTGCTGTTCTTGCTCGCCTCGATAGCCTTTATCAGAGTCTCGCAATCGTAGAGGACTAGGAGTCATCACTGAATCAGAAACAAAATCGCATAATCAGAAGGAGGAGGTTATGTTTACTCTTGTTCCTCACTGAGTCAGTCATCTCCCGTGGAAATTCGACTCTAGACTTCAGTTCGCACAGCTGCTTGGTAACTATTGATTTCTCAGAGCGGTCAGGAAATCGGTTGTACTAGGATATTACAGAAGGGGTAAAATCTTTCACCAAAGCTTACTTGTAGATTCATTGGCCGATTCGCACTCATAGATGCATTCATCAAGCGTTCTAGACATTGTCTTGCAATATCGATCAAATTTTCTGAAGCAGAAATCAACAAAACGCCACAGAATCATTTTCTGCAGTGGCTTAGGTTGTAGCTCATCAGGATTGGTGGCAGCATATCGTAGCAACTCTTTGAGACCTCTTTTAATCTCTTCGAGCTGGGTTTCTTTCCTGAAGTTTGAGGTAAAGAGAAACACAGCCCTCCCTTCATCTGCGAGGCATACGAGCGAGGTGCTTTGATCCCCACCCATATCATTGTGACAGAATTGAGCGAGGTGGCATTCCAAGCTCTGAAAGGCAGAGAGTGATGCACCCCTGTTGGATTCAAAAGAGCCGTACTTGATGGCGCTCCTGGCTATGCAAGCAGCAGTGATACCCCCCTGAAAAGCACAGAGATTGAGTAGCTGCTGTTCCTGCTCAATTTTCTTCGTCGTCTGTGACTCGGAAGTGTTGGATGCTGTGTGATAAGACATTGCGATCGAAGATGAGTATCTGTAAATTCATCAACTATACTTGTTCATTTGATAAAATGAACACGATGGTAAGAGCTTTACCGGTATCAAGTTTGAAGATGAAGTTAGTTGGTAAATCCAATTGATGGCGCGCTTGTAAATGAGATATTCTGGAGCCTGGAGATTATTTGAGCTGTTCGGGAGAGGCTGGTTCTTTTTATATGTGCTGTGTTGGCTCCATGGTTTCCATTAACACCATGTCTTGGACAGGCCCTCAATCAATCATTCCACCTCGATCACAGCAGAATCATAGCGGCCTAAAGTGAGGGTGTAAGGCAGAGTTTGCTGGCATCTCGATATGTGGGAGGCCAGACTTACGATCGCCGCTATGGTTTCATCTTGAACAGTGCCTTGGGCGCTTGTGCAATTTTGACCCAATTGCATGTCAATACGTGTTTGTAGAGTGCCTTGGCTGTCGGTTATAAAAATAGGTTCTACCTAATATACCCTCCCTTTCAAAATTTTAATAATCCCCACCCTCACTAGGTATGGAGGTAAATACTCAAATGCTATATAGATATTAAAAAAAAAGACTAATAGAGACAGAAATGGAAAGCGAAATAAGGGGATGTTATGAAGCACGCACGACATGCATTGAGCCTATATATTTAGGGATTCTTTTTCCGTCAACATATAGCCCGTACGAAATAAGTTAGATTGATCGGTGCTGTGATGAAAGCTTGTTGGCTGCAAGATAACAAATGACGACACACCTTTGGTGTTTGGGTACCAACGCATAGAGGTGTCATGCGGGAGGCCAACCAACCTTACAGGAAATAGGGCAATCATTGACCAGTTGGGTTCCGGAATCGGAGTATGATTTTATCCAGTGGTATCTATTATTTCATCCTCTAGGGAGAGTTGTCAGACGTTGTATTTGCGAAATATTCCCCTTGCCAGTGTTCTCTACATCTAACGCTCTATTAATTGATCACCCGGGCTGTCTTCATAACCACCATGGATGCAAATTCTTCGACACAGCCTTTCAAACATGGAGGAGGTGGCCCGTCTGCCATGGCCATCAACTCTGTCAAGAAACTAGAAAAATTGCGACAAGCCCTCAAAGGCCTCCCCGTCAAGCCACCTTCGATATATCTAGATGCTCATGGAGTCGCGCAGGACGAATTAATCAACCTACAGATCTTGGTGCAGCCAACCGGTACGCTTTATTTAGTTGACATGAAACGTCTTGGTACCGCAGCGTTATCCACAACGACAGACAGCAGTGCGTCGCTTCGCTCCATACTCGAGTCAAAGTCCATCCCCAAGGTTGGGTTTGACATTCGCGCCGTTTCCAAGCTCTTATTCCGCGACTTCAACGTTTCTCTTGATGGCATGTACGATCTTCAGTTGATGGAACTCGCGAGCAGAGACTACCAGCACTCCAAAAAGCACCTTGCTGGGTTCGCAAAGTGTGTCGACCAGGACGTCCCAAAATCTAACACTACTAAGAGTCGCTGGCTCCAACCAGATGACTCTACCAACATGCATTTATTCAATTCTCTTGGCCATGTTCCTTCTATGAAGCGAATCGAGTTATATCCTGCGCTGTGGGCGGTTTACAGACATAGACTCAGTAAGCCGGGGCAGGCTTTCTGGCTTAGTTTTGCGCGATCAGAGTCATGGCAAAGGGTGCAAGATTCCAAGCTAAGCAAGGGAAGGCAAGGCGACCAGAGCCTAGGCCCTACATCCTGGTGGGACTCTGAGCTATTAGACTCTGCCATGGAGCGTTGGAATGAAGAGATAGTTACAGAACGCATGGCGGGAGGTTACGAGCTTAATGAGGACGCTGAATGGGTGCCGTTATCTATGAAATGATCTACAAGTATGCGATACTCCTCTTTCTATGCTGAGTGGTCGGTCTTATCGCAGTGATAATCGTGAATTGCCGACACCGCCTAGTCTAATCACCGACGCCGCGAATTATGGCTTGAAAGCTCTTGGGTATCTTCTGGACCATAAGCGTCACTATCACATCTCAGAGCTGGTTTGGTCGGTCGAGTCGTCATCACGAAGGCAAGACAAGAAAGCAGCGAGATACGGAGGTCATTTTCTCTCTAGACATGCTTGAGGTCCAAAAAGTGGTGTTATTTTCCCCTTGAACTAGGTATTCATTGAAAAGAGAAACGCAAAGGTAGTTGAGAATTATTGAGAATCACATAATTCTTCTTCTCTATCCGTTAAGGTTTGAATTCACCAATTGGCAAACACAAAGAAATGAGTCTTGTATAAGTTGTACGCAGTGAACAAGAACAGCGGCAAGGGATCATACCACGCATCCAGCCCTCCTCCCGGCAGCAAGCGCCAAACCCCCAGACCAATCATGGCGCCGGTTACGATAATGACCCAAATACAGCAGAAGATACGCATGTTGCGGTGTTTATCAGACTTGTGGGCCTTGGCATCCCCTGACACGGCCCAGGGGGCATCGATCTTGAACAGGCCATCCTTGATCGCCATCAAGTAGGCATGGGATTGGAGCGTCAGCACAGGCTGTACGTTGAATTTGTAGTTGCCCTTGGCCCACAGTGGAAGGATAGCGAGGCCGTAGATATATGATGGGAGGGCATTCCACACTTTCACCCACTTGGGCCGTAGGGCTAGGGGGAGAACCCCGGGAACTGGGCCAATGATGAGGTTCAGAGACATGCAGAGGTAATATAGAAATCCTGAGGAAATGAATAAGTCATTGAGGTCGCTGTAGATTTCGGATTATTATGAGCATAGAGCCACTGACCGGAAAAGTAACACAACTTCTGCATTGGCGTTAGGTTAGATTTCCAGAATGCGGGATTCGACAACAGTGTTGTGCTTCCCGTGGCCCACCGCATCTGCTGCGAGAAAAGAGCCCTTGGGCTATTTGGACAGATGCCCGTTGCTAGGCATAGTGGCATGTATCTAACCTTCCAACCGCGATTAATGGCACCAAACCTATATTGACTGGATCAGCAATGGAGATCCAAGTCTCAACGTAGAGAAACAGAGCATGCCCTGTGTGAACATCTTCAGAGTGCCCGATATCTGCGGTACCTCCCACGGCTTCAAGAGCAGCCCGCCGATACATGGCATTCGTGCCGACACAGATAGCGCCGCCCAGTCTGTCTCGGTTCACTTGGATGACACGATAGAACAACTCCTGCGTAGCGCCAGCACCTTGTTCTACCCATGTTTGATCTGATGTGGAGCGGAACCATTGAGGGGTTTGGACAATTGCTATCTTCTCATCGTCAAGATGCTCCACGATGAGCTCCTTCACGAGTTCCGGACGGGGGCAAAAATCTGCGTCAAAGATTACAAAGAACTCGCCATGGGTGCTGGTAAAGTTCCATCGCAGGTTCCCTGCCTTCCGGAGATGCGGCCGGTCGTCCCGGACGTGATACATGAAGCCGTACTTCCTAGCGAGCTCACGGACGCTTTCGAGGTTGCCGTCGTCCATGACGTATACTCTCAGCTTGGAGGCGGGATAGTCTAGTTTGATGATGTGCTCGTAGGTGTTCTCTAGAATCTCGAGGGGCTCGTGGCAGCAAGGCAAGTAGATATCGACCGTGGGCGCGGTTTCCTCTCTTATTGGGTGGGCAGCCAACCTGGCTAGATGTGCCTTGTAGTCATAGTCCTTTCCTATAAGACCAATTCCGTATGACAGGAACAAGTATACGCAGTTAATGAAGGCGAAAAGCCCGAACCAATAATAGTACGGTGCCGTGATGGTGAAGAGCCACATTCCAGCTCCGAGGGCTAGAAACGAGAATATACCAAAGGAGAAGAAGGTGATACGGCCCATGTTGAAGTAACTGAGCTTCTCGTCATCGTTCGGGCATGTGGGGAGGACCAAAGGTGGCTCATCGGTTGGAGAGTAGATGTCACGGAAGCTATTGTAACTTCGCCGAAAGAATCCAGGCTTGGTATCTTTACTAGCATTCTGAGTAATTTCAACTTTCTCAGAGCCGCTCGATTCAGGTGATACAGCGCCAGTTTCGACATCTTCTGAAGGATCCCGATATTTTTCTGTCATATCATCTGAGGCATTCCAGCACTCTTGATTCGCCATATCGTCCACGGGAATCCGGTTTTGTCTTCACTCGTCATTTCTTCTGTTTGACAGGGGTTGGCCTGCTTCAAAAACAGTCAATATCTATAAAGTCCACTCAAGGTGCGTCAGGATGACACTGACGAGAGAATGTAGGCGCCAAGGTCCATTGCGGCTTGCATCTATTGCACCCACCTGCGCTCGCCTCTAATCCCACGTTTGGTCAAGCTAGTACGTCGATCATGGAAAACACTGAGTATGGAGTTTGGAGTAACGGTCTGAGTGGAGACATCGTTGGCGTTAGACTCAAAGAGATTACCGTCGCTAGAATCAGTGGCCTCACCATCATGGCTCGGAGGGTAATTTCGCTCTGCGATAACCTAAAGTTTACCGCCAGAAGGAAGATCGTCATCACATCATAGGACCAAAAAGAAGATCAACAGTTGGAAATCCCAGGAGAAAGGCACCATGCAAAAAAAAATAGTCCTGTGACGAAATCGACACCGACACGTTGTGCCCAAGCCAAATCAATAGTTGGACTGTAACCTTAAGACCTCAACAGCCAAGTTCTTCTCTTTGTCGTTGCTCCCTGATTGATCTTCATGTTAACCTAGGAGTCTTTCCTCTCTGTATTTCGGCTGATTTGGTTTTCTTGAAATCCGTTACCGCAAGGTTTGGTTGACTTAATGAACGCCATCGGATGTGATACGCTGTCTTGGCGACTCAAATTCCGGACACACTCAGGCGGTGCCCACCCCAATGCAATTCTGGACATCGCCCTTTTAAACGCTAGAAACCGTCGATCAAATGGGCAGAATGAAGACTCATCCAGCTTGTTCATGCTTGAGTGGATATTTTCATAGCGTGGCAAGGAGTCCCTCAGCCACCAAGATGCCATAGTTATCATGGTTATCAGATTGGTAGGCTCTTCACTAACGTCGACACCTCACAAACATGAGTCATCATATGAGCTGACTGGAATGCCAGGTTGAGTACCGCACACCACAATGCGCCCTGCCGAGTGGCTAGCGGTCGATCGGTGTATTAACGTCAAAGCTTTCAAAGCCGATTGGAAGCCCAGGTTTAGCTTTGTCTTATTTTCCGCCAAGGACACAAGACGGTCGCAGAATCGTACGCAAATGCAGTAATGACTCTTGGTTCAAGGTTAGAGTTGGCTATGGCCGGAAATTCGGTACGCAACAGATTGATGGATGATTGGGCCGTGTGGTTGGTTTGACGTCAAGGTCGATCCAGAGGCAGTTCGCGTCATGGGAGCTGAACGTTCGGCGCTCTAAACCGAAGAAGAAGCAGGATGAGCATCGAAGGTCTCCATGTTGGCCTGGGCTTGTGTTGAGATTTAAGAACGAATACAAATTAACCTTTGGACGTGCATAGGGGTATGGTCCAAATGGTAGAAGGAGAAGCGCTAATTTGAAAGGTGTGGTTGATCCATGGTATTATTGGCGAAACATTGCTACCAATTGCGATGATCTCGGGACTATCAATCGGTTCTTGCCCCTAGTTCGTTTATAATTGATTGCGAGATCATATGTACCGATATTTGCACACCAATGGATAGCTGCAGGCGGTTCTCCACTGGATCTGAAGCATTCTGAAATGGACAACCCAGCTCAATTGGTAGTTTATTTCCGGACAATTGCCTGAGCTGGAAATCTGGTAGGAGTTTTGGTTGGCGTGTTTCCTTTACTCGGAACACTTGGTCGGCGACGGATTGGGAGGTTGGTAATGTCTGTGACGTCTCCCGCCTTGGATCTCAAATATCCCACTGTTCGCATCGGTAAATGTTGCAGATTGAAAGCCTGCCCGGGGCTCAACTAGGCCTTGAGCCCCAATCTCTAGAAGGCTTCACGAATATATCTTGGTAATCATTCTTTCGCGAGGAGAAGTGAAGCAGGGGCTATGATGATGAGGAGGCGCTGGATAGGACAGAAACTTCTTATGCGAAATGAAGTCTTGTCTCCTCTTTCTCTTTGAATAAGGACAGACTGCTCTGCAGATACATCTAGAGAATATGTTAGCAAGAATTATAGAAAAAGCTTAAAGGTATGTTACCCTTAACGTTATTCATTCGGTTGAAACCTGGCTGATGAATTCCAGCAACGCCCTGAGCGTAAGGCACCGATGGTTGAGGGGGTCCAGGCAGCCCTCCAGAATCTTGTTGCTTGACATTTGAAGGACTCTAGGCCGCCTTTTTGTTCTCAATTTACAAGTCAATGGATTACTTTCAGTGCCTTTCTGCTACCCCCGAAATAATCTGAAACGGAAAACCCAAGCTTGGCCATTTTTTCAAAGAGGCTGGAGTTCAAAGTCGTTGAATCCAGTGGGTTGGCCCAAATGTAAAGGACGGCCTGGTAACGCTGCCCTTCGGAGTATAGCAAGCATCTCCCATGCGTGTTCTTCGACTGCTTGTAAGGTCCGTCTCGTAGGATTGGCACTTCTGGGTTCCTGCTCCCGGGGAATCCATGATTGTTCCGCATAACCAGACGAGGGTGTAATGCTCCGGCGGGTGCACTAGTTTTTGGCCCCTAATGAAGAAAAGCTGCCCGCTTGTTAACTTGTCTGATGACCTGATGAAATGATTGCCGATTCTTCGTCCTCAAGAAGGGCGTCACTATCGAACTCGGGGCCTTCGTCATGTCTATGTGACTGATGTCCCTTAGGTACTCGTAGAGGTGGAGGTCGGCAGCCACTTGCTTTACCGGAATGTTGAGGTGGCAGCTAAACACCACGGTATTCTCATCGATATACGTAAACCCGAGGCTGCCACGGCCACCCACGGCCTAGATGCCGACTTTGGCGAGCAGACGCTTGTCAGTATCATTGTAAATTGGATCCTGGCAAAAGACAGTAAAACCACCAACACCCAGCCCATTGCCAATAACTTTGGCAATTGTTAGTGCCGCCGCGTGCTGGATGATGGCGGAGTACACTCTGTTCTCCGGCTCGTACCTCTCATCTTCAATTTCGATTGACCAGCCAAGGCTGCCGAGTCCGAAGCAGACTATCTTCAATAGAAGGCAAGTGGGCGGGCATGTAGAGAGAGAAATTGGGCAGGGAGGTAGAATTGTGTAGGTAGGTACCTACCTGAGGGAAGCAACCTGACGTGCACTAGCCTCGGTTCCTTCCCAAGGTACCTGCCTCCCCTGCGTTTACCAGTTCCTTCCCGTATATCACAAATCCTTTAGAAGCGCGTAGAATTTTCGGTTCTGCCCTATGTGCGATCCGGACAGCCATTCTTTGCGGCTTTCACTCTCATCTCAGATTTGGTTCACATCTATAGAGGACCGTCCTCTGTCTTACCTTGCGCCCGTCTTTGCTCCCGTCTCCTATCCATTCGGGGACTTTCGATAATTTGACTGTGGATGTCCTCCTTCTTTCTTAGCCCTTTCGTGAAGCGGGGACTCGGGCTGGGCAATGAGGCTGGAGAGCTTCAACCAAGCACGTCTTGCGCTTTCGATCCTGCGCCGATCAGAATTAATGATAAAGTGAACTTTGTCCAATTGCCCGTGTAGTTTGGCTGGAAGAAGAGGCTCCGGTGGTTGCCTCAGGAATCAACCGGGTGGGGTCCATCTCTCGCAACGACAGTCAAGTAAGGAGGTACTCACGTTACCCCTCCAGTCTGGAAGTCCAGTTGAACTCTTTTCCGTGCGCGTAATCCAATCAACCGGCACTTCCGTCACTCGAGACTCTCTACCAGCAGGGACAAATAGACGATAAAAACTTCGCCAGAGTGAAGTTCATCATGCGGAGCACTCTTTAAACGACAGTGAATCGAAACACTCCATGCCCGAAAAAGCAACTCTGGCTGCCGTCAGAGCCCTCAAATAGACAACATGACTCACTGCGAACACACCACATGCAATCAAAGTCTACACCGACCATAAAGGAATCATCAACACGACAATGAATATTGGTGAGGTACACGGGAAAGTGAGCCATTGAATTGGCACCATGGAGGAACATGGTGTTGAGTACATCCACCGGATGAACATCACCAAGGCCATGTAGGTAAAGATGGCATGTTATGGCTACCACGACAACTACAAAGCAACCCACCCGACATCTAATGACGCATGGTATATAAGGGAACGACCACGAAAGTGTCAGCCAACCCAACGCCGTTTTAGGGACCTTGTACATTAAGCCGGGTGAGCCTGATAGCTGAGTTTTAAAGAGTTTCCAACTTATCACTTTTTGATGGGATGTATCAGTGTTCTTGAGGCTTAGGTACTTTATTGATATGATTTGTGCAAGGTTTCCACTATTCAAATTTTCCAACATTAGGCCTTTTCGTGAATGCAGGAGCACGCACGCTTCTCGAATGCAAGCATCTTTCCTGCCCCGTTGGGATGTCTCTGCGTCTCACCGAGCAGTAGAGCCCAGTTCACCCCAGGACCTAGAGGCATTCCCAGTCAAAAAGTGGTTGTAATCTGAATTCTCATCGCCAATTAGATAGTTCTCTAGAAGGAGCATGGATCATTTTTAACATACCTCTCTTTCAAGTAGTCCATACCATCAGACCCCTGTTGGGTACTTCACTGCTCAAGCGGGTGCTAGTGCAAGTGTCGCCAGCCTCAAGGGTGATGCACGAGGCGCCATAGAGATTGAAAGAAGCCCACTTGCTGCCAGTGTTGGTCACAGTGATAGTGTTGTCATCGTCGTTCAGGACGGCCGTGCCCCAGTTTGGGGCCGTGGCAGTCCATTTGCTGCCGCTCTGGACAAAGGAGACACTGGAAACGACACCGCAGCCAGTACAGCCGCAGTTACGAGTGCACTCCGCGGCCATGGAGGCCGGAAGAAGGGCTAGGACGAGGGCGCTGATTCTCATATTGATCGTTATGTCTTCTCTTGGTAAGATTAGAGAGGATGATGTATGTCTGGCTAAGCAGGTATGTATCTCGAGGAGCCAGGCGTTTTATACTTAATAGCCCGTTTCTCTTTGCTGCCATTAGTATCATAGAGAGAAGGTGGTACTCCATTTCTTCTTATTAATAATGAATAATCAATCCGGAGGTCGCAATCCGGAACGCGATTTCAGGTCCAAGGTGACACTGTCGGTAGAACACCCGGAAAGGTCCATCGGGCTACGTACGCCAAGCCCTACAAACGGGTCGGAGCCGGACGATCCATCGGCTGTTGGACTCTGAAATGTCAAGAGATTTACACCCGCAAAGAGACAAGATTGACATTGGGTAAGGCTAATGGAGGTTGACAGGACGTCGTTCTTCAAGCCCTACTCCAAGTAATAAAGTAGGTCTCAACATTCGTATTGCTTCACTTATCCAATCAGACGCTTTGGTCGTTGTTTTCGGTAGTGATTTTACTGCAACCACAAAATCCTGCTGTGAGTTCCTACTATTGCCGACGATATGCTGAAGGGGCGGTGAAGCCAAACAGAAAAATCCCGGTAATGGAGTCGTGTACGCATGAAAGTTGCGCTATGGGCTTTGGGATCAGATAACGGCGCAATGTCACCATCCTGGCCACGACGTGGGGATGGGCTGATATTCAATGCTGCCAGCTGCCGAGAAACAGCGGACCCGTCGGTGGGTGGGATGTCAAAAACAGCCAGTAGGCCTTTCGTACGTTATTGCCAGTGCATATATGACATGGAACACAAAACCGTGGAGGCAACCAGAATCAGTCAATCGCGGGCCGGAGCTTCAGACTCCGGGCTGAACTCGTACAATGATCCCTGGCAGATTGCCGGAATTGAGCCTTTTTTACGCCCAATTGGAAATACCGGCGATGTCTTGAACAAGGGTTCCCCTACGTTTTGAAGTCGAGCTATTTACATTTCACTTGCCCACGACGCGCGGGGCTGGCATATTCGCCTGTGCCTACGATGGAGAAAATTCCAGTGCCGACTAGAGCCAGAGCGACTCACACGCCTTTGGGCTCAAAGGCCTTTGATTACCTCGGATTTTTATGGTCTGATATTTTTGTTCCCTCCTTCATCCGCTGTTGTGAAGTTTACGTCGGCAATCACACGAACTGGGCAAAATAAGTACCAAATAGAATATAGCACCGATACGCCTGGCGGATGAGATATAAGCAGGATATCCTAGACACCATCTCAATACCGCCATACACGCCAGAGTTTCGAGATCGTACCCCCCATCAATCCATCAGTATTGAAGAGATTGGATGCTCGCCCTGACATTCTTGGGACAATTGCGAGCTATTGTCATCTCAGATCATCCACTTACGTCTTCACATCAGCTAGCCCTCCCATTCCACGAGCTATGGATTGGTTTCCCCACTCACTGCAATTCTGACGATGGTTGATGTCCATGCTAGCTCGAGATAGGGTGGCTGCCGGTTGACACATGCTGCATGGAGGCGATCGAATATTTCCCAACTGGGTAATCAGATGTGACTAGCGCTTACATCCCGGTAGCGGATTAGAGCACGCTTACTCGTGAGCCTTTCAACTTGAGTACTGTTTTCGAGGCTGCTTGGACATATAAAGGTAAAAGCCTTTCTCGTTTCTTCTTTCAAATGGTCAATTGATTTTCTGATAAACTGGAAAGATTGCAAAACCCCTCGTTGCTCTCCCCGTTTTCTCAATTGACTATGGACGATAAGCCAGCTATTGTGCTCTTCAGTGGCGGCTGGCACACACCGGAGACGTACAGCAAACTGACGGAAGCACTGGCTGTCGCTGGCCTCGACGTACACTGTCCCAGATATCCTTCCACCCATCAAATACGTCCGCCAACGTCGAGCCTTGTCCAGGACTCGGAGAACATGCGCAGCTACGTATCCAGCCTAGTTGATGGAGGCCGTCGAGTTGTTGCCCTGGGCCATTCTTACGGCGGACAGGTCATGACGAACTCTCTTCACGGGTTGGGCGTCGATGCTCGGAAGGAGAAAGGTCTGGCGGGAGGGGTCACTGATTTGATATATCTTTGCGCATTCGCCTTGGAGGAGGGTGGTTCCAGTGCGTATATCCTTAATCGCTACTTCCGCTTCTCACATTAACCGTAACCTTTTCGGCAGTGTTCAGCAAGGTCAAGGAAATGGGGCACGAAGAATTGATGCCTCTCGCTTTTGATTTCGCCGACGACATGACCGTTCTTGCGCGCGATCCGAGAAACCAGCTGGTTGGTCAGCACTCTAACGATGCCGAGGTGGAAGAGTACCTAAAAAGCTTGGTGCTTTGGAACGGTCAGTGCATGTACGATAAAATCGAGCACTGCGCCTGGAGAGAGATCCCCGTCACGTACATTTACACGCTCCACGACATGACGACGCCCCTCGATTATCAGAAGTCGATGGTGGCCGTGATGGAAGCAGCAGGCTGTGTGGTGAAGACACATGAACTAGCCACGGGGCATTGCCCAAACCTTACGGCTACAAAGGATGTCGTCGATATCTGCGGCGAGGTCGTGAAGAGACGAAAATTGTAGGGAAAGTGTGGATACGTCATACGACTCCATGTTATCGATTTACCGATAAGTGGTTATCGCATTTAGATGAAGAACCTTCCCTCGGGTTGAACAGAAAGCTTTTCTTTCTCAGACATCATACAATTCATTGCGTTTCAATCGCTTGCTTCTATGTAAATAATTCTGCATTTCTGTCAACCTACAGAACGTTCTGAATTGATCGTGTTGATTTTTTCATTTAGGTGCCATGGGATCTTGTTGTCAATGAGTCCTTACATCTATGTTTAATATTCAATATCATGCGAGAGAGCCTTCCCAGTGCATTTGATGTGCAGGTAAAATCCCTAGAATTTCGGAAATTAAGGAAGATCATGACAAATCCAATTCTTAGCCCGAACTGAACAATCTGATCGGTCAAGGACCAGCAGCAGAGGAGCAGCTGATCCCTGTTTGCATAGGTACAGGGTAGGCTGGGACCCCAAAGAAAAAGCGACGTGCTAATTCGGATGCCTCCAGCTTGGCATTTCGATCTACCGGCTTGGCTACTTGGCACACATCATTAATGGGACTAATTGGCAACTCGGTGTCGAAGCGCTCTCCTTTCTCAGCATCTATTCGGCTTCTATTTATGTGGCAATTGAACATTGGCGCGGTTGATTGCTGTGAGAAGCTCGTATATAACCAGTTCGATCAGCCACGCTTCATGCCTTCGCCCCTGTGGCGTCATGGTTCTCAAACCTAACCCATTGGCTTCCCACTGGCCAGGCAAGCGCGGACTTAGTCCTAAAGCCTTCTTCAAACCGTTCTTTTAGCTTTAAAACACTACTAAGATAGGCCAGCAGCATTGCATGGTTCATGACGCACCTCACGTTCGCCGACCTACCAGGCGATGCACCAAATCTTTCTCAAAGTCTTCAACATGTTCCTAGGCATCAGCAGAAGCGTAGTATTAAGGGAGAAAAAAAGAACATTTTTAACCATCCCATCACTAATAGTAGTAACAATAATCCTAGGGTAAATCTCTACTCGTCCCGATCAACATCATCGTTGCTCCATTGATAAGAATGCTTGGTAGTATGAAGACAACTGGCAGGCTAAACAACATGAATGGTACATCAAATCCCCTGCCCTTCAAATCAAAATCGAACAGGCTCCGCTCTATTACTGAGACCCTACTCCCGCTTAAATTCCTTTACAACAAGAGCATGGCGCCGCCGAAGAGGGCGGCGACGAAGACGAGTGTGTCGGGCTTGAAGACGCCGTTAGCACCAGAGCTGTCGTTCTTGCTGGAGCTGCTGGAGGAGGAGCCCGAGTTGTTGGTGTTGGAGTTGGAGAGGGCGATCTGGGTGCAGTTGCCGCCGCTGGTGTCGGCGGTCTGGGTCTGGGCCTTGCCGCTGAAGTCGCAGGCGGTGGACGCCTTGCTCTGCTTGACGTAGTAGGCGTTGAGGACGTAGGCGAGCTTCTCCGAGTCGGAGCACATGCTGAAGGCGCCGTAGACGCCAGTGGTGGCGTTGCCGTTCACGCCGGCGCAGAGGGACGAGTCCTTGCCGCAGATGTAGTCGAACATGTCCGAGTAGTCGCTGGTGGAGGTGCTCGACTTGACGACGCAGGAGGCGGCCTTGACCATGCAGCTGCAGGCCGACGTGTTGGGGGTCGGGGGCAGGTTGGAGTTAGCCACCCAGTTGGAGCCGACGGTCGGGCAGCTCTGGGCCTTGTTGGTGTTGGTGTAGCTAGACTCGCTGACGCCGGTAGGCTCGGCGGCTCGGAGCTTGGTCTGGAGGGCCTTGTAGTTGGTCATTGTCTTGGTGTCGTCGCCGCTGACTTTGACCAGACCTAAGAGTTTGTTAGTGGTTGAAAGAACAGGGGGTCCGCAATGTTGATCTTACCGTAATCGTTTTCCTCCTCAAAGTATTGGTAGACGATACCACCGTTGACGACATCGCTCATGTTCTTGGTGTACAGCGCAGTGGTCTCGTCCCACTTTCGGCCCTCAGCTCCGCCCTGGGTGTTGCAACCATACTCGGCGAAGAACACAGGGACAGAGTAGTTCTGGAAGGCCTCGATGAAGCGGTTGTAGCCGGACTCCTGGAAAGTGCTGGTACCGCACCACGAGTAGATGTTGTAGCCAAAGAAGTCGATGGCGCTGGCAGAGTCACCACAGTTGAAGTAAGCAGAGAGCTCGTCACGGATTGCCTCGTCGTCATTGGCAGCGTAGCCGACGCCCATGGAGCGGTAGTTCTTGTTCTTGATGTAGAGCTTGGTGTCACGGACGGCAGCCTTGACGTAGGCCGAGGCGCCGGTGTTGTTGGCCTGGTTGCTGACCTCATTACCGGCGAAGAAACCGATGACGTTGGTGTAGTTGGCGAGGGAGTCCACGACAGCCTTGTAGCGATCGTAGAGGTCGTTGTTCCACAGAGGGTCGTTGCGGTTAATGGAGAGGGTAGGCTCACTCAGATCAGAGATGACGTAGATGCCAGCATCATTCAAGAGCTGCATGCAAGTGGTGTGGTCGGACTTGGGGTTGATGGCATAGGTTCGGATGGTGTTGATGCCAAGAGCCGCCATGAGAGGGACATCCTTCTTGCAACGGGCAGCGTCGGCGAGAGGGTCAGTGTAGTTGGAGCTGGTCGAGGATCCCGACGCAGCGGAGTCCTGCTGGTAGCCCACGCCCTTGATGAAGAACTGCGTTCCATTCTCGAAGAAGAACTTGGAGCCCTGGAGGAGGTGGAGGTGTCAGAGCGAGATGACGGAGGACTAGAACAGGAAGAGAATACAAGTGCCACGTACCTTGATTGAGATGGAAGGCAGGTTAGCAGCAAGAGCACTGCTGGACAGCGCAAGCGCGGAAAGGGCAAGCTTTAGGGTAGTCATTGTAACGAGAGAATTTCTATATCAAACGAGTGTACTGATTCAGGGCTGCATGCAGAGCAAAGAGAAAATGGCGCGATTGCCGTCTGGAAACGACAACGAGAAGCAGAGAGGGTCAACGAGTGTGGGTGGTGATAAACAGGAAGCAGAAATCAGGCCCGGGAAACAGCAGACTTGGGAAAAGGTCAGGACAGAGGCGCGGCAGTGGGAGGGGCCGGAAGGGGAGCAGTTTTAGCAGCGCGGCCACGCCAGCTTCACCAGATGCGGCCATTAAGGGGATGCGAATGCGTGGGCGTGAGCCACTGCGGTACGACGCTTGCGTGGTGCCATGGTGTCGCCCCTGGACGCTGGAAGGACATGACACACGGCAGATCGGCTCACCGGCATGAGGATGATGAAGCTACACGCAATCCAGCCAGGCCGGTCCACATTAATGCCCCCAGATCGAGGGTCCAACGGCGGGACAGTTAATGAATGGTCGGATACTCGGCGCAGCCATGCCCAGAAGGGACGCAGACTGCCGTGACACCGGGCCCTTTCGTGCAGGGACGCCCAGGATCAGGCGAGCCATTTCAATAGTTGGCTGGCGATGGCGGTTTGGAGGCCGCCCGGTCATTTGCTGCGCGCTTAGCTGATGATATATAGATGTTCTAGTCTGCCAGTAGTGCCTATACGCCCTACCCTGGGGCGGCCTCAATAGTCAGCATGTAGGTAAAAGCAGTCGTTCAATTCCAAGGTGCACCGACGCATCGCCAAGCATTTCGCTGGCTGCGTGCAGACTCTTGGCGATGAATCGCAGCAGAAAGGAAGATTTTCTCCAGATCGGGGCCTCGGTCTAGGCCGAATTGGGCCGTCCATCGCCCCACTTACGCGCACCACGAACAGGAACAAAAATGACCCGTTCTTCTGAAACATACGCCCACGCACTCGCCTGGCGTCGACGATCCAAGTACATACGCATCGCAGCAGATCGCGAAATGCAGCGAGGCAGTGCTGGGAGTTCTAGATCAAACAGTTTCCAATGACAGAGGACGTCGAGTTTGGTTCACGATACCCCTATCCATGTGAAGATCGTTCCTCTAGCTCGCTCCGAAAACAGCCATTGTCACCAAACTGGGCCTTTTCGACAATGTGGAATTAAGAGTTCTCCATCATCTCTTGAGGCAGTCCGGATCACCAATAAGACCAATTTACCGCTTCAGACTATCGAGCGGAGGCTCTGGTTCCCGCTGTACCAAGGCAAATAAACCCTTCTAGAAGACGCTCCGCTAGTTGATGATGCACACTGGCGCGGCCCTACGGAATCTTTGGTTCCCCATCTAACTATTCTTGTGTCGTTAGAAAACGATAAAGCAGTCGATTCGCTCAGCTCCCCGTTCTTTCCCAGCCGTTTCCAGTGCGCCGCAATCCTCTCCCCAGCAGCTCCAGCCGGTTATCTCCCCTCAACAAGACCAATGTATTCTTGATTCGTCTGGCCATGCTTGCTTCGGCCCGCCTCGGACGTGAAACTAGAAAAATTGTGACGGGGGCTTCTTTGATAGCATGAACTTCCAGCTTACCGAGAACCTGAGACTCTACTTCCACTCCTGGCGAGGAAGAAATCCAGGACTTGTCACTAGGAAGATGTTAGAATAGGTAGGACCGTGACAAGACTACGCGGCAACTGGAGTGTGCTGGAAGTTATTGAGGTAATGAACTAATCTCGACATGGCCTAGTACTGTAAATCAGAAGATGTATACGAGCTACCCCCTGCGTTCGTATTGCAACCCAAATATCCAACATGGACACGATCATCTTACTCTGCTGGATACTTCAATTCCGAGTGATCAGTCACCGCTTCATCCGTCAAAGTGTCATGCCGGACTCCGAAGACTGAGGAAAGAACCACGAGCTCTATCATTCTCCCCTTTTCGATGGTGGGCCATCCCGTATCAGGACTACACTTGCCAATGTCGAAGATCATGAACCACTCAATTTCCATGTTGAACACTAGCCGCTACATCGCAAACGCAATGCTACTGGATACGCAGGCCTAGACCAACCCAACCTCTCTAGCCTTGATCTGCAGAGCCAAGAGCGCTGAAAAGTATCGACAGAGCAACAGGTTGCCTCCCATGAACCAAAAGCCCGGGTGGCCGCTAGGACGCCACATCGTGCGGAACTCACCCTCATGATCGAGTCCCCAGACATCCTGCAGCCGATCTGCAACCTCGTCACCGAAAATCACACGCGACTGCGTCCTCATGTTCTGGTAGCCAGTCGCAAAGACCACCTCGTCGGCCGGCAGAACCGTCCCGTCCGTCAGCCTGAGGCCATCCTCTGTCACCTCATCGACCTCCTGACCGTGCTTGATCTTGATCTTCCCGTCAATAATCAACTGGCTGGCGCCCACATCAATATAATACCCTCCTCCACGCTGGTAATACTTCGCAATCAACCCGCCAAAGTCGGGTCCCTTGTCAACCTTGAACCCAGCCTTCTGCAGACTCTCGAGTAGTTCCTTGTCTTCCTTGTGCTGGGCTAGAGCCGTATCGATCTGCGCCCTCTTTGAAAGCGGCCCGGGGAGACTGAGGTTTAGCACATCCGCATCATCAACTGGCGGACTGCCCTCGCTGTATAGCTCCCCAAGGGCAATGGTAGCAGATGAGTAGGACGAAATGACACAGGTAGAGGAGCGTTGTAGCATGGTGACCTCGTAGCCGTTCTCGTAGTAGTCCTGCGCGATGTCGTGCCCCGAATTGCACGACCCAACAACGACCGCGCGCTTCCCCTTGGATTCAGGCTTAGCCCCAGGGAACTCGGCGCTGTGGCAGAGCAGACCCTTGAAGGTTTCCATCCCCTTGATTACGGGTATGTTCTTCTTCCCAGAGTGCCCCGTCGCCTGGATGACGTGTCGAGGGTGGAAGGTCCGTGTTTCCTTCTTGTCGCCCACCTGGCGCTCAACCGTTACGGTCCAGTGCCTCTTCTCCTCATCCCAGGACGAGGAGACGAGCTCCGTCTTTGTCCACACGTTGAGTTCCAGGAGGCTAGCGTAGGACTCGAAGAAGTCTCCGAGCTTGTCCTTGGGCGTGTACACAGGCCAGTGGTCGGGAAAGTGCAGATATGGAAGGTGGTCGGACCACACAGGGTCATGGAGGATGAGTCGTCGGTAGCGGTTCCTCCAGTTGTCACCAACGCGATCCTCCCTGTCGATGACGAGCGTCTCGACCTTGAGCATCTTGAGGCGGGCAGCGGCACACAGACCAGCCTGGCCGGCGCCTGCAGAATAGCATTAGCACTCATATCGATCCATCATCCCGTCGGTTATGGACGAGGGCAGTGAGAAAGCATACCGATGATTAGCACAGCGGGATCTTCCTTCTCGACGTTCTCCTCCCTTTGACGGTTCTCCTTCCACGTGGGATTCCCGCCCAGCCCGTCGTACTCCTTACCGTGGGGTCGTCGACTCCCACGGGGTTCCTCCAGACCCTTTAGCTCCTGCAGCACAGTGTACAAGGTGAGAATCTTCCACTGCCCGTCGACCCGCGTCAAGCGAAACACTCCCTGCCCCCTGCCGAGCTTGGTCGCGACGGTGACGAAGAAACGGACCACCTTGATGGTCTTGTCCACGTCCATGGTGGCCAGCTGGGGCGCGCGATGGGGCCGCGACCGATCGATCTCGACATGGCTGATGCGCCAGTCTGAGTCGGCGACGAAGCGGGAGATGTTGGCGCCGCCGTTGATGGTGCGGTAGTCCCACGAGAGGCAGAGGTGGTCTCGCCAGTAGGAGGAATCGAGGAATAAATCGGCGAGCGACTCGGCGTGCTTCTCGTTCACGGCGCGGTTGAGCTTGTCGACGATGGAGATGGCCGCTTCGTCGGGGTTCACGGAGGAGGTGTCGAAGATGGCGGGGAAGGACGCGGCGGCGATGTTGACGGACCCCGTTTCCACCCTGTTGTCCTCGGGGAAGTCTGGCCCGTACAGCGATGACATGATGGCTGTTTTCTACTGTCTATGTAAGGTAAGATCTATGAGGGAATCTGAAGACTATTTCAATTCAGACATGGTATTTGCTTAAATAGCACTCCGCACCAGAGAGTCTCGTGAACCCGACGCCGGACTTCAACTGCAAGGTGATGATCATGTGAGCTCCTCCGCTTCGGCTTGCCAATCTAGGATGCGGCATGCGGCTAGGTCTGTGGAAACAAAGTTAATCCTACATCCGCTCCCATTGGACGTATGGCGAGCGACGACGCGGGGGGGGGGTAAACTTGGGCTGTCCGGCGTGTTTCCTCACTGCGGTACCGAGCCAGAAGGGAACAGAAATGCATCAATTCCCCGCATATCGCATCTCGCTATACAGGGCCTTAACCTTGATGGGCGGCGGTCGGGGAGCGATCGGAGGGGAAGCTGCATTGACTCGGGTCAAGTCTTCCCGGAGCCCCCACGCTGGGCTTGGAGAAGGCGAATCAAGAGCGGGCTCGTTGGGCCTTGGCAGGTCGGAAGATTTCCTTTTGTGATTCTTCCTACGAAGCCAAAGGGCTTGCCTTTTGAGGCCAAGTGTTGTTCGCTCACGCCTTGGCTTTGTCCGGAAACGCTTGGCATTATTTTGAGCGAACAACGCCTCACAAAGAGATGCCCCGTTTCCTATTGCTTTTAATCCAATATTAATCCTAATTTAAATATAGAGCCTCATTTTGAAAATCGTCTAGTAACACAAGGGTGAAGAATCAGGCCCATTAATGTTGACCGGGCGCTTAGAATGACTTCAAGAATGAGAGTAGACAATAGAAGGCTGTTCGAATACTTGTTTTCATATGAACTTTCAGAGTTCTAAAACATTGAATCATGTTTAGCTCCACATGCTCTGTTCAGTTGTCTGCAAGGTTCAAGATTGTTGCTTCAAATATAAAAAGGCACTATTGCTCCCGAGGAACCAGACACTCTCCATGACCACTTTACCACCATCTCTCCACATCCAAATCTGCCTGGGATTTGTTCAGCTTCACTTTCAAATTAAGCATTAATCTATACGCGTGTCTCTCGCATCCCATGGCTCTATCTAAGTCTCCTTCCAGGCCAGCACTCGCCAAAACCTCATATCGGAAGGAGTTGGCAAGGCTGAAGCAATTCAAACCCTTTTGCAAGGCACTCGTTCATGAGTGTGTTAAGAGTCTATTGCCGCGAGAGGCGGTGTATCACGTGGCGGTACGGTATTGGTCTTCTCTCAATCAAAAAGACCTATCTTACCTCGCCAAGGCATTAGGGTACGTCTGTCAGTCGCAGGTTCAGTCTCGTTCATCCAGATCGATTTCTAGGCCAAGTTCCTCGCGTCATGAAGGAAGACATAGCTAACTTGAAAGTAGGCCCGATGAGGACTTCTCGTATATCAATGAACATCTCACTTTAGCCACGGAGCGAACAGAATCCGGCAGGATCGATTTCCATTTCGAGGAGTTGGTTGCTGCGGGCGTGCTTAAGCCTCTGAGTCCTTATACGAACTCGAATGACTCTGCGAGCTCGAACGACTCTGCGATTCCGAATGACTCTGCTTCTAGTGATGCGGTTGTTAAAGAAGCGCCTGGAGAAATCCACCCCATCCCCTATTTTCATTCATTTGCTCACTTCCCCCCCGAACCTTTTTATTTGCCCACTCATTTCCCCCCTCCTTCATCTATTTCTTGGGACGCTGCTTCTTCCCCTCCTCCAAGCCATCCGGACCTCCCTGAGGCAAAGTCGGACAAGGCGTCTGCTAGCGCAAATTTTTTTGGGCAAGAGAAGCAGGGGGTTGTTTGGACGCCAAAGTCTCGCATCAGTGCTGAAAGCTCCAGCAAGACAGAAACTGTCGTCCCTAGACGCAGTTCTTTTAGCACGGGGTTTCAGCCGTCGGGAACCAGTCCGGCAAACCAACCACCCTCCACGCCTTCGTCCGAAAAGCCTGCAAAGAGCTCAACGTTTGGTAATTCCTTCTACCTATGAGAACGGAGGCATAGTTATTGGGGCGAATGGCGACAAGTCCGTCATTATGGCAGGAAATCAATATCGGGGCACTTTGAGATATGGCTGGCACCGGGAAGTTTCGAGACTGAGCACAATCTGGCGGAAGCTTTGTACATTTTCTTTTTGATATGTGTATAAATTTCAGGGAAGATAAAGTGACACTCTTGCGCGCGGATAGCGCAGATTCAAGGAGATCCTAGGGAATAAAAACTATGGTTACCCCAAGTGAGCTTGAAATAGAGAAGATGCGCCGCAAACTGGTCTGATAATGATCAAATATTAGGCCACGAATCTTTACTTTTCGTGACATGTGATGAGAGTGAAGAGTTTGTCTATTTGGAGCTGATTTCCCCGGATATGGTGACTTTGGTGTCCCAAGATTCGTAGCCAAAACTTTGCACTGAACCAATCTTCATTCTGGCCATAGACAGTAATGTCATTTGTCGTTGATTTTGGGGTGGAATTAATATGACACAATATCTAGCTTGTAATGAACGCCCGTATCATATTTCAATGTAAACTTTGGCTGATTCTGGCAGTTTTCTGAAGTTCTCCCACAAGGTTACTTGAAACACTACAACTTGTTCAGTGATAGCAAAAGACCACGAATGCGTTTAAGAAAATTTTCCAAGTGCACTAAGTCCTTATTTCGATTATCCCAATATTCTAGGGAGTTGTAATCTCTCCCGTGGTGGGATCGATACACGAGTGGTGTTAGGTAGATGACCTGATCATTACTCACCAACACTCCCTTCAGCATCAAATTCCTGCCAAATTGATAAATACTTCCACGTACGCCAGCTAGAGGCAGTCCTATTGGCCCTATTTTTGCTTGTAGCATATATTACAACCAGAACTCCTTGAAATGCCACATAAATATCTTCAAGTCTGGCACATCGAGGATTGTAAGTTCACTCAAATATCTGCCACTCACAACGGGAGCTAAGAGAGCTTTGTTGATACTTCAGGTATCTAGGTCTCATACTAACGCAAGTAATAGGCAAGGGCGACTTGGATTCGAATAAGAGACAAGGTGAGCATTGATCAACTAAGCGGACAATCGAGACCCATCCATTCCCTATCATGGTCAAGCATTGTAATTTAGTGTTGTAAACGGCTGTTCTCTCAAATCCTATCAGATTTGTAATAACGTAAAAGGGAACCTTCATTCCAAATCCACACAGACCTTTGTTAAACCGCCCAATTAGCACTAGGAAGGCGATTGAGACGGATCAAATTTAGAATTCGACGTACGATGATGGCTAAACAAGGTGGATAACACGCGTGACCCTTGTTCTGGGTCCTCCGGCGAACGGGCTGGCGCACGGTATGGCCGAGGCCTCCTTGCCAAATGCAGATTCGCCCAATGCAGACATTCCCAAGTGCTGGACGGCTCGTCCTGTTAGTCTGCCGAATTCGAGTGTAAGGGAGACGCTGGTTTCAGCATAAGCAGCTAACATAAGCTCGCCGGCCGTCTAGCTTCTCCTTTATTTTATACAGAAAGGCTTAACGAAGCACAAGCTGTATGTCTCGTAGAATGCCGGTAAATGGCTGCCTAGCAGAGATTTCCCTGGTGTCTCAACCTCTCCCCGCACTCTATGTAATTTACGCTGAGACAGGGTCCTGGCAGCGACATCTTACTGCAGCACGCGACCAACTGCAGCACACATCGAGAGGCTCTCCAAGAAAGTTGGTCCATTTTTCAAGCACGCCACCGGGCCTATCGTCTTAGTCCGCGCCCGATGTTTATTCCTGGCTCAAGCCGGGGCCATTTGGCTTCGATATCGATGAATGCGTTCAGCTGGACGGGCAACGCGAAAATGTGTTGGCCCGTCTGTTTCCAAGCGTGGTTCAATGATGTGGATACATGCCGGATTTCTCTTTTGGTCCCCCAGAGCCAATAAGATCAGAGGGATATTTATATATGGTGTATTCGTAAGACGATCTGTGTAGATCTCACTCCCGGTCCTTGGGCGCTATTCCAAACCAGCGATCCTGCAGCCTGCCGTGAGCCGGAAATATGGCACGCACGGCAATCACGGCATCACGCAATTCATCCTCCAGATGAGTTCAACTTGAGAGTCAAAGCACAATGATAGCAGTGAAGGGAATGTGAAGAAAACCCTTATATACAGGTATGCGATCGGCACGATGAAGAAGGTTCAATTAAGCATTATTCTTACGAGTTACAGCCGTTTTCTTTTCCTTTTCCTTTTTCCAGGGAGATCAGCGCCTAAGATTAGTGTCTAATTTCTTTCAAACATCATCTTATACGGCCCATTCCTAGCACTGTCGGATATGGCAGAGAAGTCTGCAAGGCATTCGGTGAGTGACTCGGCCGAGGCCACTTATGAAACCGACGGAGCAAGACCGTCAGTAGAGGGAGCCAAGGATGATGCTGGAAACTTGACATTCGATCAATACACCGAGGGTGGTCTCGGTCGTCACCTTGGTATTTTCAGTACATCCTCTTTAATGTATGACTGCCACATAACCTAGGCTTTTAAGTAACGCAGCTAATCATGGATGGCCTACAGTATCGGACGTATCATTGGTACAGGTATCTTTTCGACACCTTCATCAATCGTACAGGGGGTTGGCAGCGTGGGAGCTGCGTTAATGTTATGGGTACTGGGTCTTTTACTGGCTATGGCAGGACTCTGCGTCTGGCTGGAGTTCGCCTGCATGATTCCTCGAAGTGGTGGTGAAAAGGTCTATCTTGAGGCTGCGTACAAGAAGCCGCACATGCTCATCACCACGGTATTTGCCGTCCAAGCTATTGCTCTTGGATTTACAGGTAGGCATACTCATGGCCTTTAATCCCTGTAAAAGGAAATACGATTATTGACTTGAACGATTGGTAGCCTCGGGATGTATTGTTTTCGCATCCAACGTCATCAATGCAGCCGGCCACACTGCAACTGAATGGCAACAGCGCGGTATTGCAATCGGGGTCATTACCTTCATCACAATTATCCACACTTTCTTCCCAAAGATCGGTGTTCATGGCATGAACTTCTTCACAGTGCTCAAGATCGCCCTGCTCTTGTTCATCGTCGTCACAGGATGGGTTGTGCTTGGTGGTGGTGTTGCGGCCGTTCCTGACCCTCATGCCAGCTTTCGCAACGCATTCGAGGGCTCAGCAACCTCTGGAAATCCGTATGCCACAGCACTGTTCAAGGTTTTGAACTCTTTTGCAGGGTAAGTGATTGTTGAATGGTTCATAAGATCAAGGTTGAGCCAATTGCTAATGTTGAATACCCTGGTAGATGGTCCAACGCCATGTACGTCCTCAACGAAGTCAAGAACCCAGTGCGGACCATCAAGATTGCCGGACCTGTCGGCCTCACAACCTGTGGCGTTTTATATCTCATGGCAAACGTCGCCTACTTTGCAGCAGCCACTCCCAGTGAAATTGCCCACAGCGGCACAACAGTTGCTGCATACTTTATGGACAAGGTCTTTGGGAAATCAGCCAAGACCGCAATGAGGTTCGTGGATCTTTGGCCATCTTGCCTTGGACGTAAAGAAGGAAGCTAACCTGAACAGCGTGCTCGTTGCACTTTCTGCCTTCGGAAATGTACTTACAGTCACGTTCTCCCAATCCCGAGTAAATGCGGAGTTGGCAAAGGAAGGAGTCATTCCATTTTCGAGGTTCTGGGCGTCGTCTTGGCCATTCGGCTCCCCTTCGTCCGGTCTTCTCCTCCATTACATCCCGTCGTTCATCGTTATCGTAGCCATTCCTTTTGGAAACGCGTACAACTTCATCCTCGACCTGGAGGGCTATCCAGGTGCAGTCATCAACTTCCTCGTTGTCCTGGGTCTCTTCTACTTGCGCTGGAAGGAACCGAACACGAACAGGCCTTTCAAGGTGTGGCTGCCGGTTGCCGCATTTTACATGGCAGGCCAGGCTTTCCAGCTCATCGCCCCTTTCCTGCGTCCACCCAACGGCGTGGGAGACACACCCCCACTTCCTTATTGGCTGTACTGTGTGGTTGGTATCGCTGTTCTTCTTGCCTCGGTGGTGTTCTGGTTTGTCTGGTGGGTGGCCGCACCCAAGATTGGGAAGTACACGATGGAGCCTCGAAACGAGCCACTGGCGGATGGTACAAACGTTGTCGTTTATCGCCGAGTTCCGAAGACTTTTAGGGACGAATAAGTGCGATTGAGCCGGTAGTATATATAGCTTGGTTAATTAATGACAAACCGCTGCAGTACAGTGATCTATTCTCACAGAATGATCAGGTGTCACTTCGCTTGTTTATCAAGGGATATTGCGAATTTCTGTTGCATGTGATACCTTGTTTTTGTCCCTAGCTCATTAATCGCTTCCTATGGCGCCATGGTCATGCCCCCTCTAGCAGATACGTATACTGAGTGTACTGTTACCGTAGGCTGATCGTATAAAGCCATTTTCAAAACTTCAGATATGGGTTAAGACTCATGCCAAGGAGGTAGTCGAAGCCGGTTTCCCAAACTACCAGCGGAACTGTCAAAGCAGCGACTGGAAATGTCAGGCCACTTCTCTCTTCATCAGGGTTATCGCCGCCTTGAGCGCTCTTAGTATCACTACACACTGAACTCAATGACAAAATCTCCATTGCCTGCATCTCTAGGGTAGGCTCGCCGTGTAGGGCAGAAGCCGATAATTACCTCGTCGCAGCTTCGCGATGCTAGAAATTTATGGTAGGATTTCATTAACATATCTTGTTAGAATAGCCTTAAGTGATAGGCCACAATTCTATTCTTGATTGATGTACATATGATTGATAACGGCAGAGAACGACTGGTCAGCTAGGAAAGTATTCACGAATGAACGATGATGAAGTGTTGTTGGTGTCGCTACCCACAGCCTCCAGGCCGCATGTGCGATAGAACGGCTGTCCCGTCAGCCCGATCCTCAAAGACGCCAGCTCAGCAAGTGGCGATATTGATTTACAGGCTTCTGGTCCACGCGCCATGTTTGGCCTGGACGCCGCTGGGATAAGAAACCTCACCCGGGAATGTATGAAGCAATATGGGTATCAGTTACAATGGAAAATTCGCCTTGGTCCTACACGTCCTTTCTCAGAATCCGAGGACCTCTGAGATACTCCCTATCTTCTCTCCTTCCCTTGAGGACCCACCGAAGACGAAGGGCGCGAGTAGATCCATGCCGGGATCCTGAGCGTCGAGGCGTGCACTCGCGCTGTCGGGTGATGGCGTTTCCAGGATGGGAGGCGAGGTATTAGGATCGCGTTGCGCCGGATTGCGCGCCAAATACGCCGACAGCAGGGCGCCATTTAGGTCGGGGACGCTGCCGTACGACGATAGCGTAGGCCGGCTGATTTTGCGGTAGTGTCGTCGAGCGTTTGGCGCTCCCGTCTTCACACGCGGGTTCGGTGCTGGGGCTGAAGATATTCTTTTGCTCGCTGATCTGAATAGCTTTGGGAGACCGAAGGCAGAGCGGCGGATTGACGTTTGCCGGGCGGGCGGCGGCGCTGGGGGGTTTATCGGCTTGTGCTTCGCATGCTCGAAGAGGTCGATGGCGTGGGAGACCGCGACGTTGCTTTCGACGGTGTTGTTCAGGTCCTGCAGCAGCTCGTAGACTTGATCGTCGTCGAGATCATCCACCAGCTCGAGGAGCTGGTCCTCGAAGGAGGTGGAATGGCGACGTGATAGGCGGTGACTCATGCTGACGGGCTGTTGCGCCAGACCAGCCAGCCATCCGCAAGATACAGGCGAGAGGCGTCAAGACGAAGAGAGCTTGGACGAGTCAAAACGCTCGCTAATGAAGTGGAAATCGATAGTGAAGGTGGTGGATCACCTGACTGTTGCCCCTTACCCCTGGCTAAGCCTTACTGGGGAGCTACCTAACCCAGGGGGGCGAGGGATCAGCAGCAGTTTGAGGTCGCAATTTAAGTAGGATCAGGAATAATTAAAGAAAGACCCCAATTTCCTGGCTGCTCGGTGCTGACTGTGTCTTCGGATGACGTCGGGTGGAAGATTGGGAGTGAAATATCCAACCGATATCACCTCTCACCCTCACTCTATCAAAACATCATGGCATTTGCTCTCATCCCACAATTCGCCAAGCATGGCTCCAGGGATGTATATTTCCCCAATAATCCTCCAATTTGCATTTGCACTGGCACGCCTGAGCACGACTGGTGTGCGTACCCCTTGGAGCAAGAATATCTTATCCTGAAGATGAATTGAGCCGGTGGAAAATCCCATGTATCCTTCTGAGGTAGATATTGCTCGATATCCGTAGACGTGAGTATGTCTTCTGATTATTTCCAAGCATTCCGTTTGACTGCTCCCAAACGCGGACCGTAGGGTGATTTCTAAAACCCGCGGCCAGACATAAAGGGCTGAAAGTCCTGACCAGAGCTCGGGCTTCTTGGCTAAGAAAGAAAATTTTCTCCGGAGGAGTTCATCCAGATCTTTGACCATTTTTAGGTTGTGGTTTAGGTCAGCCTCATCGTCCCCGTCGGTCTCCGGCATCAGCATAGACCAGTAGAAAGCTTCTGTAGTTGTCATACTGGTATTCATATATGGACGTTCAATATCAGCCCCAGTGATTGACCTTGAGTGGAAATAGGTCAGAACCGATCTGTATATGAAGCGGAGCATCTTGACTCCAAATGGATCATCCTCTGGTGGGATCGCAGGACCCGCTGTGGTAACGGTCCCAAACGAGTATCCTGCCAGCTGCAATACCCTATCATTCTCAAGAAACGCAATTTTGGACGATGAGGCCATCGTCGCTCGTAGGTCTTCCTTTTCCCGAAGCTCCCAGCCTACATAACGGTGATCGTCCTCGGAGTAAGGATGCCACGACCAGCTGGGGAGTTTTGTTGACAAATTCTTGCTGCCTAAGAGAATAATGTTTGCGTCCTCTGTGTTTTCTAGTGTGATCTTTGTCACTTTGTGAAATACTTCCAGGGGATTTACAGAATAGTCCGGCTCGATCTCCTTTGACAAAACAGAGTCTGGGTCTAAAAGTCCCAATATCCCATAAATGTAATCTCTCTCGTCCGTCGCCCGGGCACCCATGGCATCTGATACGAGACTGGCAAATGACTGGTAGTCAGCGTCTCGGAACGCCTGTGCATGGAAAATGATATTTGAGAAATTCTGATCCCAGCCCGCGTCTGAGACTGTATGGGCTCGGACGACTGTCTCCCAGTTGGTGGAGTATTTCCCACAGATGACAGTAATCTGCTCTGAGACTGCTGCTTCTTGTATGACCCAGACTCGATGCATCCAATCCATTTTCTGAAGATTGGCTATGTCTTTTTCGCCTTGGATATCGGTAACAAACCCGACAATGGGAACCAAGGGCCGAGCCCATCGCGGGATATCGAGGCGGTCGTGATTTATTCTTCTCCACTGATATGATGGCATTTGTGCCTCAGCATCCTCCATGTAGCGTCTTTCCAAGGTTTCAAACATCCGGAAAATCCGCGCTGTTCGTCGATCGTGTTCTCCCAGCCATACAAGCGTACGGCTCCCTTTCTGATAAATTTGACGCATCAATGGTATTTGCACGCTCTTCTCTGCAGTGTTGCTTTGATCAATGCAGAGCACGTCGCACCAAAGAACCCGAGCGGAGTCCGCATAGCGTAGTCGCTTCAACGCCGTATAGAGGTTACGCCCGATGGCAAATGTCAAACCATCGAGCAAAATGACTTGTTGGTCTTTCTGGGAGCCCCAACAGTACGAGATGGGTTCATACTGAGGATAAGCGGAGCCATCCAACCAGACTGCGAAGAGCTCACCGCTGAGTTTCCCGGTACCAGGATGCAGCTTGAGGAGCCGGATCTGGGACCGGGCGTCATCCAGCCGCTGGTGTTTGTAAGTCTGCATTCTTTGACACCTTGGAAAGCTGAATGGCGACGCGTGGATGGTGGAGGAAGAATCACCCATCAACGCCATTGGAGATTTTGAGGGGAAGAATTGAGGCACGACAGAGTCGCACGCAGCAAGAATAAGCAGCAAGTCGGGAACCCTGGCCAGCCTGCTCCTTATTCCCAGCCCACAAAACCCCATAATTTCTTCCATCAAAAGTACTTTGTATCTTACATTTACTGCTGATAATGATTCAGAGTGAATCGCTACAATTCGTTTACTATAAGCCTGACTCACCGCCTGGATGACTCTTTCTACATGATCATTCCATTTTTGGAGCAAGATGTGGAAGAGGAAGCCCGTATGTCGCCAGTTATATTCAAGTATTGAGTAGATAACTGGGGTTGTTACAATTATTTATCTGCGGTCATGTTGAAAGATGATATAGACCTATTTGCCTTTCCATGAAGCTTCCATGACCTCCCGCGTTGATGTGATGGGGATATCTGGAAACTTTTGGTTGAGTGTATCATCGCTAGGCACAAGGAAATGCCCTAGCCCGGCCTGGTAATGGAGCAGGGCGAAGAATGCCTCGTCGTTGGGAAAGCCAATTGGGGGGAATTTAGAAGCGAATGAGATCTTTCCGCCCTTGAGAGAGTCCAGATCATCATAGGCAACATCGAACTTGGAGCCTAGGTTTCCCAGTTAGACTTTGTATACAATCCTACTAGATTGTTGTAATATTACTCGAACAACATACCTCGAACTTCCTCTGCTAATTGGAGGAGATCCTTGAACGAGATTGTCTCGCCAAGGATCAACGTTACTTTTGTCCATTTGTCCAAATCCATCATGCGGGCGAGGAATTTGGCCATGTCCTGCGTGGTGATAAAACTAGCCTTGGCAGAGCCATCGCCAGGAATGACCGCCCACTTCTGCTCCATGTTCAATACATTGATCCATGGATGGAGCGTTGTTTTCCAATGTGGCATCCCGTAATAATCAAGAAACCAGCCGTTTGCAATCCGAGTATACTCGAGGCTAGTTTTCTCAAGCTCGTCGACAGCCTGGAATGTGTATTTCGCCAAAGGGTTGAGCTCAATATGCCTTCAATTTTTTGACTCCAGGTTAGTGTTTATTTTTAAGAGAATGGGGGAAGAGGATAGCCAGAGAATGAAGTTGCAACAGGACTTTCTTACTCTCTCTTGTGTAGCAGATCATAGCTGGCAATGATGAATCTCTTGGTGTGCTCTGCATTGGCAGCTGCCTGTATGAGCCTGAGTTGCGAAGCATTTGCTGCTTCGTTGACAACTCCAATGGCACAAACCAAGGTGCTGATCTGGGCCTCATCAAGCGCTTTTTGGACCGATGCGACGCTGGAGTAATCCACAGTCAAATACTTGACTCCTGCGCTAGGTTCGCGGCTCTATAGAATCAAAAGATTAATATCAGTGAAGACTCAAGTCACGAGTAGGAATGGAAATTGTCGTTGACATACACTTCGTGAGAGAACATAAACTTCATGCCCGCCATGAGCAACCAGACCCTCGACGATGGCTTTGCCCACCTGTCCAGCACCTCCAGCAACAGCAATGCGGACCATTTTGGATTTCAAACACTGGAATATTCTGGATTAATCGGCATAAAAATATGTTCAGCTGACATTCTCAACGTAGACAACGAGCTCGTTTAAGTATTCTTATAAGGTTACAAATCATGCCAGAGGGGTAAGGATCTGCACCCCGCACGCGGCGAGCCAAGAAAGGCATCTCCGGACTCCAGTTGCTGGACTGAGTATTTTATACTGCGGTACTGCCAAATCGAATTATACACTTAGATCAAGACTACAGTCTCTTGAAATTTATTATCTTGAATATCATTCTCCTACTCGAAATTCCGTGATGATCTATATATAGCATCATACCGGTTTAGATGTCAGGTGATTGCGTAAGATCAGGGGCAGGGCTCAAGGCTTAGCCTTGTGGCGTAGCTCGTAAAAGCCACGGATGCAACCTTCGAGCTTTAGATGACGATGCAGCCGTCCATCGAGCGACGTATGCAATTTGATATCTGGGTGAATATATAAAAGGGGTTCCAGGAGCGAATCTACGTCTGGGATTTCCTCAGTTGGTCTCAAACTCGGCATTACGCAGCCCATCATGGAGATGGAAAATGACGTGACGAGAAATTCTGCTCCCTTCGGGCCAGCTGAAATGGAGCAGGTGTCGAAGATTGCAGGCTTCCGGGTGGAAAGATCCAAAGCCTATGTATGGGCCTTGAGAGACTGCAAGTTTCTTGTCTACGACGATACGGACGAGACGCCCGATTTCAGCGGCAAAGGCAAGGAGAAGGCAATTGGCCATTCCCAACACCGTCACGAGGAGGACTCATCCGTGGGTAGGGGGGACATGTGCGAAATTTGCTCCTCCTGTCCAGAGTTTCCTCATGACAAGAAGGCGCGGAAATTCCGCCTTTACAAACCAAGAGAAGCCTTCCCCGACCTCGAATTCGGATTAAACGAAAACTGCCATCATTTTGTTGCGGTTTCCTACTGTTGGCCAGTTCCCGAAATCGACGATGAAGGCCAGATCATCCAAGAAGAGCGGCACTACCAAGTTCGCGACCTGGATGGGAATATTCGGGCAAATCGCGCCCTGGACGATGTCATTGACCGCGCTGTTGACGTAGCCAACAGTTTCGGCCTTCGGATGATATGGATTGACCAGGAATGCTTGCCGCAGCCCACCGAGGGCAGCTCTCAGCGAGACTGGGACGAGCAGCAGATCGGTGTCCAAGCAATGGACATTCTCTATAGCCGCGCCATGGTCACTGCAGCTTTTCACTCCTTGGAGCTGACGAGCCAAGCGCAAGTGGACGCCATCCGGTTTGCCATCGACCGCGATGAAGGACAGGGAGGCATGCATTCTTTCACTCATATCCTTGATTTCCTCGACGACGTCTCGCGCGATCGCTACTATGAACGTGCTTGGGTCGTCCAAGAGTCATTGAGTGCGGGTAACCGTCTGTTTCTTGTCTTCCGGCGGGCGCCTGGTATTAATTACCCATCCTCCTTCCGCGTTGGCCGTAGAGGTTTCCGCGCTCCTTATCACTCCCTAGATGAAGGAGTCCGCGAAATGCAATCTGAAGTTCTTTGCATGGGTGTCCAACAGTTCCGAAATATCGTGGAGGAGGCAAAAACAGTAGTCGAGCGCAATTCCTTCCAGGAATCGCAGACAGCCGTACGGTTCGGCGGCACGGTGTCCCCTGATGCCGCAATTGTCCAAAAGGTGCAGAATTTACACCCGGCAGTGATTCAGGGCAACAGTCTCCCGTCTCAGATCAGCTTATTCTACGACAGTGGCATGGCTAGGAGGGACAGAATCGATGCTGCCGGAGCACTTACACTGCTAAGAACGCGAGGGTGCCGAGACGTCAAGGACCGCATTGCCATCATGGCCAACATGTGCGGGTACGAGACTCGCCTGGATACAAACGCCGTGGAAGAGCATTGCAAGTCCCTCCGTATCGCTCTGCTCACCCTCTCAATTCTCAACGGAGATTTCTCCCTCTTGGTGCCTGAAGTCTACGCGCCCTGGGGAGACGTAACGTATGTCCCTCAAGTTGAAGAACCCCGAGAGAGCCCGAACTGGCTTACTCCATTTGACACGCGGACTTCTGAAGCAGACTACACGAAGATCCAACGGATTGTTGGAACACGGTTCAAACCGTACACGAAACCGTCCGCCGTCTTTGACTTCCCCGCCTACCTCTGGGTCGTGGAGGATTTGATTGACCTCACCCCAGTACAAGAACAGTGGGCAGAGGAGTGGGCAAGGCTCAAGTGTATATCTATGGTGTTCAATGGTCCAGCAAAGGGGGAATCAAGCGATTCTTATCTATCTCGCCGCCAGCAGATCACCGCCCACTTTTCCCATTCAAATATCATAGTCAGGGCAAACCTTGAGATAATGAAGACAGGCTACTTGTCCCCAGAATCAGATATTTGGAACGGCATGGATAGCTCGGGCGTTGAGGTCATCCCGAGTCTGCTCGCGGAGCGTGTGGAGAACGAACCACTGAAACAGCACTCCATCGGCAGAATCTTCTTCGGCATCTTGCGGTGTTTATTGGATCAAGCTGACTCTGATCCCAACGCCATCGGTGTCGCCAACAGTATATGGCAGTCGATGCGAGTAGATTCTCTTGATGGGGAGAACAAGCATCCAGATCTCCCGGATGAGGTTTCTGAAGCCCTGTTCAGTCACCCCGATGTTGTCGCACATCCTTTTGATACATTGCAGTTTGATCGCAGCCCTGATGGCCAATACCACCAGGTGTGGCTATTTGACCGTATCATGTCGCTGGGCTTTCTCTGGGTTGGCCGTTATCAGCGTAGCACCAACCCTAGCACCTTGACACTCGAACGACCCGACTCCGAGCCCGAAGATGACTCTGAAGCTGCCAATGCGGTTGAGGATCTCACATCTATTTCCGGTGAGATGTCCTCGCTTACGATTCGTGAAAAGCCAGCAACGGAACCGAAGCCAAAGAAGGAGAAGAAAGAAATGGACTCCTCCATCCAGGGTCGACAGCTCCGTCGGCAAATTCTGGCCATGATGCTCGAGAACAGCCTTCTGTCTCCCATCTTATCGGGCGAGGATAAAGAGGGCTATCCCGATATCAACATCAGTTCCTTTTCTAGTTTTGCCATCATTGCAGGCGAGCGAGTGTTTGAATTCGCAGAGGAGCAGAAGCGCGTCCAAACTCTCAGGTCCGTCTTTGACGTCGACGGGCCCTGTACGATAGCGACTCTGTACAATTCGGATTGGGAGGTGCTACCCCATAGAGACTTGAGGAGCATGACTGTATGCTGGGTTGTGGAAAAGGAAGGTGATGATGATGGCCTGCCGGAGTTGAAGGCAATTGAAGAGGAAGATATCGTTGAACCGATAGAGGATAATGAGCTGTTGGACCGTCTTAGGAAGCATTACGATGAAGAGGATCGTAGGTATAGGGTCACTACAAAGGTCAAAGGCATGTGGCAAATGATGGACTTCCCATCTCAGTCATATACATTTGGGTAGATCGATTCTTGATGAGCACCTCTACGCTTTGTAAGTGTAAGATCTACGAATAGCGCTCGCGATCCTCAGCGGTGGTATCAGAAGCGGTCGAAACAAGGCCAGCTATCTAAGAGGGTGATAGGATCTGGACGATATTAATAGTTTAATAAGAAATTATTTATTAATATTGATAATTTTATGGGCAACTACCTCATCGTTGAGAACACTTAGGCACCTTGGAGTGATCTTGGGTGTTGGCATACGCGGAGTATAAGGCAGTTTCAAAATCTGTTTTGAGGCTGGCCTTCACCGTACTTGTATCCTTCTTCTTTTCCTTCTTTAGTCTCGTATAAAGCATAGAACACGGGTCTTTGTAGTGCAATTAGAGATTCCGACTCTTTTCCCACTCCGCAGTGTCTCTACTTTCTTATACAAGAACAATAAAAGTATACATTACTCATCAGAGCTCTTCCAACGCACTGGATACAATTTCTCCTGACTTCGATAAAACTCATTTCCTTCATGGGGCTTAGAGGTGTGACGGCAGAGACTCGGCGCTTGTGAGTATGACTGAGGATGGATTTTCTGAGGCTGTGTTATTCCAGGATCCAGTGTCCACAAAATAAAACATGGTGCCCATCCCCTGCATCATCGGACACGCAAGGCGATGACGTCCGCTGTCGGTAGTCGGGCGCGATGAATGCCGTTGACTGACAGCTCACACTACATTTGGGTTCACGTCGTCGACCACTAGGTGACTACTCCGGTGCCAGAGGCCATCCTTTTAATAAAAAAGAATCAGTGTGATTATCCTGCTCATGTTACGGGGTATTGAACACAAGAGCGTGGAGAGTTGACGTATATATTGGTGGCGCACATTCAAAAAGTCTTTCTCTTACTTTGCTCACGATACACATGTACGTAACATCATACCATATATCCTCAGCCGTGGTCGATATAGAGTGTGATGCTTTCTCCTTGGCTGCCTCCAAGTCGAGTGAATCACTGGGCATACTCCAAACAAATTTCATCCTTACATCTACTGCATCTCCGTAGTCCCGCATAAAATGACGAAACCCCCTACTTGGAAATGAATTTCCTTGAATGTCGTGCGAGTCTCGTTGTCTTTGCGTGAATAAGAAGTCTCATAGTCCCTGACACGAGGCAAATGTTACGATATACCCTGACGTTTGTATTGCAGGTTTGAGGATCATTTCCAACGTAATTTTCCTATGAAGAACTCTTTGATTGAGTAAAGGTAGGCTGATGTGCTTTTTTGCCATCAACTTTTACCGCATCAGGATCAAAACTAGTATTCGGCCAAGAGATAAAGGAGATCCCCAGACCTTGTAGACACACCATCCCCATAAAAACAGAGTGAGACCCGCCCTTGCAGAAGGAGAACCTTGTTAGCCGTTCGGGACGCGTGGCTTTTATCAATCGGCAGTTTTCTATGTACCTGATAATGCCACAGACATCTCCTTTTTCTTGCTCGCACCTATAATGATACGGGATGTGTGGTTCCACCGTCGCTAAGCCATCTCATGACGACGACCTCTCCGACGCTATCATGACCCCCTCTACACCATACCGTAGTCAAGTGCGCGGCATTGCAGAAATGAGACGACTCACTAAGCTTTCTAGGTACTGTATTCCCTGTTACAATAGAAACGAACCCCGCCCCGATCTAACTTAAACCGGTGATTACAGGGAAAACTTGAATCGTCTGCCGTGGCTTGGCTCTTTCTGCACGTCCGAAGGGGATCTAGTCGACTGTTAAGGGGACCTTGTACACCGGAGTTTCTTCTACACGTAGGCCCGACTCCCGACCATGACATGCCTACTTTACAGATAGCACAAAGCCTTCATAAGCTACTATTCCCTCTACCACTCAGCTCAGCTACCGTTCCTCCTATTATGCCTTAGTTGCTCTGCCTGTGCGAACAATAGATATGAGGGGTCCATTATTTCTTGTGCTTGCTATCCAGGCTTTTCAGGGGCTAGGTCTAACCGCTGAACTTGACCTCCTGAGTTCGCAGCACCTCTATGATTGGGGTTTCTACGGCTTCTACCCTCAACAAACCTACAAGAGCTTCGACCTTACGGCGCCATTGTTCAACTTCCTCCAATGGGATGAGAAATGCAACGATGGCTTCTATATGATTACACCCAAAGGCCGTCTCGTCGACTCCCCTGGGCCCGTAATTTTCGACTACAAGGGAAACCTTGTCTGGACAACGGATGAATTTGGACAGGTTGCAGATCTCCAGGTTCAAACATACAAAAACACGCAGTACCTCACGTTTTGGAAGAGCATAGAAGGAATATATGCTGGTTTTGGGCGGGGAGAATATCTGATGCTAGACGAGAACTACCAAGTCTTTCGCACCTTCAGACCTATCGGAGACGATCTAATGGGAGATCTGCACGAGTTCAAGGTCACTGACGAAGGGACTGTGCTCATGACGGTGTATGCTCCTAGAAAGGCAGATCTCAGTCCTATCGGGGGACCAGAGGAGGGCTGGATAGTCGATAGCATGTTCCAGGAGGTTGATATCGAAACTGGGAAGCTGCTCTTCCACTGGCACGCCTCTGAACATGTCGATATAGATGAGACGATCCGATATTTTGCTGGCGCAGATGACGGAGAGAGCCCTCACTCTGGATTTGATTTCTTCCACATCAATAGTCTTGACAAAGATGAAAAAGGGAACTACCTCGTCTCGGGGCGCCACACGAAGACCATCCATTTGATTAGCCGCGAAGACGGCAAGATCATCTGGACTCTTGGCGGCAAGAAGAACATGTTCGAAGACTTATCAGAAGGTCTTGCCACCGACTTTCACTATCAACACCACATCAGAATGCATGAGAACAACACAATCTCTCTTTTTGACAATGCTAGAGCTGAAAGGCAAGGCCCCAAGAGTCCCCACGACTACAGCCGCGGTTTGGTAATCCAGCTCGATGACATCAAGCTCACTGCCACGCTTGTACAGCAGTTTTGGGACCCTCAGCATCCGAAACACCCCGACTCACAGGGATCGGCTCAGCTGATCGAGGAGACAGGTGGCATGCTTGTCGACTACGGCATGTATCCCGCCTTCACTGAGTTCGGTCCGGACGGCGAAGTTCTCTGCGACGTCCGCATAGCCCCCTGGGTCCTATACCGCGTCGGTGCTGTCGTCAGTTACCGTGGCTTCAAGGGTCATTGGGTCGGGAAGCCCACGAGTCACATCAACGTCTACCTCAAACCATCCGACGGCGTCTTGTACGTCAGTTGGATCGGGGACACGGAGGTCAGCCAATGGGTCTTGCAGGGCGCAGACTGGGAGGACGTATCACGGGAACGATGGATGAACTTGGTGGCCAGACCCAAGGACGGGTTTGAAACTGGCTTTGATATGGAAGAAGATATGCCCGAATATGTTCGTGTCGCTGGCGTGGCCAAGAACGGCAGGATTCTCAAATACTCCTCTGTGATCAAGAGGACGTATGGGAACGCCAGATCTCCAGATCAATTGCTGACGATCTTGAAGACGATCTTGACAGTTTCCAAATTAAGCATTTTTATATTTGTGGTCCTGATCCTATTACGGTATGCAGGACTTTTCCGAGCATTCAGGGCACGCTCGGTAAACAAGGCAATTGGGTTGTCTCGTCTTTGGGGCTTAATTTCAACGACGTTGTGGAAGAAAAGGGGTGTGATTCTTTCCCATTCGAGATGGAGAGGGTGGGCTTTTGGGAAGCCGGATGAATTACAACCGTTGCATCACGACAACAACAAAGTATCGGTAGTATAGTATAGAATTGTTATTTTGATTTTTGATTTCTTTGTACTTGAATGATGTTTGATCTCGGAAAATCGTGCCGGCCCTTGTCTACGAGTGCGGATGCCATATCGAAAACTTGATAGTCCTTAATCGTGAAAGAAACCCGCTACGTCAGTTGCTCAAGTGAGTCTCATCCATTGTGAAGGAAGTGGCAGAATGTTATGGATCCATATTCGATAGTTTTTGTTTTATAACAGGATCGCTAGCTTGACATCGCGCGCAGTAGAATTATGGCGCAAAGAGATATATATACAGCAAGGCCACCAGGTCTTGATACCGAAACCTGGCCTCCATTTTCATTTGCAGTTTCATCAAGGGGAGTGTCCTCTGCGACAGTGCCGTTTGCCGCCGTATCATTCGTGACAGTGCCGCTCGTAACAATCCCCTCCTCTAGTTTCCCACAGTCTTCCTGTTGCAAGGTGACGAGTCCGCAGACCAACCCATCAAGCGGTTGGCGATATCGCTCGAATAACAAGGGTTGGAGCGGCCCTTTCCTAGGTTTCCGGATTCAGGCATGACGCCAGAGTTGTAGAGGAGAGCACCCTTGTAGTACTTGCTGACATCCGTGGCCTTGCTGCGGGCGACAGTTTGCTTGAGACCATCGGAGGTGGTGAGACCGACACCATCAGTGATCATGCCTGTTTGGTTCAAATTAGACCATGCTCATGCGGGTGATCTTGCGCAATACTTACCCTTGATCTGATCGTCAGGGCATGGGGTTCGGAGGCTCACTCCAGCCTTGGGATCGTTGCAGGTGTGCTTGCCGTTGAAGCATTGGAGGAGACCTGGGTTGCGGTATCCCTCGTTGGTCGAGTAGCTTGTTTTGACACGCACACAACCAGAAGACTCCTGGAAGACGGCAGCGAGAATGAATCGTGCATCGAGACCAGAGTCGGTTCCGACTTGCTTGATAGCAGCCTTCATGGCATTGTTCTCAGCGGCGGAATTGGCACCAACTCCGAGATATTTGCAAGCACCGTTCGTGTAAGCGACGTGAGCGTTCCAGCTAGTGAAATCGTGTTAGCTTGATTTCGCTCCGAATGATCGCGACGGCTCACATGGTGTCAAAGCTCGCCCACTGGGAGGTTGATGGCCAGCCCTGGGCGGTAGTTCCATCACCCTTGTAGGTCTTGTAGGCAACGGCACGGGGAGCCAAAGGAGCGTCGACTGAGCTCTCAAGAGGAGCAGCCTGAACAAGGCTAAGGAGGCTGGCGGCAGCGAGAACAAATGAAGATGTAGCGACCATGATTGCGGTTGAAATGAGCGTGATTCAGTTGAGACAAAACCGGCAAAGAACGACCAAGCTAGCGAGCTAATGATGCGAGATCTTGAATGGGGGTCGTAGATCACTTGGACTTATATGTGTTCCTGTGTTTTCGATTCAGTAGCAAGGATCAATCGTCCATGGTCGGATCATAGGGGGTAAGGATCGACACCCTGCTAGCACGAAACAACGATGGAATGGCCGTAAACTCGGGAGGAGTTAGGCGAGGCTGCCCATCTGTGCTGATTGACTGGAAACCGAAATTATTTCTTGGTATTTCCTCCCGCCCCACAATCATGATACAAGCACGAGTGTAGGGCGAGCCATCGTCTGGTATGGCCTTTCATCTGCAGTCTAAAATTCAAGCTTATTCAACATGCCCAGGATAGCGCGTTGAATAAGCTTGTCCGCCAGATGCCGAGCTCTCCGCGCCTTTCCCCTTATTCAACATTATCCACCCTCTCCCGTGGTTGACGATCAAGTCTGTAGACTTGCCTCGCGCTTGGGGCGGCATTTAAAGCTCAGACTTGGCTCATGGACGCGCTGGACGAATTCTCAGTCGGTGGCGTTGGCCCCAAAGAATATTAACCCTTGCCCATCCGAGGCTGATGCTATTTGTGGGCTTGACCTTCCGAGAGCAACCCCTGTGAAACAGTAGCCTGGCTTACGGCCGATCGATCAGACACATTCGTACATAGTAAGCAGCTAATGCCAAGTTCGGACGAAAAGAACATTCTGACCATTTGCTGCTGCGATTCGCTGAACCCATCAACCTGAGGGTCCGGGCCCAGACCAGATCATGACCCATCGATGCGAGAAATTTCCCGCAGCTCGGCTTTGCAACCAATAGGCCCCCTTGTTTTGATACTCCCGTCGTAGTTCAGGAAGGTAAAGAGCTTTACCTCGCTCTGATTTTACTTCCAGTCATAATAGCGCCATTTTCTATTGTGGCATGTAAATTGCAGAAAAGGGGGACGGCTGTAACTGAAATGTGGCGAATTCAAGCTAGTGTCGGCCGATTCCTCTTCCTTCACAGGCCGAAGGCTGGTATATATACCACAGCATCTGCCAGATCTACTACCCTATGGTAATGTCAACAAATGAGTCAGATCTTGATATCTGCTCTTACTGTTTGAAGTTAAAAATTGGGCAATGTCTTGGGTTTATTTGCGAGAGATCTGGCGATCCTCTGATAAAAAAGGGGGTGCAAGCAAAAACAAAAACAAGGTGTGATGAATGGTTCTTTTACAGTTGCGACGAACTCAAAGACATTCCTGCGAAATCAAACCGCGCAATATGGGCAGATATCAATATAATCTGATTTCACGGGACTTCTCACGCGCCACAGACACCAAATGGTCGCCGGATAAACCCTCTCTGAACACTACCCTCCCACGTCACCCAAAACCATCTCGTGTAGTTAACGCACACAAAAGCTTATTGATCACATATTAATCTGCAGGTCATTTGAACCTACTTGGAAATGAAAATGATCCGGCCGCTTTGCTCTCGGCTCTCCTGCGCATCGTGCTCTCTAGCCGAACTCGAAGGATAATTTCGACAAGAATATCTAAGGAAGAGAAGTTAAAGAAAACTTCAATACATCCTAATTGTATCCCGGATCAGGCTTTAGCGTAGCGTCGAAATGCGGCATGAGAATTCCATTGCCGAACAAGCCTGGCTAATGAGTGTGAGCAAGATCCCTTTGGCAGAGAAATTCCAATAATTGCTGAAACTAAATCCGCGCAGATCAGTGAGAGCTGAATGATGTTTGGGGTATTCGGAACACGGTAGCGTGGAAGATAAGACATGGACTCTCTCGCTTCTGATTCCATCCTTTCTCGCCCTTTGAGCATGAGTCATTGTACATGCCTCTTAAATGGCGCAGGAGGAGGGTAGATTGGAGGCATGAAGATAACGTCTATCTACAAGAGCGTCCCAGTATGGTATATAGGGTATTTGTGATTAAGTAGTGATTCTAAGTCATTTAATCTCTTGTCATTGATGACAGAAACGCCTCAACGTCTCTTGCTTAGGAAACCGCTTCAGTAGCGTTAAACCATAGTCCAAGTATCAATTCTCAGACGAAACTCGCATGATGAAGGCCAAAGGGGTGTTATTTTCTTCACATAATGCTCTATTTTCCCTGTAGTGGTGATCCTGTTACAGCTATTGCGTGACTACCTGATATCGGGCGTCTGTGTCGTGTGAACGTAACATCTACTAGATCTTGTTTTTCTCATTTAACCCAAGGTAGTTGGGTTGGATTTCAACTTCTATAAGAGTGATTATCTAGCAGCCCATACGGGGCAGTACGTGTGAAACACCTTTTCGCCGCGGCCTCGTCCGAGTGGCACGTCTATATTAAGCGAGTGGTAGTATTTCCGACAATGGCAGGCCTGTAAAAAGCAGGTACAGACGGCGGACACGCCACAAGGCGCTAAGGGCCAAGCTTGATCCATACCTACGGAGGCAACCGAATCAACAGGGGTCGCTCTTCTGCCCCCAAAAGCCCTCAGCTTGCTTTGACAATAATGGATTGGGTTTGTTGGTTTCTCCGTGTGATGAGGATAATTTGCTGTCTTTATCAAAATTAGAAACATTTCTGTTGCAATCTGCATGTCAAGCTTGCTAATAGAAACTAAAGCCTTTCCAAACCAAATGGCATGTTCCGACTACCCCTGCATCACATCGTAGTGCTTCAGCATCCTATGGGGGTTACGCTACCCACCAGTCATCGGCGGATTCTGTAACGTTGCTACTTACGGAAGTCCTAATGCACTTCAGGTCATCTGTTCCTCCCACTTTCCTCTTTTTGAAGCTCAAGACCATCAAGTTCACCTGATAGTATTGATACAAGTACCCGTCACAAACGCCTGATGTGAGAATTTGTGCCCCCAGATGGCTGGAGATGGTGAAAATGTTGCGAATGAAGATTCAAAGACGGAGATCTATATTTAGATTCATAGTTTCCCAACGCTGTGGCTATATCATCTTGACACAGTTCGCCACGATTTGCCTGTGTTAGTGTCAGCAGCTTGCCGGGTCAGGGCCAAAGTACCGAAAAGCATTTATATAGGTGAGGAGAAGTGTTGAAACAATACCGGTTCCTAGATTGGATATCGCCGTAAACTTGGCATCTCCAAAACCGATCAATTTGGGAAGGTGTTCGCAACATCTAGACCCAAGGCGGGACGGCCAAGCCCGTCCGGACGCAAGTACCTTTCAAGTGAACATAACACACCATGAAGACAACGGGCTATTCTCCCTTTTGGCGAGATACTACCCACAAAATTGAGCCTAGTCACTTGATAGCCGGCTCTAGGAAGGTAGATATTGCTATGCACGCAATTTTCGTGGCGAACAATGCCAATGTCCTAATGTGAAAAGCGCCGAGTCTCTCACAGCATGATCTTTCTTTTTGTGCCTCATGGACTTGTTATAAAAGAACAGAGATCGCACGCCTTGAATCATGGCTGCAACCGACAAGCACTCGCTCACTCAACAGTCACTCCATCCACCACTCACTCTCTAAAGTGGAAATACCCAACTCTTCCTCTCATTAAGATATCCCAACTTACCTCATTCCACCACTAACAACAACACTCTTTCACAATGCTGTTCCAGTCTTTCATTACCACAGCCCTCTTTGCGGCCATATCTGCTGGGTTCCCCATTGAGACTCCTGAGGTTGAGATCGTCGAGAATGATGTGAACACGACCATCTCCGAGCTTGATGTCCGTGCCACCTTTCAGGACGTATACAAGATGTACACGGGAGACGGCAGCCATTTCAAGGCCGGCTGGCCCAACATGGACTTCTGGGGCACCTGGGACCAGATGTGGAACGCCAACGTGCCCCTCATGCGTAAGTCCTGCGGCTGGAACGGCTGGGGCAAGGACAACTCCGAGACGGAGATCGGCTACATCAAGAGCTCCCTCGTCACCGTCTCCGGCGAAGTCGGCATCGACAAGCGCTTCCTGCTCGCCATCGTGATGCAGGAGAGCAAGGGCTGCGTCCGCGTCCCCACCACGCCCTCCGGGAGCGGCCACAACAACCCGGGCCTCATGCAGTCCCATGCCGGACAGGGCACTTGCGCCGGTGTTGCCAACTGCTCCAAGGCACAGGTCCTTCTGATGATCCGGGACGGAAGCGCTGGCACTAGTGCCGGCGATGGTCTTAAGCAGACCTTCGCGAAGACCAAGGCCTATATTGGATCATCAGGGAGCCAGGCCCTCTATGCTGCTGCTCGCATGTATAACAGTGGATCGGTTGACTACAAGAACCTGAATAACGGCTTCATCTCTAACAAGTGCTACGTGGTTGACGTTGCCAACCGACTTACTGGATGGACGTCGGCCGCCTCAAAGTGCTCATAAACGCATTCTTTCACGATTTTCTTATGACTATTGTATATATCTCCTATGAATAACATGTATATATGACTCAATACATATCACGTTGAAAACATCTTTCTCATTCACCTTTGTGTCAGAAACTAGAAGCATGTGTAAAAAAAAGTATCCAAAAATTCAATTTCTTTCGCCTATGACTTTTTCAAATACCCCAAAAGAGTGTTTTTCTGTGTTTTCGTGTTCTTTGACTGTTGCGTGGCTGATCGTTCAGGCTTCTTCCCAACCTCCAGTATGTTCATCAGCTCTTCAAACTCTGCCTTTGGCACAATCCCACCGCTAGCTTCCTTGTGACCACGAGCAAACGACTCCCCTAACCTCTCGCGCAAGGTTGGATCTTCCGACCGTGAGGCCACATCACGCAGAATTTCAATGATATTTACAGGGGGTTCTCTAGACCTCGCGCATTGTGGGATTCGGCATGAGAAGTTGACCTTGTCGGGAATGTAACCCTCGTTTGCAACCAAGACAACTTCCAGGTTCTTGGAGGACAAGTGGCCTGCCCACCGTGTCGCGATGACTGGGTGGACTTGCGCCCCGGAGCTGATGCGAAACACGGCGACTCTGCCGTCTGCGGAAAATTTGGGGGCTGCATGAGTGCACCTCTCGACCTCTGCGTTGACCTCTGCCCTTGCTGCTAATAGATCTTTATTTGAGAGTAGATCCCTGGGTGACGTCGCAACACTCAGCGCCTTCCATGCTACTGGGACGTTGTAGGAACTCGTGCGCCGCGGCGCATTGATGAGTGAGACCGCGTCGTTGATGGCCTTCTTTGTGTGCTTCTTAAGCGTAGTAGACATATCTGGGAACGGCGGCTCCCATTTGAATGTGTTCCCCAAATCGCCGTGAGTCCCCATGGCACAGAGCCAGTCGCATTGCGCCTCGACATCGTCATGCAGGTCGCGACAAAGTAGGTACGTGAGCAGCGAGGTTGTTGCGACGGGGGGGTAATGACAGGCCGTCACGAGCAGAGAATTTTCGGGATGGTCGTCTTCCTCTGCGTGGTGATGGTCAATGATGATGCCGCGATGAGGCTGGTCGATAAGCGGAGGGGATCTGCGAGACCCTTGGTCCAGCACGAAGATAAATGCGGGCTCGAAGCTGGCCATTGCAGCGCGGGAGGTGTCGTCGTGAACAGAGCAACCCTTGTCGAGAACATGTACTGAGATGAATGATTCCTCGAGGCCGATTAGCTTCAGTGTCCGCTGCAGAATGGCCCCGGATGCAAGCCCATCAGCATCTTTATCGGGCACGATGAGGGTGGGCTTGGCGGCAAATGCACTGCAGGACGGTGGTTAGCCAGGCCGGTAGAACGAGGGGAAGGTCTTGATAGACGTGCCACTCGATGATGAATGATCTGGCCGCCTCCATCTTATCCTCCGGGGCCGGCCATATTATCTGACCCTTGTCATCACGACTTTGTTTAGTGAGATGGTAGTCGGGTACTTGTGAAGGAGCAGTGGTGCGAGGCTTCTTGGCGCCCTGTTTACTGGTTCTAAGGCCGGATGCTTGTATAGATCGTTTCATCATTCGCGAGAAATGTCGTTGGAGGCAGCAGCGCTGAAGGAGAACCATGGTAGATTGTTGTAAGAGAGAAAGGTGGGCGATGTTTTGGCGTGAACCGTCTCAATCAGTGTCGTCATTGACATAATGGTGTCTAGCTCTGTGCTTAACACATCTTCCCAACACTTGACCAGTCTATGGGCACACCAGCTCGACGAGTAAAATGAAATGTTTTCACTTGTCTAAATTTATTGTAGGTATTAGTATTAATTCTCTCCTCTACAAATTCATTTGTGGCAGTGTGGTTGGTCCCAGGGCATTAAGATGTAAGAGAAGTTTAGGGTAGGCTATATTTGTTGGTCCAGCATGGAGAATAGATAATGCGCCTGGCATAAGGCATAACAGAAATCGCAAACACCAAATTGCATAAACTGCCTGCACTCAGGCTCCTAAAAATGGCTGCACAGAGTCGCTCATCCCTGCTGGATTCCCAATAGGGAAAGCTAGCCGACAAATGGCAGCATCTATGCATGAACATCCACTCAATGCGTCGACATAAAGGGCCATTTTATTTATTCTCGCACCATATTATAAGCATGCCTGTCCCGATATGACGCAACATTGGGCTGTGCGTTGTTGTGCATCTGGGGCTGACCCAAGTGGTCTCACATCTATGGATCGCTTCATGAGACCACCACCACCCGTGCTGCTTCGAGCTCCCCCTCCCACCGCCTGTTGGCGCGCCCTCTGAACCCTTACATCCTGTCGAAGATTGGTTTTTGCCAGAAGATCGTCGGACCCTGGCACCAGGCGAGCCGCCCTCCAATAAGACACGACGAATCGAGACCATGGCGACCGCGATCACGGCCCCCTTAAGCGGGCTGCAATCGCTCCTCCTGAACCCCCTCCTCACAGGCTCGTGCCTCGGGTTCATCAAGTACGGCCAGCGCGAGCACGTCGAGCGGATCTTCGAATTGATAACCAGATATGGCGGTGTCACGCGACGCAGCACCGTCAAGTCCGCGATCGGCATCCTCTTCCTCGTCGGCCTCGCCAGATCGTTCCACAACACCCTCAGCCGCGCCGCCTATAACAATTGGTCGCTGCTACCGACGATGAAGAATAAGTGGGGGGACTGGAGCAAGGAGATCGCCGTCGTCACGGGCGGGTGCGGCGGCATTGGGCGGGAGATCGTCCTTGGTCTGGTCGCCAGGGGCGTCACGGTGGTCATCCTCGACGAGCAGGATCTGCCCCGGGACCTGGCCGAGAACAGAAAGATCAAGTGGTGGAGGTGTGATGTGCGCAACCCCGAGGCCGTCAAGGGCGCGGCAGACGAGATCAGGCTGTCGCTCGGCCACCCGTCGATCCTCATCCAGAACGCCGGTGTGGCGGGTTACTGCAGTCTCCTGGACACACGTCCCGAGTTTGTGCGGCACGTCTACGAGATCAATGTGCTGTCGCTATGGAATACGACCAAGGAGTTCCTCCCCGCTATGTTGAGGAATAACAAGGGGCATATTGTCACGCGTTCGAGCGGCGCTTCTTACGTGGCGCTGCCGAATCTCATCCCTTATGCATCTTCCGAAGCCGCAACGACGGCGTTCATCGAGGGTTTGCGGCAGGAGATTAAGCACATATACAAGTCCCCGGGGGTTCTTGTAACAGAAGTGACGCCTGATTGGACAAAGAGCAGTACATCCCATCATTACTCTCATCTGATCGCACCCACGGTGGAGTCAACGGATGTGTCGAAAGCTATTCTATCGCAGATATTTAGTGGAAGAGCAGGACATGTTACTTGTCCATCTTGGTTTGGATCGTTATCGATCATTCGAGTGCTTCCTATTTGGCTACAGGAGCTTGTGAGAGATGTGATGGGCAGGTCGGTTCCGTTGACAGCAAAACGGATAGAGAAGCCTAGATAGAGAAATAAGCTTCTTAAACCGGCAATGGTAGAAGTGTTATAAGCAAATTTGTATAACTAGATATTTATGCCTAATTTAATTGACAACTCCGAATCCTCATTACTCATGTATTCGTAAGGATAGAAATGCTTGAATTACCCGACCATAGTGAGGATACGGTTCGCTTTGCCGACGAATTGAAGCATGTCTCCACTCCCATCGTCAACTCATTGATCGTTACCTCAATTCATAAATATCCACGCGTGTCTGGAAAGCCAGAGCCAAAGCATAGGCGCCTTCCTTGGCACCAGGTCCAAAGCCGCAGGCAACCACGGGCTCGTCTTTATCACCCACAACTGCGGCCAGCTTCCTCGTCTCCAGATCAAGTATATGGACTAACTTTTCATTTTCCTTGCTCACAAGCGAGGGAGTGATGTTTCGTATCACGGCATATCGACAATCCCGCGAGATAAACACATTTGCCGGGTCAGTCAACCCGGGCACGGCGATATGGTCCGCTCGTCCCGACTCAACGTCTACTACCCATATCTGCACCGTGGCATGGTGGTAGCGCAGGTCGGCTTTGGGAACCGACCAGACGAGTACCGCGTAGTTGCTGTCGAGGCTCAGAGCCATACTGGCAAGCGTATATCCTTCATAGTCGCTTGCCGCGTAAAGCTTGCTGTACTTGTACGAGGGGTCCCTGAGAAGCTCGGATCCGATAATGACGCGTTTCTTCTCCGACGGAGGATCCTCGCTGTCTTTGCTCGCCAGCAAGGCGCCGGAGTCGAAGATGATGAGATGGAAAAACCCGTTGTGCTCTTCAACTACGGCGATGTCCTGTCCATTGGTTGCCAGTTTTGCATACCATGTGCCGTGCAGCGGCTTCAGCATCTGAGATTCGTTCTCGCTGAGTATATTAGCGGAGAGTTCAGCCATTTCGGGATGTCCCTTGTGCGGCTCCCTAATCATGTTGGATTGCTCCTCTATGCCGCCCTTGCCGCTCACGAGCTGGTACATGACGGCCACGCCGCCCTCGCTCGTTTTTACGCAAGCGGTGGAGATGGCGCGGCGGACCGACAGGCGTCTGTTATTCTCCAGGTTGTACGTCACCATCTCGTTGGGTTTGCCCTTCCACCAGCCTGTGATGAACACGTAGCTAGAGTTCCAGGGGCACAGTTCTACCCTCCACGGGGTAAATTTGGCAAAGGGAGATCCGACCTTGTACTCTTGTTGTTTCTCTGTCTTTAAGTTATAGCTGATTAATGTTCTGTTATGTATATTGGCCATTATGACCAGTCCATCAGCCACGTCTAGACTTTGGATATGGCCAGAGTTACTATCGTCAAAGGATATTTGGTGCTTTAGTGTGGCAGTGAGAGCTCTACTAGGGTCATTGGCCAGCTGAGAAGGCAGCGGCACCTCGGGGAATAATAGATTGGCGTAGAATGGTTCCCTGATGCTGATTGGTGGCATGTCGACAACCAGCGCCTTGTCAATGAGCATGAAGATCTGCGGTGAGCGGAGCTTCTGAGGGACAACTATCATGTCATTCTGCAATAGTTGTTAGTTCATGATTATAAGACAGGGGCTGGGGAGTAAAGCCTACCTTCTTCTCGTATACTATATCAAGAACATCCAGGGCAAACTTTCGGACCAGGTGGAAAGGAATAGTAGTCGTGCTATCAGCAAGACTGAAATTCTTTGAGAACGTCACAGAATTCGCTATAGAATCCGGTAGCCACAATGCAAGATCCTGCCTGATCAGGTCGCACTGTACGTTGGCACGAGAAATGAATTTCCCAAGGAGCGGCTCGAGATCCTTTCTTCCACGACCCCGTAGCCGGGTTCGAAGGGCATACACCTGAGCCATGATCGGGGCTTTGTCGGCTTGGTCCTTTATTCTGCTGGCCGTTAGCGAAAACCGACGAGGGAGATACCAGGATCAAATGAAAAACCTACATTGTGACCAGGAGTAGAAATAAGCTCAGCACATCGGTCGCATCCTCCAGCTTCCTCCTCTGCAACCGGATCCCCGCAATCTCATCGTAGCCGCACTCCTCCTCCTCGCTGAACTCGTTCCTCAAGGTCTTGATGTAGTCCTCAATCAGCACGAAGCACTCCTGGTGCTCCCACATGAAGGCGTAGCAGTCCTCGAGTAGCTCGCCCGACAGCACCTTGCGCAGGTAGATGGACTTCTCCGACGAGAACATGCCCGCGACGCGCAGGAACTGCAGCATGTCATTCTGGAGGTGGTCCAGGTCGTGCCTCAGCAGCGGGTGGCGGGCCGCCAGCGCCCTGGCCTGTCGCTCGATGTCCCAGGCGGCCACCTCGATACCGTCCCTCGTCCAGAAGGCCTGCATCGCTCAATGGGATGGGGGAGAGATGATGGCGACGGGCACGAGGGCGCTGTCTGCGAAGAAACCCCGTGCTGGAATGGAACGTCTCTCTCGCCCTCGCCTCGTGTGTGTGGGGGGCTGCTATACCGCTCGTATTTTTTTCGCATGACGTTTTTTTTTGGGCGGCTTTGGAGCCGCAAGTTAATACGAAGTGTGAGAAAAGTTGGGCCCACTCTGCTTGTTCTTGCATTCCGGACAAATAATCCGTTGGCAATGGAGTGAGTTGGGAGGGGACGAACCACAACAAAGAATGCAATCGTTTCAAAGTCAACTAAGAGAGAACAGCCCTCTCAAAGGCCCTCACGAAGTATCACTCAAAATGACTGGCTGGAGGAGTCACGATCAACCTGGAATCCGGATGATGGATCGCCAAGCCCGAAACTTCCCCTCACAAGCCTTTCCATTCTGGGCGTAGCTTCGATAAGAGCTTATTGAACGAACACGAACAGCATCGCTGAAGAAAGCTGGGCACCTGACCACTTTCAAACAACCGTATCCTCTCTCATGGTAGCAGAGCAAAGGTAGCATGTCCTCTTATCTGTTACCATATCTATATTGGAGAGATACTAGCTCTTATCCCATTCGGCTGCTCCTCCTGCGTGATCGTTCCAGTCCCTTGTCCGAGCGTGGGCCAAGGATTGAAACTGAACGAAATAGAACAGTTGAATATGTATATCATTTGGCCGCCTCCATTTTTCAATAGATTTATTTTAAAATCTACTTGATACACCTTTCTTTTTAAATAAATTTGAATTCGAATACTGAAGTTCCTAACAATATGATTTTGCCCACACCACCTAGAGTCATAATACGGCCCAACAGATATAATCAAACTACCTCAACTTCTTTGGTCTCAAATTGCTCAAAGTAACTCATTCCTACGCCATCTCCCGCCACTGACGCCCAGACGCCCACTCGGATAAATCTCCCAGGTTCTTGAGCCGGATGCAAGAGAAGGCCGTACACGTTCCTGCCCTCCGAGATTCGATAATCTTTTGTAAAGTCACGAGCAGATTGAGTAGGTAGCGTCCCACCCTCACCGTCTTTTTCTTCTGTGTCGCTGTGCTGAAGTCCTTCCGAGCTGGCAACTACACATGCGAGTGTCAGTCATCTCCTAAGCTAGTAGAGCATTCGCCACCTTCGTTTCTTTTCTAAAAGGGTTGAGGCTGAGAACGTTTTGTTACTACTGACCTGATGAATCATCGTTTGAACTCTCGTCTTCGGATGGTAAATCTTCACGATATCGAACGCGGTTCCACTGTTTAATCATGGTTTCCCAGGAATAAGTCCCTTCAGAGCTCATGAGCATCAACATCAACAGTTTGTTTCTAGAAACCACCTTTTCTTTTGGTACACAATCAATGTGGCAGTAAGCGATGATGCGGCCTTGATCTTGAATGTGCCATAGCTTCGGGTGCAACCGGTGACAGTCAAGAGGGACAATGTCAGCGGGTACATTTGCGACACGTCCCCGTATTCGCATCACTGCACCTTGGATCTCTCCAAAGATATTTTCTCCCTTTGGAGTGATTCGTGTCTCGGCAATGCAGGCTTCCGCTGATAGCAGATCCCTGAGGAATCCCGGTCGTGAAAATCTCAACCCGAACTCAACTCCTACCCCAAGTGGCCTGAATGAGCTCCACGACGGCGCGATATATGGGTTCGGGGAGCATAATTTATCGACGAGCTCGTTTAGAGATGTATGATCAGCGGTATTTGGGCGGCAATAGGGAAACCACATCAATGCGTACGGCAGGTCTCTCTCCCACAAGCCAGCGAGATATCGGTCGCCCACTCTGTTCGACACATATTTGGCCATCCCGGCCAACCCCGGTAGTGTGTCTCTAACATTGGTATACTTTCGTCGTCCGTAATTGTTCCGTATCAAGTCCCATTGCTCAAGGCGCACTATATAGTGATCTGATTTAGAGTCAAGTTCATAGTCTTTCCGGTAGTTTGGTGGGCAGTATCCAGTCTCAGAGACGGAGAAATGGTCGCATTCAAAGTGTATCATCGATTCTCCAAAGTACAACTTTCTTGTAGACATTAGGGATTCTTGGAGGGTCCATCCTCTGCTATTCCATCGCGAATGGTGCACATCCAGTGCCAGCCAGCCAACCAACCCCCAGTCGAGGGAGTAACCTGACGTGACCAGGCTGTACTGACCAGCAATCTCGGGGTTTATCTGAGAGGAGAACGGGATCGGGATATGTCGTCGGTCTCTTGTCAAAAAGGTCTCAGATCCAGAGTTTGAACTCAAAGCGCAAATTGTGACTAGAGCGTGGCTATAAACAAGAGCCATGGATTCACTCTCACTCTCCCAATCAGAGAGGTCGCCCTGTATAATGCACAGAGAATCAACCCAGAGATAATGAATCGACAGCTCTCTACAGACCTTGACTGCATCTCGGAGAACAGTGTGCATCGAGTTTTCATCAATGCCGGCTGTCCTTGCCCCCAGGCTGTCGGATGTGGTGCATAATTGATTCTCCCCGTCGCTTGGCGAGCCCCAGCAGTAGCTCAAAGCAGCGTATTTTGGGCGAATTTCAGCTATATGTTGGCGGTTTATCAGTCGTATACTGCTTGAATTTAGGTCTGGCCCGAGATATAGAAGGCGAGTTGGAAGAAAACCAGTTGTTTCGAGGTGAGAGCACTCTGACGTGCATTTGTTGATGGTTTCCTTCATGAACTGAATATTGTCTTCGCAAAGTACATCTGATTTCCGAAGTCGAGGAATCTGTAGCCAGGAGGCAACAGACGCTATGAATAAAAGTAAGCTTAATGCTCGGCAAGATCGTGTTCAACCAAAAGTTGTCAACGGCTTACTGTCATCTGTCTCAAGGGCGAATATAATGCAACCAGGTAAGGGGGTGGAAGCAGGCAGGACAGACGGGATATCGGGACGCCCCTTTAACTCTGCCACCAAAGCTCCAAGTCCAATTTTTGAATGCCACTTGTCCCCCCAAGCGTACGCAAGTCGTATTTCCAAGGAACCATCATAGTTAAACCCTGCCCGGATGATTTCATGGCGTAGGAGTGAACAAAAGCCACAGCCCAGATTTGCGCTCTCACTCAACAATGGTAGCTCTGGTAATGTATCAATAACGTGGTAGTCAAGCAGCACCTTGTGATACTCCTCAAGCGGCAGGCTCAAGGTTGGGGACTCCACATCTTGCTTCACAACTTCCTTTACAACATGAGGCTCCAGCAGCTTGTCGTTAAATTGGATGATGAAGCACTTGTCGCATAATTTCGCCGTCATCTTTCTGTCAACGAATTTCTACTGCGAGTGCGCGATTTAGTTGTGTGTTGTTTCGTAGAGCCAGCGTCTCACGTTTGCCTCTTAAGGCGTCCAGGTCTGCTGCTTACATGCACGTACTCCACGTGACTGCCCACATCCCATCAACGAATGGGTACCCTTAAGCCAAGTATGATACTGGGGGTGTTTCTGTGGTGCACACTCGTCGTTGTCATCTTCAACAAGAAGGATCTGTATAGCAGACTACCTAAGATCTATAGACAAGTATCACAGACCTACCGAGCTAATGTAAGCGAACGGAAACCTGGCTAAGCTTTAACCATTGTTCTTCCAGATTCCTTTTTGAAATAACTGATGAGAAATAGTTTGCTAGGAACTCTTGTTCCTCGACTGCCTGTTACATCTTCATGGTAAGAGGCGATTCTACACGTCCGAGTAATGAATGCTGCCATGCTACAGTCAACGCCATGTCATGCTGTGTTGTGGTGGAACAGGTGGGTTCATTGCCCCGCTTGGAACCTTTCAGCCTGGCTCATATGATCACTGGGGCTGATGTTAAGACTAGGAACAAATATCTAGGCTTTCCCAGGATAACGGTTTTGAAGAGGGCTTTATAATAGGCCGTAATTTATCAAAGGAGCAGCTTGGTTACAAGTTTTCCTTGATTTTTGCCTTCAAAAAGGCGCACCCAAACTTCCGGGATCTCTTCAAACTTGGCCGGAACCAAGGTTTGGCTGTCGTCGTCTACTCTTAGCCTGCCCTCCTTTGCCGCCTCTTGGAAGATTTTGATAACAGTTGGGAGCTTTTTGAGATAATCCAACACCACGAACCCGTTGATCTTCAATCGCTGGGTGATGACATTCTGTGAGAAGGTTAATAACTGACCTTTCAAATTCAGGATTGGGCAACACACGTCAAAATGAGCGAATGACGCTTTTTCTGACAAGTTATTATATCTCGATACGGAACCGCTGATGATATTTAGTACGCAGGCATTGGAAGGATCGTTGGGCATCTCACCATAATGCAACTCGGCCTCCTTGACGGAGGCGGGTGAACATGAAATCTAAGATGTCGCCTCCTACATTGTCTTTGGTTACGATTGTTAGTGAACTTCCTTGGTAATATAGCAGTGAGTTGGTTCTGTATACCGAAGAATACATCTGCAAGTTCCTCCGTTGCCTTTGAAAGGTCTTCGTAAAATGTCGGAGATTTGTAGTTCAAACAAACATCAGCCCCTAGAGTCTCGACGAAACGGCACTTCTCATCTGTGCCGGCAATGCCAATAACCTAAATGATGGTTTAATGGGGGATCATTTGACGAGAGCATCAGCTTCGCTCCTTACCTTGTTGCACCCAATGATTTTCTTTGCAACTTGAACTGCTGTGCTACCAGTTGCGCCCGCGGCGCCGCTAATGACGACGACATCATCGCGGGTCGTTGCAGCAATTTCGACAAGACCATAGTACGCAGTCAAGCCAGTGACTCCCAGTATTCCAAGGTAGTGGGGCAGGTCGTAATCAGAATCTTGGGGTATTACGATGCACTGATCTTCATGAGCGGTAAAGTACTCTGCCCAGCCGCCCGCAGCCAACACCACGGTGCCGACCGGGAGCTTCTGTGCCTTGGAGTCTATCACCCGCGAGAGGGATCTCGCACGCATCTTGTCGCCGATCTTGACGGGTGGCACATACTCTCGGGGCTTTGCCTCTCCACCTGTGATCCAGACGCGTGCTGCGGGGTCGTTTGAGATGAAGATCGTTTGAAGAAGTGCTTCACCGTCGTTGAGGGCTGGAAGCGGCACCTTGGCGATCTCAAATGTTGCATCTGGTCCTTCTAACTTTGGATAAGTGACAGGGTGGCAAGCGAGCTGCCACTGGCGGGTTTCGGTCGGGAGCGGTGTCATGGCCGTGAGATGCTGCTTTTTCCGTGAAGGTAATGTTGCTCGAAGAATAATAAACCCGAAGTAGAGTAGCATTTATGCCTGTGGCCGGGATTGACACTGAGACATGTTATTTGTAAGCTGTAGCGGTCCACAAACTTGGTTGATACATTTTAACAAGTGAATGTTTCCTCGGAAAGCCTCAAATGGTATTAGTATATGGACTAGTACTTATTTATTTACCTCTGGGCTCAGCCTATGTTGTGAATCCCGGCTCACCCAAGATCAATCATTCCTTTACCATTTGCGGGACATTGATTCCTTGAGCTTTCCCAACCAAAGCTAGCGGAGACCTGCTACAGCGAAAGTGGATCCAGCGGAGGATCACTAAAAGAGCTTTGTGATTAACCCAACAGCGGATGAATTTCTCCAGACAGGGCTGGAAAAGATGCCATTTGGATCTTGATGATCCGAAGTACCCAAAGGAATTTGTCGGGATGGAACCCAGGGATGATCAAACTAAGATCTTCAGGTCCATTTTAAATCTAGTAATCCTACGAGAAAGCCCACTGCTACTTATTGGAGGTAGTGGCGGTAGCGGTGGCGTGAGCAACGCTTCCTCTATGCAAACACCCTCCCGGCTGCATCAGTGAACAAGGTAGGAAAGATGTATTGAACTCATTCTTAATTAACTCTAGACCGATATTATGCTCTCTCTCCCACATTCGTTCAAGGTATTCGATCCTCCGGGCCATCATGCCTAGCGGTGCTACGGTAAGCACCAAGTTAATGTAGGGTTGTCAGGATGGAATCTAATCCTGGCACTTTGGCTCGCAACTCCTCGATGATATCCTTCCAAACGAGTCTTTGCAGAGCTCTCCCTTTGTCATTGGTGATGGTAGAGGCAGCTTCCCTAATTGAAGAGTATACTTTGTTAGCAACAGTCCATGGGATTGAGACAGGAATAATAACATACTCGCGGTATCTTTCGGGTGTCAGCCAATAATTAAAAAACTCGCCCTGAAAATAAAATCGCAGTCCATCAGTATATGATAAATTACTCTCTCGTATGTCGACCGTTGGAATAAACGTGCATGCGTGAAAGGTGGTCAATTAGAAGCATAAGGGCGGGCCAAGCTGTATGTTACTCACATGATACTCTTTCGGTTTCACTGCAGTCTGCACAATGATTCTGGCACCTGAGTCCGGTGTCTTGGCAGTGATGAGATTTGTTAGGTAGACGCAGAGATTATGGAACCACGATCTGGAGGCAATCGGTAGAGCCATTTCGGTATATGTCATTCCGGGGCACACACTATTGACGATAACAAAGGGGCTGATTGGGAAGGGAAAACTTGTTAGCATATGTGTATGTTTCCGGCAATAATGATAGAGTTATGGAGAAGGCATGTTAATTGAAACGGGGTGACTGTGGGGAGGGTCTTTTCTTACTCGCCATCCGGTCCTCGTGCCATTCTGGCGATTTCCTCGATCGTGTACATTAATAGAAGCTTGCTGATGGCGTAGTTGGGCTCGGCTTCCCAAAAGCTGCCTGGCCAGTTCTCCTGGCAACATACCTGTCGCAGTATCCCGTGCTCATGCTGCGACCATTTGGTGAGCTCATCCATGTTGGGGTAGAGGTGCTCACGCGAGGAGAGGAAAATCATGCGTGAAGGCGATTCTCGATCATCCCGGCCTTCACGCATCCAGCCAAGCAGAAGCAAGCCGATGAGAGTTGAGCCGATGGTGTTAATCTGAATTGTTCTCTCCCTAAACAACTTTCGTGTCAGATACAAAATGAACAGATAGCCAATGTGCAGGTCCAAATACAATTAAGCGAGAATCTCTCTGGAGATTGTACCTACCACCCTGTGGGACTCTCCTCCCAGTGGGAGTTGATAATGCCGCTGCTCACAATCGCCACGTCCAGCGCAGCGGGCCCAGGCAGACTGGCCCTAAGCTTGGACATGAAATTGGTGCACGAGTCGTAATTTTCCAAGTCCAGCTCCAGGCATGAAATCTTGCCTTTGAGAGAGGGTCCAACCGCTTCCTCAATGTGACGTTTCGCGGCTTCGCCACCGGACAATTTGCGATATGTGATAATCACATTAGCACCAAGGGTCGCAAAGTGCACGGCAGCCGCCAGTCCAAGGCCTCTGGTACCGCCTACAATAAGCACAGTTTGGCCGTCGAAAGTCCCGGCTGGAGGCAGTGCCGTTGGTACGAAGCGCCCATACAGCCGCTGCAGAAGACAGTCAAACATCAACCACTCCCCCGATGGAGGCCGAGTTTTGCCGACGTCTGACATAGTTACCAAGAGTCGAAAATGGTCCTTGGCTATAGCGACTTTAATTGTGAAGGGATATCTGTAAAATTGGAAGGAATAGTAGGTACGTATGGTGACTATATATATACAACAAGGTCGAGAATAGCCTCATCCAAAGATGCAGACAATCAGTAGCTGAAGAATAAGCTGGAAAAAAGGGGCAAGGAGTGTTTGAGATTAGTTAGCTTATTCCCCGGGCTTGCTGTGCCTGTAGCACACATCAATTGATGGCAGCGTTTCTCAAGGAGGCAATATATGTCGAGGACAGGGGCGTGGAATATGGGCCAGTGGTGTGCGCGCAGTAAGCAGACTTCATGTTGTTAAAGGCCAAAAGTGGTCAAGATAGAGTACCTAGGTATGTACACTGACGGTATTCGTTTCTGCCTTCTGCAATAATCTCTCCTTTGATTACTTATTGCCCTTTCACCGTGGCTTCGATTTCATTATAAGTCTATTATAAACATCTTTTCCAATAGAACTAATTCCTATTATAGGTTTAGCTTTTAAGCTGTCTAGCGGGGTAGAAGATATCTCGAGCTTCTGGGATATACTTAAAAATAGGAGAAAATATAATAAAGAAGTATCTTGGCGATCTCAAATGTTGCATCTGGTCCTCCTAGCTTCGGGTAAGTGACAGGGTAGCAAGGGAATTGCCACTGATGGGTTTCTGTCGGAAGGGGTGCTATAGCTGTAAAATTTACTTTTTTTATAAAGTTGATAGTGGAGCTCAGAAGAACAATAAATCCGACGAAGCAGAAGCATTTTATGCGTGTCGTCGGGATTGACATTGAGACAAGTCATTCGCAAGCTGTCCACGCACATACCTGATGCGGTACAAAAAAACCCGGCAAAAGCTGGGTGGAACCTCGAAGCAGCCGTGAGTTGTAAAAATAAGAGGGAATTTTTCATATCACTGCTTCTCACGTCTTCATTTCTGCAGTAGCTTGGTTCGGTTACGATCTGGATGCATCGGTATGAATTACAAAGTGCACACTGATTTCTCGTAGAGGCCCTAACAAGAATCCGGGTCGGTTGAAAAAATCCGATAAGTGATTATTTTGCCCAGAAAGTCTTGAATGATATTAGTAAATGGGCTGGGTACGTACTGATTCAGTTCACCTCTGGGCTCATCATGTTGAATATCCCAGCTCACTCAAGATCAATCATTCCTTTACCATTTGCTGGCATTTCAGCTAGTGGCCACTTGCTAGAGGGGAAGTGGAAGGAGTGAGCACTGATTCCAGCGAAGCGTCACTAATCAAGGGTCAACCCCAACAGCCGATGAAATTCCCCAGACAGCAAGGTTTGAATATGATGCTAATTGGATCTTGAGGGCCCGAGATATCGAACAAACTTAAATTCAGGGAAGAGGAAAGTGAGATGATCCGAATGAGTAAGGTAGTACTCGTCTTAAGAACTCGACAAGGTATGCCGAAGGGGTATTTTGCAAGCTACGTCCTTGCTGCAAATGATGGGTTCATTTAGATCCTTTATCAACCCCGCCAAATGAAGATCGATGTTCCTTAGGGCCTATCCGGCTGATTTGTGCCGTGCGGCCCGGAGAAACATGGATTGACCAGCTTTGCTTACGGGTCCATCTCCAGTGAAGGAAGATTAGCGTGAGGTCGTGCCTTAGAATGAGTGCAAATAATCCACGTGCTGGGGGAATGACGCTGTCCACAGTATGTGAGACCTTGTTGTCGCATTTCGCGCATGACGCGGTGCACCACCCGAGCGGGTCAGCAGCAGGCATCAACAGACGTCAATCATTCATTTCGTAATAGGCCAAATTGCTTTTAAGGTCAGCTACTGCTGCTCTTTTCTGCCTAGGGACAGAAGCTTCGAGGTAACGCGCTCTCGGAGGGCGCCGCTACAACAATGCGCTTCCTTCAGCTTTTGACATGGGCAGTAGGCGTTGCAGCTACTGTCCAGGCTTCAACGCTGTCGACGGCCGGTGTCCAGTCTCTGGTTCAACGCCGTCTTCCAAAGCACGCGGATTCCTTCATTTTTGAGATTACGACAACAGTCTCCAACAGCAACTCAACTAGCTCAGAGCTTGATAGCTACGTCGTGTCTAGCATGAACGAGGGCAAGATCCGGGTTCAAGCCAACTCGATTAGTGGGTTATTGTCGGGGTAAGTTCTTAACACAGAAACAAAGCTACATTCTCATACCGGTGTCAATTGGTAGACTGACGAAGATTTATCCTAAAGTCTTCACAAGTATTTGTCTGGCTCGGCTCACGTTGATGTTTGGTGGTTCGTTGGCAGCCAGCTGGACGCTGCCCCTTCAAGCCTACCAGCCTTGTCTGCGCCCCTGAAGGGTTCCAGTATTGTTCCCTGGCGGTACCATTTCAACACGGGCAAGTAAACATACTGACCGAAAATGCCAATTGCCTTTTCAGCTGATCGATCTAACATTTGAGCAGTCACTACTTCTTACACCTCTGCGTTCTGGAGCTGGGAGGAATGGGAGCTGCAGCTTGACTGGATGGCACTCCGTTCCGTCAACCTTCCTTTGGCATGGATTGGAATTGAGAAAATCTTCATCGAAGTCTTCCAAGAGCTAGGTTTTTCTGACGACGAAATCAAAGACTTCCTCTCTGGCCCGGCCTTTCTCGCCTGGAACCATTTCGGAAACATTCAAGGGTCCTGGGGTGGAGATCTGCCCTTCTCGTGGGTTGAAGATCAATTCGCGATGCAGAAAAGGATTGTAAAGCGCATGGTTGAGCTTGGAATGACTCCCATCTTACCCGCGTTCCCTGGATTTGTGCCAGCGACCATTTTGCAGCACTTCCCAAACGCCAACGTCTCCAACAGCTCGGCCTGGGAGCGCTTCGACACCAAGTACACCAACGTAACTTTTCTAGACCCATTCGACGAGCTGTTCGGCCAGCTTCAACAGAGTTTTATTAGCAAACAGAAGGAACACTACGGAAACGTTTCGAGCTACTATGCGCTTGATCAATTTAACGAGAACTCGCCGGCGTCAGGCGATACGGGCTACCTTCAAACGCTCAGCTCCAATACATGGAAGACCCTCAAGAGGGCTGACCCGGATGCTGTGTGGGTCATGCAAAGCTGGCTCTTCTCGTCTGACAGCGCGTTCTGGTCCAGTGAACGGATCAAGGCGTTCCTAGGGGGCGTGACAGAGAACTCCGACATGCTGATCCTTGATCTCTTCTCCGAATCGACACCACTTTGGGAAAAGACGGAGTCCTATTACGGTAAGCCTTGGATCTGGTGCCAGCTGCACGACTACGGACACAACATGGGTCTCTATGGGCAGATCATGAACATCACCATAAACCCAATTCAGGCTCTGGATGCCGATTCAAGTACCATGGTAGGACTTGGTCTGTCCATGGAAGGCCAGGAGGGTAATGAAATCGTGTACGACCTGCTACTCGACCAAGCTTGGAGCACCACTCCCGTTGACACGCAGGAGTATTTCCACGACTGGGTCAGCAGCCGATATGGAGCCAGCAGCAACGCAATCCCAAATGGCTTATACGCAGCTTGGGAGATAGTGCGCCCAACAGTGTACAATAACACGCATCTGGCGGCTAATGCGGTTCCTAAATCCATCTTAGAGCTCGTTCCCAGCACGACGGGGATGCTCAACCGTACAGGCCACCACCCTACAACCTTGAACTATGATACGTCGATTCTGGTCGATGCATGGGGTGAGATGTACGCGGCTGGAAAAGAGGAGCCCGCGCTCTTTGGGAATGCAGCCTACCAGCACGACCTGGTTGACTGGACTCGACAGGTGCTCGCCAACACCTTCATTCCAATGTATCAGCGCTTGGTTGAAACTTACAACGGGACTGGTTCCGGCACCAACCAGACAAGCCCGGCCAACAAGTGTAGCCTTCAGAAGCAGGGTCAGCAAATCACCTCCTTGCTCACCTCCCTCGATGCCGTACTCGCAACCAACAAGAACTTCAGACTATCTACCTGGATCGAAGCAGCTCGCGCGACTGGCCACACAGGCGCTGGGGAGGATGTCGCCGATTTCCTCGAGTATGAGGCACGTACACAAGTCACGCTATGGGGACCCAAGGGAGAGATCTCCGACTATGCATCCAAGTCTTGGGCAGGTCTCGTGTCACATTACTACCTCCCTCGATGGCAGCGCTTTGTTTCATACTTGATTGCCACGCCGCCTGCTAAGTATAACCAAACTGCCTTTGCAGCCGAGCTGTTGAGTTGGGAGGAGAAATGGATTGAGAAAAAGACGGGTGGGAGCGAGCTGGGAGACGTGTCTGGCCAGGGACTAGAGGTGGTTTTGCAAGAGGTTGTGGCTAAGTGGCCATCTATCTTCAATGTCGCTGCCTAGAGACGGATACAAGGGTCCTTTTAGTGTAATTCGTTGGAATACCATACATGTGCCATAAAGGAAACGGTATATTACGAACATCAACCCATAGACGATATGGTTGTCCAAGCCGGCAGCGGCGGTGATGCTTGGTGACGTATTAAGGACAATTTGTTGATCACTTCTCGTCAGGGTAGACATTGAAGTAACCTATCGGATCTTTCGGAACTGCTGACGAGGAAAGGCATATTTGGCTTGTCTGATGTATGTGTAATGTCTTGGCGGATCACTGCAGCGGAGATCCTTCTCAACAAATTCTCACCGGCTCTCAGATGCTCGCCCTCACATCGCTGCTTCTGCATTAAGCCAAAGCAGCCTAGTAATCGAGTATGGAACAACAAGCGACCTACCAGGAGCCCCAATCACGGGAGCCTTCTTCACTCTTCTTCCTGTCTTTGGGCGATCGTAACCCGACGACCATCATCTTACTCCATGGCGGCTTATCGTGTCATCTCGAATGGACTGAAGTAGTTCCCCATTTGGTCGGTCGCTACCACGTACTCCTCCCGGATCTACCTTCCCACTCGGCGTCAAGACATATTAAGCTGGTGTCTATCGAGGACGTGGCCGACCGCGTGGCCGACTTGATTCGAACACACGCCCACGACTCGCGAGCGCACGTCGTTGGGCTATCTATGGGTGGCTTCATTGCGCAGCGACTAGCAATCGATCATCCCTCACTCGTCATGTCGCTTTTCGTTACCGGGGCAGAGCCATACAGAGAGGGTATACGACTGACCGTTGCCCATCAGCCGGTACTGGTGTTTTGCGTGGTCTGGCTGATACTTTTCCTGCCGGATTGGCTGTATTGGCTCTATGCGTCGTGGATTGGGTTTCGACGTCACGAGGCCTTGTTGGTGGAAATGCGCAAGAACTGCAACCTGGAGATGCTGCGTAATGAGTTCGGGTCTATTGTTCGATATAAACTATCGGATGTGAAGAGGATCCAGTCGAGGACGATTACTGTTGCTGGGGGAAAACAGGATGATGTGGCTGGCACCGCGTTAGTGGGCGATGCATTGAGACAAAGAGACATTGAAGGCTCTGGATCAAGATTTATGTCAAGGTCGGTTGTTGTAAACCAAGCCTTGCATGCCTGGAATCTTCAATATCCAGCCCTCTTTGCCGCGGGCATCCTTGCATGGATTGAGAACACGGCTCTACCCGAGGAATTCCACGATATCTGACATTGATCCATTCTTCGCTTAGACAGCTTTACTTAGCTAATCTACGGGCTTTATTACTTTAACTGTGTAGAACCACACATGACTTTCCTTACAATTTCCCACGGCGATATGGAGGGATTGCCGGGCGGCCCGACCTACTCCGGGGGACTCCGGCGGACCTCCGACGTCGGCGGATAATCCTTTGACATCCTCGGAAGTTGACCGATTCCTCTATATATATATATATTGATGATAGGTGGCATGTGCCTTGTGTGAATTATTCAGGAAGTTGTATTCCTGTGAACTAACAAGTACGCGGGTTTCTGGGGATCTATCGATACATATATCATGGCACCGCCTAATGAGACGCCCTCCAACCCTATCACGGTCGCCGAGGTCAAGGAGATCGCAAAGACCAAGCTCAACCAGCCAACATGGGACTACTATACGACTGGAGCGGACGAGAATCGTACATTAGACCGCAATTCTAAGATCTATAAGAAGTAATGCATCCCCAGAAAGCATGCGAACTCGGTGGTACGGACATGGTACGGACATGGTGGGACTAACTCAGGATACCCCCACAGACTCCTGCTCCGCCCTCGTGCACTTCGAAATGTCGCCGATGTGGACACCTCGACGTATATCTTCGGCAAAAGATACGATATACCCGTCGCGATCGCACCAAGCGCGTATCAGAAACTTGTAGGACCTGGAGGTGAAATCGATATGACCCGCGCTAGCTATGCCCTGGGCACCAACTTCACGTTATCCTCGAACGCCACCACATCTCTCGAGGATGTCATGGCGGCTTTGCCCCCTCGGGATCCGAAATATCCAGCGCCATGGTTCCAGCTGTACTTTCTACGCTCTCGGGAACAGACTAAGGGTGTGATTAAACGTGCTGAAGAGGCGGGCTATGAGGCTCTTGTACTCACCGTCGACACGGCGGTCCTCGGAAACAGGCTGGGCGAGAGAAAGAAGCCTCTTGTCCTCCCGCCCGGTCTATCAACAGCTAATCGAGCTTCAAGACAGGCTGGTGGAGTATCCAAGGGCAGACTTTTGCTCAATGCGAAGACGGCCGCCGAGGCGAAGAAGGTGGACGAGGAGAACGGGGATTTCCTTGTCGACCGCTCCCTAGAATGGGGGGAGGTGATTCCGTGGCTCAGGGAGCAGACATCAATGAAGATACTCGTCAAAGGCATAATGACTGCTGAGGATGCTCTTGAAGCCATGGTGGCCGGCGTGGATGGCATTGTTGTCTCTAACCACGGAGGTCGGCAACTAGACGGTGTTCCTTCCACGCTTGAAATGCTTCCGGAGATAGCCGACGTGGTGAAAGGCAGGATACCAATAGTTTTTGATGGTGGGATATCTACGGGCAGCGACGTTTTCAAAGCACTGGCCCTGGGCGCAGATCTATGCTTGATCGGCCGGTCTGCTCTCTGGGGATTGGCGTATGATGGGCAGAAAGGCGTGGAGGCGGTGTTTCACATTTTGGAACGGGAACTATGGCGAACCATGGTCTTATCTGGAGCAAGCTCCATATCCAAAATCTCCAGATCCATGGTGGGAGTTGCTAGACGCGATGGCTTCGGCGTTTCAAAGCTATGAATCTTTCAATTGGTCATTCACTTCCCGTAGATTGTTCTCTCGCTTAGCTAGCCGTACTAAGGTACATATAAATAGCTTCCTCCGCGCTGCTTAGATTCAAATATCCCCCCTTTCCCCCCCTGTACGCATCACGCACCATTACCGTTATATGCAAGATAGTTGACAGTCCCAGGCGGTACACCCGTGAGCACGTTCTTGGTTGATAGTGCTTGAAGCCAGACGCAAAGCAGGGATGGGCTAACACCTTCCAACGACGCAATGTAGGCGCCTAGCCCAGCAACATGGGCTGCGGCCAGTGATCCGGAAAGAGTTGCCTGGTTCATAAATCAGCAAGTTTTTTAATCACACTGGCAGAGATGTTGGGAGTGGGAGTGATCAAGAGATTGCAAACTAACCGTGCCACCATTCAGATACGTAGTAAGAATGCTCTGGCCAGGAGCCCATATATCAAGTAAAGCCCCAGTGTTGCTTGCAGAGCTCACCGAATCGTCGGCAGCAGTCCCTCCAACTGTGCAAGCCGAAGGTTCGGATGCCGGAGAATAATTACCCACGTTAGAGGCGTCGTTTCCTGCATGCACTGCAACAAACTTGTTGCCGTTGACAAGGGCTGCCACTGCAGCATTTACAGAGGAGGAATAACCGCCCCCGAGAGCCACGAGAACCATGACACCTTTGGGGCAGCTTCGCGTGGTAGCATCGGAAGTGATCCAGCTGAGACCAGAGAGCAGATTGCTCACGGTACCAGAACCACTGTCACTGAGGACCTTGACGCCAATAAGGGTGGTCTGCTTTGCAACACCATACAGAATGCTGCCTACGACCCCGGCCATGGCAGTTCCATGTCCATTGCCATCGTTGTTGGTTCCACCAGCAAAATTAGCACCAGCAAAAGCACGACCACCAAATTGCTATATTACGTACGTTGTTAGCAAATGAAAAGCATCCATGTCAGAAATGGGGGCAAAATACAGGATGAGTTGTCTCAATTCCTGTACCAACAATGTAGACGCATGTGCCCGAACCCGCACTGCTATCATAGATGTAGTTGGTGGCGCCTCTGGCACGATGCGAGATTCGAGCGAGGTTCCATCGCGATGTGGGCTCAGTCACCAGGCTATCGATGGAGACAACAGAATCCTCCTCGACGTAGTCAACCTGCATAATGAGCTTTAGCATCTCGGTCCGTTTTATCTCGCTGAATTAGTTTGAGGACGGGAGAAATCAAGCATAACTCACGCTAGGATGCCCACGAAGCTTCTCTAGAGCCGAGGCATCCAAAGTGGCGGCAAAGCCGTTGAAAATGCCCTCATATGTATTTTCGACATTCACGGATAGGGAGTTTAAGACATCATCGAAAGTAGAGATTTCAACAGCATCTTTAAACTTTATAATGTATTTGCTAGCAACCTGTTCCCTCACTTGATGGAGTGGGGAAGGTGCTGCGAGGGCAAGATGGGCGAGGAAAAGGGGCGCGAAAACACGCATACTAGGCAACGAGATAGTAAACTGTATGCTTGATTATGCTCACCTATTGTGATGAAATCATGCCTCAATCTAGGTGGCACTTTATACCTTTTTACACGATGTTAGGCTCCAGCTGAGCTCAGACCTGCCACACCAATATTGCTCGGCTACAATCCTACATATGACACCTTCCTAGCAGGTGCAATATTGATGTTACACTGCAACCTATAACCGGCCCACAACACAGACGATAAGACCCTAAATGGTGTAGATCTAGGGAAACACAGTCGTATTATAGGAACGCGGCTGAACGCGGCTGAGACTGCTGGGAAGTTTCATTGGCTCCGAGTTCCGTAGTGAGGGGCACCATGTGAAAACGGCTGCATGAGTCTAACTCGGAGTCGGGATGGAATTGAGCCATGCCATGATATGCTTATTCGAATGATAAGGCACGCTTGACACTGTAGACTGTATTGGCTGAGAGGCTGCCTTCGTTCCTGACCCTAGCGGTAGATGGATAAAAGGCGCTGACTAGTGTTCAACAGGCAACACCTAGACATTATCTGCCAACTTTACTTCCATGAATGATGCTATTACTAGCCCTTGGGGATCCATACGGCCTTTTCATCATAAACAATCAATTGATCGAAGTGCTTATGGCATCGCAAAAGTGGAAAGGCTCAGATGAAACTCTTTCCTACTTCTTCAAGTCGTGTGGTAATTGTTTGGAAGGGTTTAGGCTCCAGGAAGAGACCGGAGTCGGATATTATATCACTAGAATTCTCTCTCCCCCTCCCTTCTACACGATACTACATTGCCCTGGCCCTAGTACTATATTAATAGCGCTCGGAATGGCAAACACTTGCACAGGAGAATGGCAGGATCCTCTTAGTAACAGGTCAGGGCGACGCGTTCGGCTGCAAGGTCGCGTTGTCAGTCTTTCGAGATATAAGCATAGGCAGAAATTGACTCTTGATATTCGCATCCATCTCTACATGCTATCTACTGTTAGCATTTCCTACGTAAGAAAACTTCAGACTACCTCTTCCAGAAGCTGGCCAGCTTGGTAACCGCATCACTAACAAAATGCTAAACCATTTATTGGGTAGTTGATCGCTGAGGGCGTGAGTAGCAACATGCTTCAAAATTTGAGATGTATTTTTCAACTAGGGTCTTGGTTGAATTCTTTGTACAAGCAACCAATCATCCGCAAAATGGTTAAACCATCTTCGGGATGCGAATCTCAGAAATTGTCCACACCGACCCGTCGCTATTGCTCGCCAGCCCTGAATAAGTAGCACCTTGAGATGTTGCGATTGTCTTTCCAAAGTTCTTATCCGAGCCAGCCAGGGTGATCTCGGTATTGATGTAACGCTGCTCGGCAATAGTTCCAGAGCAGCCATCGTTACACTCAGTTCCAGTGCCATATCCGCGCATGAAAGGACCAGACTTGTAGGAGAAGGTGCTCAGAACAGCGCCAGTATCAGCATCAGTAACATCTTGCTTCTAGGTGTCATTGTCGCTTTGAAGGGTATAGACAATCTTGACCTTCTGGTTAGCGCTCACGGGGCTGGCTGGGCCGTCTAGCTGTCCAAACCATCCAAAAAGCGAGGCTCGAACGCACCACTGGCCAGACTTAGCACCACACCAGCTGTTGTCCTGAAGCATAATGTTAACTAATCACAGCTCCCGATCGTCTGTACTTCCATTGGCAGGGATTGTCCAATAAAACTTACAGGCCAAGACTCGAGCGTTGTCTGAACAAGGTCACCGGTTCCGTTGGACATGCCAGGCCAGAGAAAGAGAACTCCGTTCTGCGTTGGTGGTGCAGCGCCCGGAATAATAGTCGTCACCGCCTTCTTGATAGTCGAAGTGGTTGGCCCAAGACTGACAGCCCCTCCCCAGCTATCGCGAGGGGCAAGTTGGGGACCGATCTGAGGCCGGCCATGGCAGCTGCTGATCAGAGCGCCGCTGAGAACCGCGAGAGTCTGAAGGAAGTGCATCTCGAAGGTAACTATCGGATGTGTTTGTTAACTTTTCTGATTGTTATATCAGTTCTTTTTCTTTTGATGTTGCCTTCGAAACATGGAATGTTATATACACTTGCTAAACTCGTGTAAGTGGATTGTCAAACTGGGGTAGTTCGGAGTGACATCCTCCAGCAGCCACATTTGGCAACCCCAAACGAGGGTATCCCGAATGAGAGTAAACGGAACAACACTCTGCGACTTAGTCTTGAATCTGGATTTTCCGTGGCCCTGATCGATAGCCAAACTAGATCTAAAACTGTCTGAAATGCCAAGCTATTCATCTCTTCAGGCATGCAAAACTAGGAAGCAGGATTCAGATGATTGTTCCATCCAGTAAAATGCTTCTCCCACCGCGTCAGGTGAAGACGTATGCAGTACAAGGTAACGTCGACGTGTCATAGCCGCCGTAATACTTTATTTAATTGAGCTCATTGCTACTAATCAACGTATACTAGCACCTAGAATGGAAATGTAGAGAGCATATGATCTTGCAATGCCAATGGAGCTCGATTCTCTCCACGCTTCTCACATCTAGAAGGCCTTTGAAGATTCATTGACAACTAGTGGCGTAAAGGAGCCCGGTTTCAAGGAGTTGCCCAGACGTCGAGGCGATGAGGAAGGTATATTTATACACATTGTGGCCATATATATCGTATCATTTCTCGAGCCAGTTGATTTCCCTGCACTAATGCATGGAGATGTGGCATTTCAACAGGGAGTAGAGCACCGCTCATCCAGGAACTTCCTGTTGTCGCGCGGCAGGTTCTCCCATCACAAACTCACAGTTGGAACCACAAGCCTTCATGGACCAATAAGGGAACCAAGTCAGTTGAAATGCAAACAAGAAGCCTCTAAGTTAATCTATATAAGCAGCTATTTCCTTCGGGCTGAATTTCGAGCAACATTTGGATCATGTTCCGAATAAGCCATGATTGTCCATCGCTCATCGTAGGGCTTTGACTTGTCTACAAAGCGAAGGTCTGTCGATACTCTAATACGTCCGCTTGGCGACTGATTTTTGGCCCCCGCATGAATCGTATATGGGGTATGAAAGACCACGTCTCCAGCTTCATACTCGCCCTATTGACAATGTCAGCCTCACAGAACAGGTCTAGTGTTGCGCTCGTCAGGATGTACTCACTACCAGCCAGCCCCGAGACCACTGTTCACCGAATCTGCTCGCATTCTTGTCGAGCCATCCGCCCTTCTCCATGTTTCTGTTGAAGGCAGAAATGCGCTCCTCGTCCGAGAGACTGGCGTTCATCTTTGAAAAGTCCTGCTCGTAGTTGACGCCAATCTCGTGGGCACGATCAAGATAGATCAAGCCTCCTCCCTCAACTTCAACGTCCCCAATCGGTACCCACGCAGTTATACTTGTTGGAGGACCAGCCCTTAGAAAGATTTGATCATAGTGGACGGGTGTTGTTTCACCTCCTGGGACAGCACATCTAAGTAGAGACCGTGGCAGACACCAGGGCTCAATAAATTGGAGCATTTTCCCGACAAAGGGCTCGATCCGGCGCCCAACTTGATCTTTGAAGTCCAAGTACTCTTGGCAGTGATGAGATTTGATGGCATTCTCCACGAAAGGCCCTTCGTCTGGGAGCCCGGCAGCGACACGGACAGCTCCTGGGAGAAGATAGTTCCTCCAATCTTCCCCCGAGAAAATGCCCTCCACTGGATCTGACCCGGGCTTCAGCAATCCTGTACCTTCATTTACTATCGAAAGATATTGGGCGCGGAACTCATTTATCATTACCGGATCAAGGAGCCCTTTAATCTAGATGAAATGTCAGCTGGTGAATAGAAGCAGCAACTAGCAAATGAAAACTGCTTACCCAGAGAACTCCATCCTGCCAATACCTTCTTCTAAGCTCCTCGATAGGCGTGCCAGGATAGCAAGGGGTCATGTAGCGTGTGGACTCAATTTTCTTGTCGTTGCCGAATAAGACTGGCGGCTTCCTTTGGTCAGGTTGTGAATCTACATCCTTGGATGAACTTCGATGAAACCCAGCGTCCAAGTTTAGAGGGCCATTGGGGCTGAGAGTTGTAGCGGCCATAGTAAATTATCGCTAAAGTTAGTATTCTTCAAGCTTCGACAGATCAAAGATCTCAGTAGCGAATGATTAGTATTTTGCAGGATGCAGGACGATACAATATCGACTTTATAGAGGAAGCCAGAGCATAATCTCACTCTCCGATGACGATTACCCCGCAAAGGAAAAAGTAAGCCGATACAATAATTCGTAATCATGAGACCAAAAAACGGCACATCATACCCTTCTTTGAAGCTCTTGCATCTTTCTACTGCCTTGGGGACATCGAGGCGCCGGGGAAGAGATGTATATTCCTAAATAGGAAAGTAGAAACTTCCCCGCCATTCTCCGGGACTGAGAAATTGCAGCCCACAGTTGCAACTGGCCCGTGTTCAACCTCGGGACGCTTAAACGTTTTATCTTGAAAGAGACATTTACATATCTGTTATGGTAATTTTGTTTGAACTGGTAAGAAGTGACGTGACTTAACGTAAACGCATCTTGTCTTAGTATTGCTAAAATACCACCCATGTCACATCTGTGCTCCGTCCATGTCAAAGCCAAGGTATTCATCAAACATGGTTGGGTCAAAGAATAAGTTAGACCATGGACCTGCAAGATCTACCGGGACACTTTCAAAATCAAAAGCTAGATCATTCAACTGGACCCCTTCAAAGTCGCCACTAGCCTGGTCCATGCTCGAGACAGACGTAAGCTTGCTCAATTCGTTCAAGACCTCGACGTACCGTTGCCCAACAAGGTCACCTTCCACACCAGAAGGGAATGCCATCCTTGCCTCTTCGGCCGTCTCGCGCGCCTCGGATGCATTTGGCCATAGATGGCAATACATGAAGAGTGTGCCGATGGCCGCAAATTGCAGATATGTAACCAAGTAGAAGACCCGAGAGAAGAGCCCCCTTTGCGCTAGGTATTTGCACTCAGCAACAATTGTGTTCGCAGCATCGATGGATCTGTCGTGACACCGCTTTATCCAGCCTTGGAGGCTAGGTGCCTTTTCCACCGATGCCTCAAGGGAATACAAGATGAACGGCCGATATAGTAATAGACTTGCGTGAGAGAAGGTTAATTTCAAAGTGCACGTCTGGCGCTGTGTCATAGTTGACATTGTTGATGCGGGGAGTTTTGTGTAGTCGAGATAGGTTGGAAGATCGTTTTTCCAAGCGGCAAGTTTTGATTCAAAAGTAAGCGCCACCTTGTGCAGCTCTTGAATGCTGTGGCTCCGAGACTCTGGGCCATACAGCTGCCGTAGAATCATTCCAAGAATACGAGCAAGCCTTGAATAGTGAAAGAGAGCCGCTGTAGAACAAAATGTGTCCCTGGGGGAAGATCGACAGGCCGTAGGGGTGATATCGGCGTCGTTGGCCAGGGTAACTTCCTCCTGGTCAATATCACCATCATGCAATGCGCATGGTCGGCCGAATATGCTGCTAAGAATACGGTCATGAATATAAATGGCCCAGAACAGCCTCTTTCGAGTTTCCAGTACGATCAAATTTGCTGGCGCCCTTGCTGATCTCCTGTGAAGGCCCAGTGCTTGAGCGTGGCGAACAACGACACCAAACAGAGACCACGCCTCGTGCATACGGGAATGATTGAGTAGATAATGTGTGACCAATAGCCGAGATTGAAGTGAGGATATTGAAATCCGACTAGTTCTCTTCTGAAGTTGCTGGTCAGCCATGTGGTAGAACTGGACGCTGATGAATATTAATATCAAGCATTCCCTTTACTGTCTAACTTTTCCAGTTCGAGGGTTTGCATACCTGGCAGAATAGCCACACCACATATTTTGCAGAGTCGAGTAGTGGGAACCCAAGGCCATGACCATATAGATAAGTGCCAGCTTGTCTGTCCCAAGTTCGGCGATGCTTACCGGATCATATAATTTCTCATAGTCTTCTGTCAGACTAGGCTGATGGATGAAGCGCGATGTAGAAAGACCAAAATTGAAAAAAGTCTGAAGCAGCAAGTCCCCTATTTGCTTTGGAGGCATGACACTGGGTCCAGCAGGCGCGGTGAGGGGGTAATCGCAGAAGTCAATGGACATGGATGGCACACTTGCCAATTTCTGTTTGGCAAACTGCAGGAACGCAAATTCTGATGCGCCCCCGTGTACATGGCCGTACTGGTCCTCCTGCAGGGAAGCATCTGGAGGGCTCTCATCAACCTCTCTACTGCTCCCAATAGAAGATCCAGCTGGAACGATTGGAGAGCAAACATTCAGATCTTCCATTTTTGACTCATGAGGAAATGCCGTAATTGTTGGTGATGGCACTGAGACGGACTTCCTCTTGCTAGCCCTTGATGAACGAGGTGTCTTCTGAGGTGTGCTCACCGTCGGCATGTATTCACATGTCTGCCCATTTTGCTGACAGCGGACACACGGCTCATGGCCTGAGCATCTTGTCTTTTTCCTGTGGTGGCTGTCAGTGGTATGACCTTTTCTTTTGCTTAAACGGTATTCGCCTACTGCCGACAAGCGTTGCATGCATTTCGGATCTTGGATAAACGGATATCAGGGTTCCCCGCAGCACCATCTGACCCAGGTCGCCGCCTCCTCCTCCTCCCGTCCAGCTCGGGATACTGGAATGAAAAGATATGCGTCCCGAGTATCTGTGAATTGCTAGTTACCGACATGTTGAATTAAGCTGCCCATCACCGGCCAAGGCGATGCCGCATGATGAAGAAATCGATGAGAACGTAAGTGCAAAGTTGAGTCAGCTATGTGACTAGCAACCTGTAGCTTAAGTTAGGTATTTGTGGAGGTCGAAGAGTGGATCTTTATACTGCTCCCCGCACACGGGCAGCATCCTATTGAAGGAAAGATAAAAGTGCGAGTTAGGGCCGGACGCTCGCTGTAATTTGTCCAATCGACCAGGTCAATCCGGATTTCTAAGGTAGCCCCATACTCCAGTTGCGAGAAGCGTAGAGTTCAGGCTTCTCATAGTTCTATTGCTAGCTCTGATTGTATCTCATCTAATATCGGTATTTGTCATATACGGCAATCGATCGTGACCAGTTGATGAATTGTCGACTACGTGGGTAGTGTTTGGAAAGAAGCAAGTTTTCCGAGGTTAGTCAGTTGAAGATTAGTCAACGAGAAATACGCAGACGTTCAGGGTCGATACAAAGTCCAAGGTTGTTTCATAGCAATTCTCCGTCAACTTCAAAGCGTATACCTGAGCCCGGCTAGTTTCCATGCCTTGGAACTTAAGGGGCTACAAGGGAGAGCCCCGTTCACATGATGTTACAGCATACTGTTGCCGTCATTGTGGATACTTCAAGTTCAGATATGACCAGTCAGCCCGATGTGCTTTGCCACAATTTAGGCAATGCAACGTGGTGAGGGGGATACGCCTTATTGCGAACCAAGCATGCATACTGTACATTTGGGCCGCAAGGCCGTACTCCATGATGGTGAAAATCGTACAATCTTGTAGCCATTCAGCCAGCCACAGCCATGTCCATATATAGGTAGGTAGGATTAGAACAAGTCAATATTCGAGGAAATACCGACGCTATTCGAAGCCATGCGCTAAAAGATCAATACGTATATCGGATTCAAACATTAAGCATGCTGTTGGGGTTCGGGTCTCGGTAGACCTGCGATGGTGTCTGGCCAGTGGCGGCCTGGTATGTTGGAGGTGATTTCTATGGTTTGCTAGCTTTATTCCCATCGCTATTGTGACGTTCTTCGTATTAGTTGATAGAAACAGGGCCGCCGTCTTGTTCCGGTTCGTCATTTCTATCCTTCTGCTTCATGGCTTGCCACCTCTCGCGCCTCCTCTGCCTTCGCCGCTCTCGCCAATGTCTGCAAGGAGTGCAGAAGAAGTATGCTAGGATAAGAACGAGGACCAAAGCGACCGGAATGGCGACGGGGAGTACGCGTCGAAGAATATAAGGGGTGTCGTGGCACTGGTCGCAACGGCGAGGTGACAGTGAGTGTGAGTGTAGCGCCATTCTGATCAGTCTGCTTGACTAGGTTGATGTTTCAGTTTTGAAACTCCTCGGTGTTTTGATGGCACGGAGGATATTGAAATCTTCTGCCCGCTGCAAGGAAGAGCTCGGAGTCAGTGTTGTGAAGCTGGTGCCTGACGTTAGGAGAAAAGCTTAACATGGTGATCCCGGCCGGGAGACTCTTAAGTTAAATACGCCTGGCAAGCAGGTGGAGTGTGAGGTCAACTCCATAAGCCCGGTGACTTTAAAGTCCTACGATGGCCTATTGGGCGGACTTTCCATCTGGAATGCAGTCAGGTGGCAGGAAATGTCTCACAGGGATAACAACAGGGCAGTACAGTAAGCCTGGAAAGCCATTTTGCAAGGCAACAAGTAGCCTTCAATAAGCAGCATCTTGTTGAGAAAAAGACAGGTCCTATTTATTGGTGCCCTACTTGCTCAATCTATCCAACCAGCCAGATTGATTTTTTCTCTGAAGGCAATGGTAGATTTCAATTGAGAGAGATACAGAGGTCAATATTCCTAACTACCAGTTCTGATCGTATCCCACAATATTGAATAGATAAATTGTGTAACAAAAGATTGCGATCATTTGGTCAAATGGTTCATTGCGCGGATACTTTCGTCGAGGGCAAGAGGCAAGTTTTTCGTACCGTAGTTTGTCCTCTTCGTAGCAGATGGTGGCCTGCAGAGCACATACACATGAACTCTCCGC